TACGCGCGTGCGCGCGGCCGCCGCCGCGTTTCATGGAGGACTACGCCGAGCATCGATTTGTGCAGAACAGCACGCTCGCGCTCGTGAAATCGTGGGATCGTGGGACGCGTTGTGGGCACCCGCGCGCTGGAGAACAAGCCGGCGTTAATAATCCGCCTGTGCGGGCTCAAGCAGCCGCGCAAGCTCGTCAACGCCGGTGCCACGCCATGCGTGGAGAAACGCATGAAATCGAATCCGTGCCGCCTCTATTGCTGGTCGCGAGCATTGGCCCATGCTCATTTGTATTCGAACCTGCAAATATATACTGTATGGCCATATATGGCCATATATTTAAACGTTGTATTATGTACCCTACTCATCCAAATTATCCCATACCCTATTCGTGTGCTCAGGTAATGAGGTCTACGCGAATGTATCGCGTGGCGTGGCCAGGTCCGCCCGGAGGGCCGTATTTATGTATATCAGCGCGTGGAAAGTGCTCTGTGAAAGGCTATGGCATGGTCAGCACATACTGAGACGTTGTTGTGTTCAGGCTCACGGGAACATCATGTTGGAACGAGTGGTGGGCGCCTGTGCCCGCACTCGGGGTCTCTGGTGTCCGGGGTCCTCCCTGGGTGCCAGCTCGCTGCTGTACTGTAGACACAGGTTCCCTCGTACCGCTACATACTGCTTTACCCACTTGCTTGCTTGTCTGCTTGCTCGTTGCCCCGATATCTCCTCGATATCTCCTCGACTCAGTGCACCAGTTCCGACACATCATGCACCACACCAAACACATTCCAAAGTGTGCCGGGATCGTACGTATCTCGGAGCAAGCGGGTATGCTCGCAGAACCGAGGGACACCAATGTGGTCGAGGTCGTCAGGAAGAGCTTGACATCTGCAAACCAAATAGTGAGATTACATAGTTCAAGAAAAAATGTGACCTACTTCGGACACCACCCCTGGACAATGCCAGACATGAACACTTGCTCCGGGTAGTCGGCAATAACGGGGCCTATGCCGAAGATAGCGCGGCGGTAGTGTCCATCTGGACATCGCATGATGTGTGGTGTCGTCATGCCAGGTCGCAAGGGCTCGAAGATTTGTTTGAGCGCCGCATGGTAGATCTGTTTCTTGAAGAGCCGAAACTCGTCGGTGTCATCGTGCTCTGTCTCGGCTAGACAAATGTCAGACGGCCAGACAAGCATTACAGGAATGCAACACACCTGTCGGTATCGGTAAGAACGCAATGGGGAGGACGGCGTCACGATGTGCCCGACGCATGTCGTTCGTGACGTTGCCCGCCATCAGGTATGCGGGGTGGAATTCTTGATGCCCAGTAGCTACTGAAGCTGTAGTCTTGTCTGCAGCAAGGCAGACAGGTGTGAACATGGCGCCATGTGTTGCTGGGTCTGCAGCAATTGAGTCCTATAACAATGCCAGCAGGGAGTGATCAGCACAGACAGACGTACAGCCAGATTTGAGTGACTCACGGCCTGTTTCCACGCCCAGTGTCCCGATAGGACGTCCGAATACACACGCGTACCCTGCTCGTTCCATTGACGGTACGGACGTGTATGCCAGGACCCTTGGAAGTCGGCGCTACTAGCCATGTTCTCAACGGCGTGGAGCGAGTCACGTAGGTACACAACATATCGTTCTCGCTTCCAAGAAGGAGCATCAGGTCCGACAGGCCCCGTGTACTGGATAGAGAACGCAGACCAGGCAGTGTCGCCATATGGGATAGAGTCGATGGTGTCGAAGAGGTCGCTGTGCGAGTCGAAGCCAGGGTCGGTCTCGGGATCGTGGCCATCGAGGATGCGCTTTGCTTTCCAGATCTTGAGAAGGTGGTCGATATCGCCTTCCGAAGTGAGCATTTTTTCGAATATCAATTCTGCGTACTCGAAGGATGGGCGGTCGGCGAATGGCTCAAAATCTGGTGGGTCATTGCGCGGTGGGGGTGGTGCGTGAGGGTCTTCCAGAAAATTACCGTTGGCGTCGCATGGTCTAGCTAGCCATTCAGATGAAGTATGAACACGTTAAGCAGGATACTGTGAGCTCATTTGAGACGTACCGTCGAGTGTCGGATGGTAATGAGTCGTGGTTGGGGGCACACGAGGCTTTGGGTGTCGATGATGGGTGCCGTTATGTCGCATGTACCCTCTCTGGGTAGGGAATGCATGCTGGCATAGGTTGCAGTAGCGAGCCATCGTGGTGTGCAGTAGACTGAAAGGTTTGCGATAGCAGCAAGCAGAGTATTGACGCACAGGATGGGTGGGCAGGAGCAAGAGAGGTCGGCGCGAGCCTGAGGGTTAGGGCAACCCCAAATGGGACAGCGGTGCACGCACCGCCGTCTTCAATTTCCGACCACCACCTACAGTATACTCCTGCTCGCTCAAACACTCGCTCAGTATTACCTCTCCTTAATTTTGCGCCCATTAATTCCACCCTTTCCATCCCTTTTCCAAATCTCTCCTGGCTATGCCTCCGAAACCTCGACAACGCCGTCCAAAGACAACGGTGCTGCCGCCGTCTTCGCCACCGCAACCTCCATCTCCTACTCAGGGCCCAGGTAAGCAGACCGTGCAGAAGCCCAAGACGTCAGCTCCTGACAAATCTTCACCAGAAGAACGTAGTCACCGCATTGAAGCTGCCAGGGCAACGTCATCATCAACCCAGCAACCTCAAACGGCCAGCCCAAACGCTCCAGCACGCAACACCACACGCTGTGAGTCGGATCAACCAACTAGTACGTCTGCTATTGGTGCTCGAGGGCTTCATAAACCGATTAACTAATGACATCAACACAGCGAACTCACCTGTCCAAGTCGCTCGTCATCCGTATGGCACGCGTCGCAGCACGCAAACAGCGCGTCCTGCGTTCGCCGCTGGTCTTGCCAAACGGACAAGAGAGGAGATCCACCAAGGCGCCACGCAGAAAGTGGCAGAGAAGCAGCGCAAGCAAGCACAGAAAGCAGACAAGGCCAAGCGCATCGAGCAAAACACACGTAAACTCGCACAGCTGGAAGACGAGTATGTCAGTCGTCAGGCTCAAGATGATCGTGAGTTACGGGCTGCACCACCCCCTGCGGAACACGGCTCAGTGCCGAACGAGCGTCCGCACTCTGGCGGTGTAAGTCCCAGCGTCCCGTGATGGTCAGCAAGGCGCTGACAGCGCTTTTCTGCACGGCTCAGGCCGCCGGCAAGGCTGCGGTGGGCGGTCATCCGCCGGTATCCAACTTATCTCGCACCTCAGTCCCAGGCAGTAACGGTGCAAATACATCCCAGGCTCTCAGGGCTACGAATGTGCCAGTGAGTACTAGTGATCTCATGAGCTACCCCAATCCTAACGAATCCCTTTGTACATGCAAGCGGACTAGCACGTCTCACAGCAATGTGCTCGATGGTAATGCTTCGAGCTCAGGCTCTGAGACAGAGGACGACCTGGAGGCTGCATTGAGCCGTATCAACCCGTCTCGCTCAACTGGCCAGCGCAAAACTCGCGCCGCTCAAGATGCTGGATACATCCGAGATAAGGGATCCGATACGCCCTCTACCCGTGATGGCGCAAATTACAGGTGCGCACGCACCACTACGCCTTCTTCCCACTTGTACCCAGATCCACATCCTGTCTGCAGCTCTGACGGACTTGCGGGTGACCCGGCCTGGGGCGATACCCTCGAGTCTGGCGCATTTGAGAACGACCTCGCCGACGATGCATATCACCGGCGCAACTCGGACCTCAACGACCTGCACTCTGTCGACTCTCACAACACCGACGACCCCGATGCGATGAATCTTGACCTGGATGCAGCAGATCTCGACGAAGTTAACGCTGACCCAGATGCAGATCTTGACGAAGTCGATCACGCAGATCTGGACACGGTGAACGTCAACAGGATGCGGTCCACTCCACTCACGGTGTGCCACACAACCTGCTCCTATGATCGTCTCTTTCTGATACATCCAACGCTCACAGGAGGCGCAGCGCAAGCAACTCAAACGTGTGACCGTGCGTGGCACAATCGCTGGTCTCCGGCAGCACAATCCGAGTCCTGCGCCGTCAAACAAGCGGCTGCATGACGATCGATCTATCAGCCCACGGTGAGTAGTCCGCTGCGCTGCTCGCACGTAGTGCTCTACCACTGACCTATTCGCTAGGCCACACAAGTCGAAACGGCAGAAAGCAGCTCACGCATCCCGTGAAAATGCGTTTCGAACCGAGTTCCGGCACGACCGCCGTAGTCGTTCAGAGGCACCATCATCTCAAGCTGCCCCAGCCCCTTCATCACAGTCTTTGCGCCTTCACACGCAGCGTGGTGGTGGTAGATCTGGTTGGCGGGCTGCTCTTAAGAACGAGCCATCTGATGCCGGTTGCGAGGAGGAGCTCGCCGCGGATGAGCCTCCAGCTGCGTTCACGGATGCAGATGTACAAGTTGCATCCAGCCAGCGCTATGCCTTGACTGCTGCTACGACGCGCGCGCAGGTACACCAGTACATTAATTCCGCATCCTGTTCATCTAACCTGACGATCTTGCAGTCCGTTTTCCGTGTCGAAGTCATTGACGACAATGACGCGATGGATATCGTCAATGGGCGGGCAAAGAAGGGACGTCGTCGTCGTCGCGCGCCCACAGACATTCCCGAGGAGAAATCGCGCTCTACCAGCAACCTTCCTGACTTCATCAAGGCCGTCTTCGAAAGTAAATTTGTGCCGACTATCATCGACTACTATGGAACCAAACGCAACCCCTGGGATCTGCGCGAACATGGTTCCGACGAGTTCCTCGAAGTCTGCCGCGAGGCATTGAAGATGGCTTGCCCTGACGTCGACTATACGCTGGAGAAGAGTGATGTCGCATACCGCATTGTAGGTGCATTCACCGTCTTTGACATCATGTCTAATTATGTTATCACATTCTGTGCAGGCTCGGCAAAAGGTGTATCAGTGGCGGACAGAGTTCTCTAATGCCGCAGTGCTCGCAATCAACGACGCCATGCATCACAAGTTTGGGATAAAACCTGCAGCTGATGCGACTAAGCGATGGGTAGAGGCAGCGATCATTACGGATGGCGGTGAGGCTTTTTGGGCGATACCACACGCAAACGTAAGTCGAGCTTTCTCTCTCCTTTACAAGCTAGTTTATGCCGTCTACATCTGCAGGTCGACCATGCACATGGCAAGCTGCAATCAGCATATGTTCTCAAGGCCTTTGCGGTTCATCTGACGTTCAAGAAGGGCTCCGTCGGGGATTACGGATACCCTGCCGGTGCACTTGCTTTGGCTACTGCTGCTGTCAGTGTTCGCTGCTCCCAGTTTGAAACATGTTGCTCATGCACCAACAGGTTGAACATTCCTTCCCAATGTTCAAGTGGGGAGTATTTACCGCTGGCGAGGGTTTCAACACGACCACTGCGCGGGCCCGGACGGAATGGTGGTACGACACGGCCACGTTCAAGTTCGCCAAAAAACCCGAGTACTTCAATGCCATCATACGCATGGCTTCCAGGCATGCCATCACTGCTCCGCAGGCATCCCATACGCCATCGTCGAGTTCACCTGCCCCAAATGCCTTCGACCGCAGCAGCCCTCCTATCGAGTATTGTAAGTGCGGCACACCTCGAGTATGCGTGGTTGCTGACTACATACATTCCAGATAATTAATCCTGCCAGATACCCCATCCTCTCCTCATCTAACTCTCCACTGCTCGCACGCATAGACTGTCCTTTCGCTAGACCTCCCCTACCGTAATCACTCGTTATTTCTACTGCACATACTTCTGCTTGGTCATAATATCTCCTAATATACTCGTTTAATCATGTAGTTGTTGTGTGGAATGGTTGCTTGGATAAAGGTGCCAACAAGATCTATCCTATCTTACATGTCTAACCAACTCTATAGAGGTCTATAGATGTCTCTGGAGAAGCTCTATCAAGACTCAGGTCTTATGGCTCTGTAAAGACTATATTAGTGTTTATAGAGCCGTAAGAACTGGGCGCACATTACTGATGCCGTGCATGGGCATAGGGGGAGGGGGGTAGGGGGACTCAGCCATCGGGGACGTCGTCGAATGAGAACGCCGTGGGGTTGTCCTGGAGGAATTGCTGGATATCATAGAACGGGTCCATGGATGAGAGGAGGTCCTCGATACTCGAATGACGGAATTTGCGCGTGTAGTGGTCGCAGTGGAACAGAACGTGCTCGCGTGTGTGATATGCCGGCGGGCCGCTATGGAGGGTGCAGAGAGTGGGTTCCTGGTGCTGCGAGCGGAAGCGATCGCGGTAGTATCCCGTTGGCGCGTGGTTGGTGATGCAGCGAATGAAGCGTGCTGTGAGCGCGGGACGGCCCCCGAGGCGCTTGAGTGGATATGTGCCGGTGTGGATGAGGCGTCGGAACGCGGGGTGGCGCAGCTGTGTACGACCCCAATACTTCGCCGGGTTCGCATTTGCGAGGTCTTCCCAGTCGCCGCGCATGTTGGAGGTGATCACGCTCTTGAAGTACATATAGGAGGTCGGGTACATGCGGCCACGATATCTCGGTATCTCGTTCCAGGGCGCGCGCGCTGCGTGCTTGACGTCCGCATCAATAGCCTCGTTCTCCGTGATGTTGGAGTGGCCAGGGCAGTAGTGGAGGTATAGATGATTTTCAGGGTGTCGCTCGAACCAGTCCCGCAGCATGCGGCAGGAATTGACTGATGCCATGCGTCCGTCATCCGGAGACAGGATGCTCGACAGTGAGTTTTCGCTGTCGCTGAAGATATGCGCGCGGCGGTAGTTTTTGAGGCAGAGGTAACCGATCGCGGACGAGATGGCGATTTGCTCACAGTCGAAAGAGAAGGGTGTAGATGGTGTAGCCGTTGACGAGCCGCCCACGGTTGTATGCGCGATATCCCGCAGCTGAGCCCAGGCCGGGCTCGGACCGTGAGCACACATACGAGCTTCCATCAGTGAAGAAGACAACAGCGCCGTCGTCGCCGTGAGCAGCAGAGATTCGGGGGAGTAGATCCGCGGTGATCCAGGCAGAGATGGCGTCTTTGTCGCTTTTGGGAGGGTGGTCGAGATATGTCGTGATACGGTCGGCGTAGAGATCGCGCACGCGGTCGCCAGGCCGGCACTCCTCGTCGAGCGGGTCAAAGGTCTCGGTGATCCAGGGCTGGTTTCGTGGGAAGATTTCAGTGAGCGGAATGGATGCGGTGGGTTTGATGGTGTAGGGGAGAAATCGGATGAATGGAGCATGATGGGAGCGGTCGAAGATGTTCGGGAAGGCGGCGCGGAGGGGATGAGATTCTGGGAGAGTGTGTATTCGGAGGAAGTAGCGGTTTTGGAGTTTTTCACAGTGAAGGTGGAAGGGGACGATACCGGCGAATGAGTGGAGGGCACCAGTTGGAGTTGTGCGGAACGCCCCAGTGATCCAGCGCAGCGCGCGGTTCTGTGCAGTGACGAGCGGCTTCATCAGCCCCTTGACACCCTTGGAGCGGTACCAGACCTCTGCGCCATAAGTGAGTAGCGGGAGTACACAAGAGATATAAAGGGTTCGTCGCTGAAGTGGTGTGAGGCCGCGGATTGAGTTGCCGAGCATCAACATTGCATTGACGGTTGTGACGGCCCGTTCTGCAAAGTAGGCGACATGTGCGTTGAACTTCAGCCGAGAGTCGAAACGGATCCCGAGGTACCGCCACACTGTGCTGGGACGGATGGTGGTGTTTTGGTCGAGGGTGAGGGGCGTTTGCGCATTTTGGGATGCTGCGAGACGTGCCGGCACAAAGTGCATGAGTTCGTTCTTGTCTGGCTCAACTAAGAGTCCGAGGCGCGCCAGGGTGGTGATGGTGTTGTTGTAGCAGGTGCGGAGGATGTCGCAGTTGGTGGAGATTGATGGGGTCGTGACAATCCAGAGTCCATCGTCTACATAGAACTGGAGAGCGGTGACCGATTGAATGGTGGTAACCGGGAAGAGGATGTGGAGGGCGGGTGCAATGTATAGGTTGGTCAGTATCGGGGTCATTACGGCCTGTTGTCCGGTTGTCGCGTCGTTTGGACAGAGTTGGCGTCGTCCGTGCAGACGGTCACGATGAGCTCAGCTCAGCACACCAAATACGCAAAATGACGATTGCACCAGTAGTAGATATGTACGTAAAGCATCTCGAGGTCGAATACAGCATTTAGAAAGCCTTCCAAACGGGTATGGGCATCCAAAGGGCACGGGATTAAAGCAGGGAATTGCGGAAGAGAGGACACGACGTCCTGTGCGAGCGGATGGAAACGAAGTAAATCCATACTCGGTAAGTGTCGAAGCAGTTGATGAGGGAAGCATAGGGAGTAAATGCTGAAGTCGAGGCGGAGAGATGCAGAGGAGGGCGTGAGGGGCGGTAAAAGGAGCGGACGGGAGACGGGTGGGGTGGTGCCGGTCCCAGGGATGAATGATGTCAGGACGTATACGGAAGATGACCATGGGTTTAACGATAAGTTAATGCGATGTGCGGTTCAGCAGGGTACGCCGACCCTGCCGATGGTGTTGCGCGATGTGGACGTGATGCGAGCCGGGGCTACGAGCTTCTATGGGGTATAGAGCCAGGGGTGTGGGTATAGGCTCGTCGTCACGTCTGGCCACAGTGCGGGTAGGCGACACGTGCAAAACGGTGGACGTCGCGACGGCGCCGGCAACAGTCGCAGCGGAGGAAACGTCGGAGGTGGTGAGCGCCTTCTCATTCGCACTTCCACCGATAGCGGTGGGCGCGTTGTGAGAGGTGCTGTTGTGCGAAACATACCAGCCAAGTCCGATGGCACCCGCGATAATCTGCGCGGACAGGTTAGAAACGGTGTACTGACTCAACACAGGTTCACTCACGATGAGCAGAGTCATTCCGACGATCCAAACCCAGCGGGACATGCGAGTGGTACCGCTCTGAGTCTTCCGGAGCCAGCCGCTAAACAGGCGTATCAGCATGATCCGGTCGCGTTATAACACTCTATGTTTCGCACCTCCCCTTCTTGCCGGCAGTCATGTCGTCTTTGGCAACCATACTGAATCTGCGCCAGAAGTCATCACCCTGCTGTCCGCGCCGGGGCAGCACGGTGTCCTCGGTATCCCCACGCATGATAGGCTTTGACGCGAACTGAACATCGCGGGAAGTAGCGGTGGAGGGCCGGGCGAACACTGGTGCGATAGGGACCATCGGGGGCTGCAGTGGATGGGGCGTGCTAGGCATGCTGGCTGATTGGCCAAACTCAGACATCTCGGGCGATGCGGGCATGCGCCCATCGAGGGTGGCTGTGGGGGCCGGGCGCGATAGGTTCAAAGCAGCAACGGGGGCGGCATATCCTGGCTGGGGGGCGGCGAGCGGGATGGGCTGGGGGTAAACTTGCTTGCTGTCGTCGAAGGGGTTGTCCTTCTTCTCGTCTATGTACTGGTCATACCTGTGATAAGGCGTGGAGGTTAGACTGATTTGAGCATGACAGATAGAGATGCGACACTGCAAGCTGTCCTCTTCAAAACAGATGCATACGATGGCTCTCCGGTGCAAGCAGTCACTGCGTGTCAGCAGAGTATATTTAGACCCGTGCGCGTCTGGTCCCGCACTGTAGCAGGACTGGCTTTGGGGAATGTGTAGCGAGCTGCAACCGCACGGGGACACCTGCCCCGACGCGGCCCTATCCGTCCGTCCTCCGTTTATTCCTGGCAGGCGGGGCAAACATGCCCAAGGTTGTGATACACAGGGGCAGCTCGCACACCGTGATGTTTGATTACGCGTTCCCACCCGGTATTGCGCAGAACGCCGAGTGCGTAAAAGAGAGAGATAGCACGTACACATTGTAAGCAGACGTCCTGGCATTGGGGTTGGGAGGGGGCTGTTGTCTCAGCCTGCGAGTCTGCTCGGGCTGGCGTTGGTCGTACATGGAGTCTGGCTCGTCGGTCGCGAAGGGGGGCCTGCCAGCGAGCGGGGGAGAGCTGTAGTTGGGCTGCGCCATTTAGGCGGGCTGTTCTTGGAGTTTTGCGAAGAAAAAGAGTGAAGTTGAAAGAGAATGGATGCCTCGGAGAGCCCAAGACTGAGAATCCGCCGCGAGGAGCCCGGGATGAGGTGAAGGAGATGAGGGAGAGAAAAGAGAGAGAGCCGTGTGTCGCCTCCCGCCCATCGCTCCGGCTAAGAATATCCCCATAGGCGCGCGGTCGTCGCTTCGATCGGCGCCCATCACTACAATGCAACCCTAACCTCGTTACGACGCGTGATACGCGTCTGACGTCCACTCGCACGCGTCTTGACTTCGGGATCGACTCCTGCAGCTGCCTCTCCTACAGCTGCCTGCCACAGTTGCCACATATACCTCGCTAGACGCGTCGATTCGCAGCGGAAACTCCTGACTACCTCTGGAAACTACGTCAGCTATGGACGTCGCAATGGATGAGGCCGACTCACTCGAAGCACTCTCTGGCGTCCTCGAATGCCTCACGGAGAACCCCTACGACATCTCTCTCCATGCTGAACACATTCGCATTGCTCGCGCGACAAACTTGGACGACCAGGTTGAGTCTGCACTGGAGATGATGACCGCCTTCTGGGCAGCCGGCGAGTCAGTATGGCTACCCCTCATTGAACGGAGGACAAGCACGGGCGACCTTGAGTCTCCGGAAGACCTACGAGCAATCTTGGACCTGTATACACGGGCAGAGCAGGACTACCTATGTAAGTACTGCTAACTTCGCTTAGTGCTTGCACGGTCTTGAATTTCATCCAGCCATCCCGCTCCTACAGAAACACCTTGAGTTCCTTGTCGAGCGCTACGAACATTTTGCAGAGTCTGAGAGCAAGCCCGAAGGACTCGGAGAACTGTTCAGTCCAGATTGGATGAACGAGACGCTCGCTAAGGTGGCAGATCAAGGAATAGGTCATCTCACGAAGGTATGTTACAAGTACGTTGTGCTCGAGCTCTGACGAATGGACGAACCATCAGAGCCACTTGCTGTGGGACATTCGGCGCGACTGGGAGTTCGAACGGCTCCAAAACGCCTCCGGAGAAGACAGGTATCCGACCGCGCCACATTGACCAATGTATGCATCACGCTAACAATAAGTATCAGGGAGAGGCTTGCGAATTTAGTCGAAGCGATGCTCCTCGAACGGCTACAACAGCCCCATTCTAGTCAGTACACGTCTACCTATATTCCTAGGACGGTAACTTGACTAGTTTGAGCAGACTACGAAGAGACCTTCCAGGCATACTCGTCCTTCACTACTAACCATAAACCCCACGACCAATACGAATCGCTTCTGGTGCAAGCTACAAAGCTACGCTCTCGCTCGGTCAAGGGCTATCAGCTCCGAGAACGGCTTGAGGCCTCCTTGGTTTGTCTCGCCGCGTTCAACCTCTGACACAGGACGCTCACACCAGAACAGGAACAAGCCAGCTTCTCTTTAGAGGGATATGCATACTACCTCGGCGTAGAACGACGGCGGAAAACACCTGACATGTTTGTGGTGAAGCCTCTATACGAACGCGCCATCGCCGAGGCAGACAAGCGACGATTGAGCGGGGAGCCTGGCGCAGAAGACGCCCTGCGTGCCTTTTGGACGGGTTACGTAGACTTCCTGGTACGTGATAAGCTCCCGGAATTTGGGGTCATGGCTATATGCTGAAAGGTTCCGACACAGCGGTCGCAAAGTGTTGATGACGAACAGCTGCTTCTCACCTTCCGCCGCGGTATGCGAAGCGTTCCGGCCTCGGGTGAACTTCTGGCTCGGTATATGCGCTTCCTGGTGCGTAGTCCCCGAGATTGCTTGTGGATAGATAATGCATTGATGCGGAAGTAGGAACGCGCTCTCGACTCTGAGGAAGCAGCTGTCCAGATTAGCGGTAAGCATATTAGTTATCTTGATGCGCGATGTCGTACTCACCTATCTTGCAGTGGTGTACGAGAAAGCCCAGTCGGTTGCTCCGTTGCTGTCCGATGTCGAACAGCTTGTCGCCGCTGTCCTGGCTCGGGCTGGATTCGAGAAGCGATCAATCGAAGCCGGCAGCTCAGGTCAGTACAGCGTATCGGCAACTTAATATTGTCTGACATCTTACGTTAAGGCGAGGACTATGAGAGCCTACTCCAGATCCTCGTGGACGGGATCAGCAAAGTCCGTAAAGGTGAGGACATAGGTTGCAAGCGTAGGGGTGTCGTTTTGACCGAGTTCCTTAGCATCAAAGACTGGTGACCCACGGCTCAGACTGGAGAAGTACCTGTCAGCTGTCGTAAGCATTTGAACTCCCTGTCTTGTGTTGAGTGCTAATGTAGGCGCAGTGTCTCGACGTAGACGACCTCCATGCGAACGCCGTGGTGATGTGGGAGGACACGGCCAAACACTACAAGACAAGCTACCTCGCCTGGACATCCTACACCGACGTGTTGATGTACGTTCATGTTCCAGCTGATTTACGACCCGAGTCTAATTTTGAGCTGCGTGGCTAGCAAGGAGCACATGTACGATGACGTGCGCAAGGTGTTCCGGGACGTCTCTGCGAAACACTTGGATTGGCCCGAGGCGATCTGGGACGCCTGGGTCTCTTTCGAGCAGCTGCATGGCACTGTGGAGGAGCTTGAGAATGCGCTGGCCCACGTCGAGCGTGCACAGACACAAGTCAACGCCCGCCGTGCTAAGGTCAGTATGATCAGAGCACAGGTTCCTATCACATGTGCTGATTTTAAACTCTGCAGGAGGCAGAGAAGGCGCAACTGGCGGCAGCACAACTCATCGCCGAGACGCAAGCCTCCACCGTTCTCGCAGCGCAAGCGCCCGTCTCCGTAAAGACGGAATCTGCCCCGGAGACTATAGCGATGGATGTAGACCCTTCAGCTGCGACTGGCTCTCATTCAAAGCGCAAGGCAGATGATGAAGACTCTGCAGAGAGCAGCAAGAGACCGCGCATGGGTAAGTGCTCTCCAGGCCAGGTGTGGTGTTTTCAGCGCTCACGGAAAAACACACAGAGGAACAGCCAGCGAAGCTGAAACGGTACGTTGCAATTCGCCTGTACAAGTGTATGTGCTGATTATCATTCCATACAGTGATCGCGAGAACTCGACTGTGTTCGTTGGCGACCTCCCAGCTGGAGTGGAGGATGAGGAGCTACGTGCGCTGTTCAAAGACGTGAGTGTCAATTCGAAATCGTCAGCCAGTCTCGTCACCGCTGACCGCTTGGATGTAGTGCGGTGTCATTCGCGAGGTCAAGATCACGCAGCTGCCCAATTCCTTGGTTGCAACCGTAGAATTCTTGGAACGAGTGAGTGACGTTCACAGTCATACGTCGTACTCACTCTAACACCTTCTATGATATCAGGACAGCGTCCCGGCAGCACTCACCAAGGACAAGAAACGTGTCCGTGGCAAGGAGATCGCTGTGCATCTCGCATGGCGTTCTACGCTTTACGTCACGAACTTCCCTGAGGATGCGGACGACACGTTCATCCGGACGTTATTTGGCAAGGTCAGTCTGATGCAGTTGTAGGGGGTAGGTTTGTAGAAGTTGAGCTGAATGTGCACTTGCAGTACGGTGAGATCTTCGACGTGCGGTGGCCGAGCAAGAAGTTCAAGAGCACACGTCGGTTCTGCTATGTGCAATATACCTCACCCGTACGTGTCGTGCCAGACGCATCTTCAGCAGCGCGCTGACCCCTCTGCAGACGTCTGCGGAGAACGCGTTGGAGCTTAACGGTACCGACATGGAGGAGGGCCGCAGGCTCTCTGTGTACATCTCGAACCCTGAACGAAGGAAAGAGCGTACGGACAGTGATGCGAATGAGCGCGAGATATACATCGCCGGCCTCAGCAAGCTCGTCACCAAGGAGGACTTGGAGACCCTGTTCAAGACGGTACGTTTGGTCTCGTCTCCGTTGTAGCGGCGAAGTGACTGACACGCTCTGCAGTACGGTAACGTGAAAGACGTCAGGATGATTTTGGACGACAAGGGCAAGTCCAAGGGCTTCGCGTTCATCGAGTTTACTACCGAGGTGAGAAACCCAAACACCCTGCACAATTGTGCTCCTCGCTAAATGTTCGACAGCCCGAGGCGCGTGCAGCGCTCGCTGCGAACAACCACGAGCTTAAGAAGCGCCGTATGGCCGTGACTCTCGCAGACAGCCGCGTAAAGCCTAAGAACAAGTGCGTCTGCATACTCGAGTCTAACGTGTCCGGCGCTTACTGTAATCGACAGGGCTCCCGGTTACCGCGAGGAAGTACGCAACCGCTCCGTCCGCGTGAAGAACCTCCCGCCGAACACGCAAGAAGGGCTACTGCAGCAAGCACTCGAGAAACACGCCAAGATCAAGCGAGTAGAAGTCTTCGCCGACATCAACGAAGCGGAGCTCGAGCTCGAAAGTCCAGCGGTAAGTCAGCCTCCTGGCCTGGTCAGCTTTCCAGCGTACTCACTTCGTCACCCACACGACAGGAGGCTGGCAAGCTATTACTCAGACAGGACCCGATTGAGTTCAACGGAAACACGCTCCAGATCGTCGCGGAGAACACGACAGGGCCGCCGACGTCGTGTCCGATCGCCCCGCCCTCGGGCACGTCGGGCTTCTTCGTCCCGCGCAATGCGGTCTCACGGCCGCGCGCTGGGCTGGGGAGCAAGCAGCGAGGGTTTGGTACCGGGCAGGCTGGGGGCTCGCGTCCTGGCGCACCCGCCGCGGGCGGGTCAGCCTCCTCGGCTAACAGTGGCGGGGGCGCGAAGGGCCAGGACGATTTCCGAAAAATGCTCCTGAGTGGAAAGTAGGCTGTTGCGACCTCGTATATTTCACACTTCTACCGCTCCTTTTGATGAAATGTATCTGTGCTGCCTATCTCAAGCGACGTTTTATCCGGAAGGCACAGTGTCGTACAACGCGAGCAGATCTTGATCACTATAGCTCGTCCGAGAATGGTGTCTTGTCCAATCTGAAGTGTTGCGTGCGTATCGAGATGACACCAAAGGCCTTCCAGGCGTCCCGAAAACGCGAACCGGAGCCAGCTGCAACCCAGCGAAACAATGACCACCTGAGACGCCCCCACCATGCCGCCCATGTCCGTTCCCTCAGCCACTGCATCGAGCAGAGCGACGATGTCGCATCTATTCCAAAGTATTCCATGTACTCTGGGTAAAACCCCGAGATACCCCAGTCGACGAGATAGAGCGTTCCGTGAGAGTCCAGGATCATGTTGCGGGGGGCGAGATCCTGGTGTACGAGGATATGGTCCTTGGCCGGCTTGAGGACGAGCTCGGGGTATGACGTGCAATACTCGGGGCGGCAGTTTACCAGCCACCAGTTCAGGTAGCCGACGAAGGCGGCAGGAGAGGCGTGTCGAACGGGACCACGTTGGTCATCCAGCCAGATAGAGCGTGTTCGGCCAGAGTGTAGACCGCCAGTCGTCTGTGCGGTGACGGTGTGAAGCAGGCGCAGGTAGCCACGCAACTGCCAGGCGGCGCGCAGCGTCCCCCACAGGCTCATGCTTCGCCACAATTGCTCGAGCGTGTCCCCAATAACGCGCTCCATGACAAGGTAGTAGGACCCGAAGTCGTCAATCGGGACCAAGCGGCGGAAGGCAGGAACATTGACACCGAGGGCGCGGGCACGTTGCATCGCGTAGACTTCGTCCAGTGGGTCGTCATAATAAGTCCCTCCTACCTTCTTGGCGAGGACGCTTGAGGACAAAATGCGAACCGCAGGCTGTTGCATCGAAGTTACGAGGCAAGGGGATTGGCAAATGTGATGGAGAAGCTCTTCGTCTGAGTGGGTGACTATCCGTAGGAATTCTGGATACACTTTTTCCAAATGTCGGGCTTTATAATTGCGTGACCCACGGCACCTTTCCAGAGTGTTCCAAACCGTAAGCCTCGATGTCCTAGATCTGGCGACAGTTTGCTCCAGATTTGGAGTGTGATAATTTAACGAAAAGATAAGCGCCTCATCGCGCGTCCGTGCGCGACATCCCGCGCGCGCACTCGTTATGCGATCGTCCGTCAATGCGCGACCGTGGCGCAGACTCGAAGCTTGTACCTCTACCCCGTGCTTGTCCGCGCTACACAATATAAGACTCTTGACTCTTGTCCCGCGTCCACCGAAATGTCTGCCGACGACCTTGCCCTGCTCCTTGTGGCCGACGAACTCTTAGAGGAGATCGAAGAAGATGATCTTGAGGAGGAAGAGGAGGATAATGCTCTCCTCTCTGCATTTGTACTCGAGGGGCTGGAGGAGACACGGAGAGCACGCAATGAAGCCCGCCGCCGACGCTACTTGGTACGCCGTGAGCTGCTGCCTAATCCAAAGGGGGACACACCTTGGCAGGTGTTGTATGCGTCGCGCAGCGACAGAGCGTTCATCACGACCATGGGCCTGGATGTGGCGACCTTCAACTTCGTCCTGGGTGGCGGTTTTGAAGCCCGCTGGCAGGAGCGTACTATTGAATGTGTTGATGTTCAACCGTCGAACACTCGGCCTCGACCCCTGCGGCGCTCGCTCGATGCAGCTGGTGCACTCGGGCTCATCCTTCATTGGCTCACATCAAGCATGCGCGAGACGAGCCTGCAAGAGATATTTGCCCTCACCCCTGCCACTGCAAACCGTTATCTGCAAACAACCATCGAGATCCTCCACGGCACTCTTCTCGATCTCCCGGATGCTCGCATCGCATGGCCGACAAGTGTCGCCGAATTCCAGGAGTACTCCGACATCATTTCAGCAATGCACCCTCTGCTGGTCGGGGCGTTTGGGACCGTCGATGGCCTGAACCTGCCTGTGCAAGTGTCAGCAGATGAAGAGATTGAGAATGCGACCTATAATGGTTGGCTTCACGATCACTTCGTGAGTAACATCCTGACCTCAGTCTGCCCCAAAGGTACGCATCCTGAGTGTTATGCAGCATATCCTGATACTGATGATTATACAGGGACCCTACTCTATGCCATTCTTAATGCTCCAGGAAGCTGGCATGATTCCCACGTCGCACGGGATCTCTACGACTTGCTGGTGAACAACACTCCTCCTGGCTTTTACCTCGTCGCCGACACTGCATTCCCCCGATCGACTGCGGCGATCAGCCAGCGGATTCACACCCCCCTCAAGTCCACAGACGTGCTCCCTTCTGATCCCCGGGAGCGCAGGCGGATGGCAGATGTGAGCCGTCAGCTACTGTCTTGTCGCCAGTCAGTGGAGTGGGGCATGCGGGACATCCAGGGTTCTTTTGGACGCCTACGAGTACCACTTCCAATTAACAAGGCCCCTTTACGCCTGGAGATTTTGACCATTGTAGTTCGCATGCACCAGCTCCGGGTCCGTCGTGTGGGGATCAGCGAAATACGGAATGTGTATGTGCCAATCTGGCGGGAGGGGGATGACCTTTTGGAGCTCTGGTTTAACTGGGAGCGGATGCTTTTCTCTGACATACGGAAGAGGGACAGGGTTGCTAGATTCCACCATGTAACAGAGAGTTGAGTACAAAGGCAGAGTTACATTGGGACACCATACGCTTGACCAACATCATCAACGTACCCGCCCGTCAGCGGGACGCCTGCCACAGGAGCGAACCCCATGTTCATCATCATCTGCATCATGCGTAGCTCGTTCTGCAGACGCATATTGTCCATACGTGCTGCGGTAAGCTCCCGTGTGAGGTCATCCACCTGCTTGCGGAGCTCACGCAGCTCCACACGGTCATCACGAGCAGCAATGATGTTAGCAAAAGCTTCGAGGCGTTGAAGTCGGGACTGATCACGGGTAGCCTCTCGTTCTGCACGTTTCTGAGGATCGAGATGATCTTCAAGCGCAGCCAGAAGGCCGCTTGCACGCTGCCGGTTTCGCTGAGCCACCACAGCCCGTGATTGTTCTCTGCTGCCAACATGATCATCCTGACAGATGTAGTTAGCAATGCATTGACATCACCTCTAAATAATAGTAACACTTACCTTGACCTCATCAATCTTTGGACGCTTCACCGGTGGCAGGTCGTCGTTCTCACCGTCACCATCACCGACTTCACCATCACCCTCACCGGAAGACTCCACTATGGAGCCGGCATCGTCGCCCATCTCCTCACCCGAGTTTGCATCATCCCATTCCTCAGGGACAGGGTCATCGTCATTGACGACACCCAAGCATACGCGTTCCTGAATCTCGTGTTCGATGCGCTTCGCCTCCCGCACATCTGGAGGGCAGTCGGGATCTCCGGTGGGCTTTCTGGCATTAACGAGCTGCACTGCAAATGAGAGCAATATATACAACATGTTGAGTATACGCACCTTGTAGTACTTCGACCGCAACGAGATGACATCGCGCTTTGGTCGTCCCTTGGTGGACGCATACGCATTATACCCGGTGCAGACCTTCTGCCAGCCATGCTGCCCAGCTGGCATATGCAGGCGCACAAGGCGTAGCAGCTCGGTGACATCAGGCGCTGAGAAGTTCATGGAACCCCGGCGCCGTCCGCCCCGTCGCTGACCACGCACCGCCTGGACCTCGGACACGGTCGGTGGCTGCTGGACCTTCACTTCTTGGGCCGGTGTCGATGGCATGGAGTCGGAGCTGTGCTGAGTGGATGACAAGGCCGGGGATGCGAGCGTACTGTGAGAAACGCCATTCGAACGACCTCCGGTGCGCTTCCGCTTCTTGGGTTGAGCGGCCTGAGGCTCGTCTTGCGTCACCATCGACGGCGCGGCAGGGGGGATGGGCACGGAGACTTCTCCAGATAGGCGGGGTTGCTCAGGGACGGGCACCATAGCGTGGGGGAGGAGGGGCTGCTGGGGCTGCTGACGACGTACTGTGGACCGGGTTTGGTAGCGCTGCATGGGCTCTGAAGGGGTCGTTTTAATGCTACAGCTACTAGGCCGCAGAAATGGTGACGTACCTGGTGTCGAAGAGCCGTTACCGCTGCTTGCAGGGCCCCCTGCCGCTGGTTCCATGTTCATCAGAATGTTGGGGAACGTACTGTCCCTGTTGTCTTGATACTCTATTAGACATTATACTAGCTGATAGGATAGCTTGCTTACTGGTGAACGCCGGTGCTGACGGCGGAAAGTGCCACTGGTCGAAGTTGAAACTCGGGTCTATGGCAAGAAGTCAGCCAAGATACAACGAAGGATGCCTTCGTGAAAGCATACCATGCCCGAAAAGTGAGCCGCCAGTGACTGCCTCAGACGTCGAGAGCCCCGGTGAACTCGCGGGGTTCTGTGCGTTCACATCCAAGTTGACATCCGAGCCGTAGGGGACAGGCTGACTGGATGACATCTGAGGAAGTTTTGAGTCATGATCAGAGCACTAGTGCAGTATGAATAGAGCTTACCGTGGTGCTAGAGGTGCTGTTGGGGGGAGAGAAGTATGTACAGTCAAAGCAGAGTGTGTTCGTGAAAGCGTAGAGGTCGTTGTTGAGGCTCGAGGAGCGCGTCGAGACGCGTCGTGCTCGCGCCGCGCGTATAGACGCTCAACGAGATCGGAGATTGTAGATCAGCTCCCAAATCGGGGAGGTACCCACCTGCCGAACAGTTCGGCATGCGTCATTTTGGGCGCTTACAGTCTGGAAAAGCCAGACTGGAATCTGTAGGGGGGGGTCCCCCCCCCTACAGATTTTGGCGTTTGGAACATCTCCACGGGCGTCTGCACGCTATAAGCGAGATTTAGAAAAGTCATCGGACTTTGAAAATGTCACGCTGAATTTTCGAGAACCTCTCCGTCTGGCATTTAGATCGTCCAAAAGTGTAGCCAGACCCCCTACGGATAGTCACCCAGTAACTATCCAATAATGCGTCGACGAACGGCTGGGACTATAAAGCGCGGCAATCGTGTCAGTGACCAAGACATGCGCACATTACGTTGCAAGCCACGAATGTTCTACCTTGTCGTTAAACTTTGAATCTTTAATGGACGCTTCATTAGTACCCGCATCATCTTGCGGTACGACATGAAAGCCAGCTGGGCAAGCGTGTAACCAAGTTCGTCAGCGATAAACCATCGCATCTGAGGCATGAATGGACCAACCAGAGTAGAACGGAACATCCGTAACGGAATCCTCCATTGGTCCCGTTTAATCACAGTGAGAGGTTAGACAAGACACTCAGAAGGATCTTGCCAGCTGGTGGTTCCTGTTCAACGGCCGTCACCTCCAGAGCGCCTACTGACGGCTGCCAGCGACTCGTCCTTAATTATCAAATCTCAGCTTAGTCCTACTGTGTCGTGTTCCCACACCCCTTGCCATATTGCTTGTCTTTATTTGTGTCTTACAAGTGGGCAGGAACAGTCGGTAATAGGTTTTGGGGTCTTCTGGATACTAACAAGTTGGACATGTAAGGTCAATCCCTGTACGGGCATTAATCTGCGGCGGGTACATTGGCGGAGCGCTACGCACACTAGCTTCGGGTAGCGATGTCACCTTAGGCAACGAGCTTAGGGCCCGAAACAATCGAGGACAATATCTGCTAGTGAGGGAGGTCGGCCACGAGCTCAGTCGGGTGACATAGAAATACGGAGGGGGCACGTGGAATGCGCACGCAGGCGATATATTCCGAAGGGCAACGAAACACGGCCCCTGCCAGGCAGTCGTAGCAAAACACAAGTGTTACTTCATCTCTGCTGCTGCGTGTTGCCAATGCTCTCAAAACTCTGCGTTATTTTCTTCACGGCGGTCAGCGAAAAGGTCTGAGTCAGAGAACAGAGGAACACTGACGTTCCGCGGCGAACGCTTCTGGTGTATCGAATTCTGGGTCGATATCGATCGCAACGTACTCTAGGTTGTCGACTAGAGATCGCATGTCCTCGATGTATCGCTTGAAGTATCGCTCGTAGTCACCATGGTGGGCGTGGTCAAACGCAAGGCTGAGCATTGTCAGGCGTATCCCGTATCGCGCCCTGGATCGGAGTGTGTCGAGTATGGACTTGAACAGATCGTCGGAGACATCGAGTTGTGAGCCTTCGGACGAGTCTGTCTTGAAGTACTTCGGACCCGAGAAACCCACTGACGTCTTCCGCAACCCATCCCACAAGCTGGCATGAGAACCAGATCCACCGACTGAGATGTCCTCTATGAGAGGGAGGCTTCGGAACACGCCCGCCCAGTCGTCGTCCGTAAGATCTCCATGAGATCCCTCTACAGTCAGCTGTGTGATGGGCGCGTGGGAGAAGAGCACGATGAGGTCGCGAAAGAGGTGGGGCAGCCAAGGGTCCCAGTGCGAGGTTGTGTAACGGTCGGGGATGGGGAGCGTAAACGACATATTGCATCCATTGCCGGAGGCCCAGATTCCGAGAAATTCGGAGGAGCGTTCTGCGCGCACGGTGATAGATGTGACAGTATTGAGCAAGTATATCGCTCTCCAGGGATCGGGAGGGAGAAGACGGACCAAGAGGTTAGCCCCCTCGAGCTCCATCTCACGCGTGATGCCTTGAATAGTCGAATTTGCCATCGACGGGGCATGCACGTGTGCAAGTATAGATCTGGTGGTGTGGATAGATTCACCGGCGATCTTGAACGTCGAGAGGTACGGCAGTATTATACGTGTATGCGAGAGCAAAGGAGAAGTAGCGTCTGCGTCCTTTGGGAAGAGGGGAAGGTCGCAATGGTCCAGTACCAGGTCTGTTAGACGGGGGGTGGCCTCGAGAATATCCAGAAATTGGCGCATAGGTATGATCCACCGGCAGCGTGTCAAGACCAAGATGTGTAGTTGGGAATAGAGCGAGCTCTCTGCAGGCAGAACGAAGTTGTTGAGCGTCAATTGACGAAGGACGGGGAAAGACTCCGCGCTGAGTCGTATCTCCCGCCTGTTGCTATGGCGGTTATGAATAGACAGTGAGTGAAGGGTGGGCGTGCTAGAGTCGTATAGGAAGGTGAGGAGGCGGGGCATCGACGATTGCGAGATATCTGTTGCGTGGATCGAACGCAGGATGCGAGAGTGCTGGGGTAGCACGGATGAGAATACGCTTGGAGCCAGTGTCTCGTCACGAAGAGTAATGTTTGCAGGGGCGCCAGCACATCGCGACAGCGCCAAGGTCAACCACTCGTGTCCCTTACGCACAGAGATGTCGCGCCAGAAGCGTGGTTGGGTACATATGACCGAACGCCAGCGGACGCAGACACCTAGCAGGACCAAGAAGCGCTCTTCTTCCGTTTGAAACAACTGCCACGGAAACCGGTTTGGGGTGAGCGAGAAGAGGAAGGCTTCCGCTAGGATTTCGTCCGGGAGCTGGTGGATGAGGGCCGCTGCGTTGATGAGCCGGTCAACGCCTAGAAGTTCCCCAAGTAGCGTTTCGCGGCGCTGGGACAGCCGGAGTCGACTGCTACGAGAATTCGACGCGGTGTTCAAGCTCTTGGTGTTTCTTGGATTCATCACCGTCAATTGCACTGTCCGATGACTGCGTAAGCAATGCACCAATGGTAATACGTTGTGATACAAGGCAAAAAAAAACAGACCGAGCATCGAACGTTGACAGCAATATTACTCGGCAAAATGTACGTACCTCGACAATTTTGTTATGGGCCTAAAGGAGAACGCTTTGCCCGGCGCTTGAGAGTATGACGAGCGCAAGCTGGTGGGAGGGAGAGCCCAAGAAGGGAGTGACAGACCAGACAAAACGTTTGAGTCGCGCGCACTCACTCCAGAGCGCCTAAATGAGTATAATTGACAGCCGCCGGCAAAATAATTATCACGGACGCGGTACTCACTCGTCCCTCTCAAGAGCGTCCATGATATCGCTCAAGGCGGATTGTCAGGGATCGGTTGAGAGTAGGTCAGGTACCAGGATGTGAAGTCGGCCCCAGTACGGGCGACACGGGCGCATCGGCGACCCCGGCTGGCAACGAGGAAGACACGAAAATCTTGTAGATGCTTGAAAAGGCCACTCCGAAATCAGTCGGACGGTACAGTTCTTCCGCCTTGTCTGATGTTCTGGGGTTCTGCATCAAATTGTTGCCCCCAGCACTTGTCGCGACGCGTCGGGCGGCGGCCTGTGGCAAAGTGGAGGACGAGTTCGGGAATTTGATGGATGGGCGCAACAAATTGCCCGAAAAGGACATCAGCTTCCCGGGCCGCCTGATCCGGCACCCGGTCCGCCAGATTTGGATCGGGGACATGGGAACCGGGCCCAGAGCGCCGATCGAGCCTGTTTGTTCCTCACCACAAGCCGCTCAGTTCTGCTCAATTCTGGCCGGACGTGGTCGTTGGTCACTGCAGAGCTCGTTTGATGATGCTGATGGATTGAAGCGAGGATAACCGAAAAGTCCTGCGACCGGTGTAAGCCTACCTAACCCTAGTGGGGGAGTCGCTGGGTAGCTTTCCTCCCGCCCAAGCATTGGAGCTTGTGGGCCTCTGAGCCCCATGATATTCTACAATGAGCCTCTTTGTGTAATGAGTATGTCCACCTGTGTTTTTTTTTTTTCGCTCGCCGTCAGCTCCCTATGGCCCAAAGTACTACCATGAGCAGAGGAAGTTTAGGGAGGAGTCTCAAAAGTTACTGGATTTGGGAGGTGCCCGCGTCAACCGACCGGGACAATTCCACGTTCTGCACCTCCTCGCGTACTATCGCTTAAGTGCATCAACGTCAAGGCACGCCCTCTGGACCAGCGACCACATCCGGCCAGAATTGAGCAGCCCTAGTTGCACTCGGCCACCCCGGGCGCATCCTTTATCTGTCCGCCAGGAGTACAAAGGAAACCTTGGCAACACGACATCCAGCCCCAAGCCGGTGTACAATGTCCATCGATCTCTCACTCGACAGGATCAAGAGGTTGCTGGGCGTCCTGGCCTACACCCGACCCACGATCCACATCGCAGGAACGAATGGCAAAGGCAGCGTTTGTGCCCTGGTATCCTCGATTCTTACAGCCGCGGAACCCGCTCTCGCTATCGGGAGGTTCAACAGCCCACATCTCATCTCGGTGCTAGACTCTATTTCCATCAAAAATAGACCGATATCGGAGGAGGCGTACTTCTCCGCAAAGGAAACTGTAGAACGAACCGACAAAGAGAACACCATCGGCGCAAGCAACTTCGAACTGCTCACATGCACAGCGCTGGTAGCCTTCGAGCATGCGGCCGTAGACGTCGTCATTCTTGAGGTTGGAATGGGCGGCCGCCTGGACGCAACAAACGCCGTGTCAGACGACTGCATCCTCGTCTCTGCCCTTACCGCCGTCGACCTCGACCACCAGGCTTTCCTCGGAAACACGGTCGGAGCTATCGCTCGCGAGAAGTCCGCAATATCCAGACCTGGGAGGCCATTCGTGATCGGTCCGCAAGTTCACTCCGAGGTCACTGACGTCGCGCGATCTGTTGTAGCCGCGGTGGGAGGGGAGGTGATCCCCCTGCCCATTGTGACCCGGGCCAATTGGGACGACGCTCTGGATGGCCCGCCGCCGCCAAGAGACCCCGCATTCGAGGGCGCGTCTCCACGCCTTGTCCAAGTCTCCATGGCCTGTTTCACCGAGCCCGTCCGCGCCCTTCTTCCATTGCACGGAGCGCATCAGCTCGCCAACCTCCGCGTCGCGGCAGGAATTATCTCCGCCGTGCTCACCCACTCATCCTGCGAGAAATTCGGCCTGGGGCTGCGCGACCGCATTACGCCCACCGCGGTCGCCCGCGGGATCGCGAACACCCGCTGGCCCGGCAGGTTGTCCTACCACACGCTCACGCTGCCCGCCCAGGCACCGGCCGAACCGTCGGGGGCTCAGAAGCTGCTAGTTCTCGCGGACGGCGCACACAACCCCGCCTCTGCGACCGCACTTGCTGAGTACCTCACTGAGCTCTTGGGAGAGTCTCCCCAGGGGACGCCGAATCGCCCACTAGTGCTCACATTTGTGCTTGCGCTGTCGCACTCGCCGCCGAAGACCCCAGCACAGACCCTTGCCCCGCTCTTTGCGCTGCGCGAACGTCTTCCCCGGGGCCGCCAAGTGCGGATAGGTGCCGCGCTGCTCCGCTTCACCCCACCCGCAGGGATGCCCTGGGTCCGCCCCGAACCACCCTCGGTGATCCGTGCCGCCATCAGCACACTCGTCCCCTCGCCCGGGTCAACCATCGACCTCTGGCCAGACTCAGACGCGAACGAAGCAGAAGCGGCGGGCAAAAGCGAAACGGCGCTCGAGCGGGCCCTGCGCTGGGCCGCGGGTCGGCACGCGGCCGGGCGCGAAGACGCGCTCGTCGTGCTCGCGGGCAGCCTGTACCTCGTCGCGGATTTTTATCGGCTGCTCGCCTCGCTCGGGCAGGCGCAGGAGATCTGGGGTGCGAACTGAGAGGCCTGCGCCCTGCGCGCGCGAGAGCGCGCTGTCAGCGAGACGGAGGTGCGGACGTCCGTTCGTGTTGCCCGCTCACGCGCGCATTCTCCGCAGGAATCTGGCAATGCTCAGACGGCGGCGGACTGGGAACGGAGAAGCAGCAGCGGCAGGCGAGGTTCCCGCAGTGAACCGTGGACGTACGCAGGCCCAGGGTCGCCATCCAGGCTCTAGTGCCGCTTACGTTCGTGCTGGAGAGAAGATGCCGGGGGCGGGGCACGCGCGCGGCCGCGCACTGAACAGGCGGGTGCGCGTTTCTCCGACGCTTATCCCGAGAACGTCGAAGGCGCGCCGCTGTGGGACTGTGGGGGTGCGCGTCCGGCTCGACAAATGGACGGGGCATGGGACCCGATCGCGGGAGATCGGCGATGTGTGCGCGTTTGCCGTGGGTGGAGGCCGGTTGGGGTATGTCGGTGCAGTTTCGGATGTATGGGCGCGCGCATCGCAATAGAAAGCTTGTTTCCGCCTCGCACGCTAGACCATGTATGGGCGGCAGCGCGCTGAATGGGCCCCGCCGGGCTGCAGCGTCGGCAAAGACATCAGACCCGCAGGGGCGGGGAGCGACCCGGCGGCAGCTGCGCCATCGTGTTCAGAATGCGTCCGAGATGGTTGATGCGGCGACGTACTGCGCGCGGGCGCCGCGGGTGGGACGCGCACCATTATTTCGTGCAGGGGCGAGCGTGGGTCGGGCGGTGCAGCCGCTGAGAACGTCGCGAAATGGTCGGATATACACCGATGGAATACAGCAGCGCGTACAGGAGCACTATCGACACTGGGCAGGGAACCGAGCACTGCTTGCCGTCATCGCCCCGCATGTGCCCCGCAGAGTTTTTACGGCATGGACATCCTGACCACCGTACCGCCGCCCAGGTTGCCGTCGAACGTGAAGAAGTTCGCGATGGGGGGCTCGCGGGCGGCGAGCGCCTTCAGGATGTCCTGCGCCAGGAGGCCGCCGACGACGGCACACACAGGTGAGAGCTCGTGCGCTGCGGTGGTCGCCATCGTACTAACGAGATGACACACGGGCGTCAATGGGGGACGCATCGCGGTGGTCAGCCCCAGCAGTTAACCGATATCGCGAGAGAGGCACACGCACTCTATCAGCTCCCTCGGGATGCTCGGGAGGGTCTGCTTGTTCACGTCGGCCTCCGAGATGAGCCTGTTGGCGATGGCCTCCAGCTCCGCCGCCGCCGCCGGGTCGTCAGGCAGCGCGCCCTGGTGGGCACTTTGATACTCCCAGACCGCTATTGCATCCGTCAGCGGGCACCCGTCAGAAAGCATCCTAATTTGGCGCACCGAGCACGGTGAACACGACCGCCGGGTTGAGCTCCTTGGTCTGCCGCCTCGTCATGCGCGTCCACCGGTGCTGCAGAGCAGCCGTGAGCGGGACATATGTGGCGGTGTTCTTGACGTTCTTGGTGGCGTCCTTCTGGCCTGACTTGTCCCTAGATGTCGACCGCTGGTGAGAGACGATCCGCCGCTGATGTCATGCACGACGTACGGCGCGATGTAGTCATGTTGTAGCAGGTCGCAGAAGATGTAGCCCGCAAGGCCATAGGAGCCCCCGGCATAGAAGGGCTTGTTGAGTCGTCGACATGCGTCGTTCAGGCGGATCTGAGGAGCATGTCGAATACGATCATCACCCCGGTCGCCAGCGCCGCCCAGCGAGGATGCGTGCTTACCAGAGTGTTGCGGTCAGAGTCTGTCACGCAAACCATGTCGACGCCGTCGAGGAGCTTGTCGAGGGCATCACCTTCGAGGACAGATGGGTCTGACACGGTTTCCACTACCACAAGAGGGTTGAGGCTTTCGATATGCGACTTTGCCGCATCCACTCGCTGTCAACATGTGTGGTAAGCATAGAGTAGTTGTAGAGCGTATTGCACTGTTCAACAACAGTAGCTAGTCAAGGTGCTACGCCTGCTCGACGCATTTTGGATATGCACAGCGCCCGTCCAACAGAGCCCACAAGTGCCAGCCTAGGCCGCCGGCCCTGCACACGCTCCGCAGCACATACGCCGAGCCCGTACTAAACGTGAGAGCACACTTGGGCTGGTGACGCGAAGGATGCAATCTGAGAGACGGACGTTGCGCCCGTGGGTATGCCCAAGACAGGGTGAGCGCCGCGCGGCCGGCGGGCGCGGACAGAAATAGCAGAACGGCGCCACGCCGCTGTCACCAGCGACGGTGGGCCCCGTCCATGAACGCTAGCGTGTGCAACGGACAGCGGCATTCTCGAGCACAAGGCGCACTTGGGCATCCATGTGCCACAGAGTGCTCGTGGTGCGCTGTGCCGGGCCACCGAGCGTGGTGGTATCAGAGAGCCGGGCCGGGCGCGATCTCTCACCTTTTCGCCAACGTCTTCGTCTCTGAAGAAGAAACCTGCGCCGAGGTCCTCCTCGGCGACGTCGTCTGCGTCGACGACGACGAGCTTGCCAATGCCCGCCAGGACGATGTTCTTGATCGCCTCCGTGGCGACTCCCTTCAGTCGGACCACGACGATGGTGGCATTTCGCATCCTGTAGGGATAAAGTTACCATGAAGTCTGGCTCCGCAGCACACGAGTGCGGTCTGCACCAGCCGCTGTGGAAGACGGCGGGTCGGTAACAACCCCCGTCGACCGTCTCATGTGGCCCGCCGCGTCAACGCAAGCACGGTTTGCGCTCGAACGGGAATACACGCGAATGCTGCTGGGCGACGCTGAGTCGCAACTGGACCCTGCGGGGCCAGTTGTCATGCAGCTTCGCGCAGAGACGCGCGCCCACCTGACAGTGGAGAGAATAGCTCAGGGCACACGTGAACGCACCTTTGCTGGGCCTCGAGGCCCCAGAGGCGGATCTGCCTGTCATACACGGCCGCTTCATCTGCACGGGGGAAGACGAGAACAAGTGAGCGTCATGCAGCTGCGAAGACGGACGATACGCAAGGCGAAGCGCGGCATTCCCCATCGTGTCCGCATGGTGCGAGACAGTTCAGAATGTGCTCAGCAGACTGGGCGGCACTCGGGGCCTGTACCCCAGTACGTGGGGTGTATGTTGTCCGCATATGTGTGCGTCCGCGCGTATGCCAAGGCCTAGACACATACCTTCGGTGATCGAAAGCGGGACGCTCTTCGTTCCGGGTTCTAGCGTCGCCATTGTGCACAGAAGACGGGATAAGTCTCAAGGTGGGTATGCAGGCTCTACAACTCGCAATTGGTTGCGTTGAGGCTATGCCCAAAAGTCCCACGGCTGTAACGGACGCTGTTAGCCTGCTGTCCGCACCCGGGGAGCGCGGTGACGCCAAACTGCGCGTAGAAGAGAGGCTGGCGAGGAACTCACCGCGTACTGGACAAGGGCGGGTGAAGGGCGGACGACGTCACGTTGGCGAGTTTGGCCAGGTTCGCAAATCGCCTTTTCGGGAGGACCCCTGCCTAATTTCGGCCGTTGCCGCCGCAACCCCTAACCACACGCACCAGGCCTCCATTCATCGGTGTGGCTGCGGCCGCGAAGAAGTAGATGCGCAACATAAATATTGTTGGTCAATCTGTACGCGTGGGGGTGCGGGCCATGGACCTAGTAGTGTGCGTGCTGGCAGGAAGATGCGAGGAAACGCTATGTTGCAATACTGTAACCTTATGTTCAGGCCCGGGCCCTGCGGCGAAGACGACGATCACCCAGCTACACTCGCACACTCCGGCTCACCGGCCCACTGCCCGGCCTCCAGGAAGAGCGCGAGGCACAGGGCGGTGGGCAACGGACGCAGAACGGTGGCCAGCAGACATAGGCCACGGTAGGTAAAGTTCGACAGCGCGAGCAGGCTCGAGTTCATCAGAGTGGAACCGCTAACTAAGAATACAGCATTCGAAAGACGTGGCGACCGTCCCCTCGGTCGTAAGTACAGTATTGGTAGTTCATAGGAGCCATTAGCAAGAAAAGGAGAGACGGAAAGCGGTAGTAAGGAGGGTGCAGGCCTAGACACGTAGGAGTGGGTGGTGGCAGGTAACAGGAAGAAAACATGTGCATAGCCAACGGAACGGTTATAATACAGCCGGGCGTGCGGGCGGTCAGCGAGGCCGGCGCGGCCAGGGATAAACAAGGGAGAGCACAGCGGAAGGAAACACTACTACACGGGGGCGGGTACAGGGGTACATCCACTAAGATAGCATGGGGGAGATCGTCGAACCGTCCGGGAGCCTGTTCCGAGCTCATCGTTCCGCTCCCCCGACGACGTGCACCGGGACTCAACAAGGAAAGAACAGGGGCAGCGCGGGCAGCCTCCGCCGCGACAGGTCCCGACGGCAGCCCTTGGGCTGCAGGAATCAGCTGCCAGCAGGCACCGCGGCCGCAACCGCAACCGCGGCGGCGCCTTGCGCGCCTCAGTTGGCCATCAGCGGCATGCCGGTGTCGCTCCCCATGCCGTCCCTGTCGTCGTCCAGCCTGCAGGGCGATCGCAATGTCAATGTCAGTCGAACGTCTCGAGCGGCCGAGCCCCGGGCGAAGAGGACCGGACGTACAGGTAGTTCCTCTCGATCTCCGATAGAATGGACAGGAAGTCCCCTGGGGAGAAGCGCGGGTGTCAGCATCGAGCGGCGCAGGGCGAGACGGGAAGAGCAGAGAACAAGAACGACGGGGATCCGGAGCCGAGGGCGAGGGCGAAGGCGGGGGCAGAGGGAAGGCGGGCAGGAGAAGCGTTAGACTCACATAGATACGCGTGCGCGCGCGCGGCGGAAGCGGGCGCAGTCTCCGCCTTCCGGACTGCGTCCAGCAGCGTCGACGCGACGAATCGGACCTTGTGGACCTATCGCGCCACGCCTCCGTCAGCCACGGTTCCAGCGGAAAGAGAAGCGCTGATCTGCTCACCAACGAAGGCCCGTTCGTGGCAATCGACTGAATAGGGATGCTGCGGGGGCAATGCACGATAATTGTAAGCTGGCGGCGTACAATAGCTGGGGGCCCGCGCCGACGAACCTATGCAGGATGTTGAGAAGGTCGCTCGCGACCGCTTCTCTGTCTTCGGCCACCCGCCGCTCGTCCACGCTCCCTTGGAGCGACGTGATCAACTCGTCGCGGTACTGTTCAATCACGAAGCGGACCAATTGCTAGCGAGCCCAGAAGCACGTCCCATCAGCAACTCAGCTCGGAGCCTCGCCCAGCAGCCGTGGCATGGGAGAGGGTGGTATGGCGTGCGCGCACCTGTGTGACATAGAGGTTCGCCTGCATCACGAGGAACGGGTTCAGGGCGTTCGCGCGCGAAGCGTTCGGGTTGTCGAAGAAGTCCTTGACCTCGGTGAACGCCGCCTGTCGGAACCCGGCCCCACCGTACTCGGGTGGGATGTGCGACTGCGAGTGTGCCTGCTTCAGCCGCAGCAGCTCGGGGGCGTGTGCCAACGCCGCGACAATGCGGGAGTGCAATGCCTGCACTTCCTCGAGCCTCGCCGTGAGGAACTGTCCTTGAGGCGGAGACCGCTTGTCGACGCGGATTCGCACGAGGATCTCGCCCAGAAGGGCGAAAATGCGCGAGATGTAGTTCAGACCGGAGACGAGGGCGGTCTTTCCGTGCGGCTGAGGGAGGTATGCGCTCGGCGTGATGCTGCGAAGGTGCCGAGGCGACGGAGGCAGACACGGTCGGTGAAGAAGCGGTAAATAGTCGGCCTCACGCTGGACAGGCATGATCACTCACTATTCGTCGTCGAGCTCCCGTGGAAAATTGCACGTGGTATCCTCATCTCGGAGGCAGATCGGGCGCCCCAGAAGGATTGACATGGATTTATCCGCTGTGGTGAGAAAAAGCGCGGTCAGAATCGATGAGGATAGAGTTTCGCCGGGAGATCAGCTCTCGCGCGACCAATCGAAAAATCGGGCTGCTTACCCCCAAATAGTAACCAGAACGTCCTTCGACGGACTTCGCACTCAATGAGGTCGAGCCCTTCGTACGAGGACTCCTCGTGCATCCGCAGGGTGACCGCGATGTGCGCGGCCTCCCCAAAGGCCGCGTGCTGCGTTGCATCGTGGCCTTCGCAGAAATGGTACACGCAGTCGCTGAATCAAGCGTGTGTGAGCGATCACAAGGAACCATGAGAGCCAAGCAAGTATTTCAGTACTCACAAGTACCGAATGACAACATGCATCGACGTTGGAGGGTCGTACGAAGCGACGGTTATGTGCCGACTAGCCTCATGACAGGTCTGCGCAAGCTTCCGGACAGCATGGCGTTCCATGGGCAGATACGACCGGGGCACCTGCACGAGGGTGGACGCGACTGTCGACATCACGAGCGCGAAAAATAGCGGGTCGCGTTCCTCTCGCCGGGAGTGAACGTCAGCCATGAACGAAGGCTTGTGTACGCACGGCGTCAGGGGGTATACGAAGTCGAAGAAAAGGGCGATAATGAGAAGGATGGTATCACGGGGCGCGACGTCTTCCAACCGGTGAGGCCGGTAGTAGTACGACAGCGGGGGTATAGCAGTCGGCGGGAGGGCCGAGAGGGCTTGGTGTTGCTTGTACGACCAGTTGTGCAGGGGGTACGTACTGAATTGGTCCGTCGGCGAACCGTACTGCTGCGGGTCCTCGGTACGAGGTGGTGAGCGCGACGACAGACTGCTTGGCATCTCCGGCAAGCGCGAGTTGCCGAAGGATGTGGGGACGGACATCGAGAGTGGAGGGAATTGGGAGTGGAATCCATCCGCTGCGATGGGATAGCGAGAGGGTGGCAGCGCTGCTGAATGAATGGACTGCACAGGGCTGAGCGACGCGTCCAGGAAAGATGGCACCTGCGAAGAGGGTGAGAGGGCCGACTGGGTGGGGCTGGGTGCACCCTGTGATGTCGAGCGCGGAGACTGTGGGTGTTCGGTGCCATTTTGATTTTCCTGCTGGGCCGCGGCTGCTGCTGCGGCTGCCTCTTGCAAACGGCGAAGGTACCTGAAACACGGGCGATGATATGTTTGAGACTGTAGCCGTGCATGAACATGTCTATATGCGCGACTCACAAGTTGGGCGGGCCCCTCTTCTTGGGCTGATAGTCGTAGGTGCACGGAATACCGAGGGTGATACAGTGCTTGCAGGACCCCTTCGGATCGTCCGGATTCTCGCGAGCGCACCTCACCTTGCGCGCACGACAAGCATCGCAGCCTGGTGGACACTGTTAGAGAGCGCGAAGGAGAGCGGAGGGCGGCGGGGAGGACTGACTCTGTGATTGCCGCCTAGAGAGGGGTCAAACGCGTCTTGTCAGCGGCATGTTCTGGAAGAAGAGAGAGAAAGGCACAACATGGCGAAGGGGCTGTGGCGAAAAAGAGAAAGATACGCGAGGCGGATGCGGGGTAGAAGAGCAGGAGATGACGGAGGGAGGATGCGAATGCGGGGACGTCGAGGAGAAGGGGATGAAAGGGGTGCGGGGAAAGCTCGGAGAAAGCGTCACTGACTTTCTCTTGATCTTGCTGTTTTCGGACGGGTCCTTGGGAGAGAGGTCGTCAGAAGGGGGTGTGGGCGAGTTTGGTTCTTTTTTTGTACGAGCAGAGGGCATGGTCGAGGGAAGGGCGGCGGAGGCAGGGACGGGCGTGGGTGCGGGCTGGGCGTGGGCGTGAGCGCGGGGGAGGGGAACGGGGGAGCGGAGGCGCTGTTGATCGCGCGCGGGGTAACAGCCTTTCGCGGGGCGGAGGCGGATGCGGAGGCGGGGCAGCAGTCGACGCTCTCTCTCCAGAGGCAGCAGCTATAACCCCTCGGGCTATTCGCGAAGGGCGGAGTGAACAGGGTCTCGGGCGCGGGCGAGTGCGAGAATCCGCCCCCTTGATTTTGAACCGAGTCCATTTGTTTGCGCGCGTGTTGCCCATTTAATTCTCGCTTTTCGCGCGTTTCCGACATGTCCCTAACGGGTTCTCGCCCATATGCTCGCATCAGCCCTCCATCTCGCCCGATCCGGCACTCTGCAGCCCCCTCCCCGGCCTCTCCGTCCGCTCCTGCCCAACAACGCCCTCCGTCACGGGTCCCTCCTTCCGCGCGCCCGGCCAAACCCCGGCCCTTCGCCCCGCGCCGTCCCCCTGGCGCTCTCCTCCCATACGCGGCGATCTCTATCTCAATCAAAGTTGTCGTTCCATGCTGGCACCCACCCTTCTCCGTCCGACAAACGCTCTCACTCCCCCACCTACGCATGTCTTCAAATGTCCCCTTGCCTTAGATTAGTACTCTATTACGACACCCCCGTCGCGTTGTGTATACCGTAGTAACAGCCAATCGCCTCTGCTCCTCCCCGCACTCGTTCGCCGTCCACCGTCCACCGTCCTCCGCGCCGCATCGTGCCTCGCCGCCTTACAATGCATGCCCTCGTCATACCCATCGCGGCCTCTCCTGTCAGAAGACGCTTCCTCGCCCACGTGAACGACGACCATCAGCCCCGAATCCTTCTGCGCGTCCGGGACGGCCAAGCCCCAGAACCGAGGCGTCCTGCCACGCGCAGCGGGCGATGGTCGTCCCCGCATGACCCGCAGCGTCTTCGCCGTGCGCCCCCTACGAGGTGCGCTCCAGCAGGCCGTCGCCCCGTGACGATGCGCGCTGCACCCGGCTTCTATCGGAACGTCCACGAGGATCACCCGCCTCGGGCCCTTTAGCCTTTGCGCGCGTCCCCCGCATCCGCCGCCTCGAGCTCCGCCGCACTCGGTCGGGTCCTTCGGTGCCGCACCAGGCGGAACGCCTCGTTCGCGAAGCCCAGCTCGTATAGCATTACCGTCGCCACTTCAGGCTTCACCCAGCCCTCCTGCGCGTGCCGCCGAAGCTGGCCAGCGATGGAGTCGCGGATGCGCTCCTGCGTGTTGTCGCGCGCGTCGACCTTGCCCTTGACGTACAGCCGCCAGAACGTGAACGCCTTCATAGGTTTGTGAGCGGTGAGAGCGGCGATGATACAATCCCAGCCGACACTCGGAGACGGCGGAACTCCCCGCTTCAGCATCATGTCGACGATGACCTCCGCATACTTCAACCGGGCCTCTGGTGAGGTGTCCTCGGACGCGCGCCCAGAGACGGCCGCGTGCAGGAGCGAGGCTAGCGTCTTGAAGGTGAGATCCTCGATACCAGCGTCCCTCGACTGCTGGATGAGTGAGCGGACCAACGCCGGGTTGCCTTTGTGTGCCGCCCAGTGAATGACAGTTCCAAACGACACCGCGTCAGGCTTCATGTCAGACGCGCTCATCTTCTGGATGTACCGCGCGCCCGCGGCGGGGTCTGCGCGCGCGACCATGCCCAGCGCAAGGTTGACGTCGTGCATGTCCAACTTCATCCCACGCTCCTTCAGAAGCACGAAAATGTCCAACGCCTCGCTGTCGCGCTGGAGGATCGACGCGCCGCGCGCGAGGCTCGTGAGATCATAGTGCGACGCGCTCTCGAGCGGCAGCTTTGTCTCGCGAAAGGCGTCGTAGACACGCGCGGCGAATGCTCGGAGGTCGGCTTCGCGCGCGAGCAGCTCCGGGTACGACAGCGTGTCGAAGCCCTTGAAAGCGCGGTCGTGCGTCCCGTCTTTCGCCCCCGCCGAAGCGTCAGAACCGTCAGAGGACGGCGGCTCCCCAGAGTCGGACTGCGGGTGCGGGGGTGGGGTCGTAGCCTCTGAGGAAGGTGGAGCATCAGATGCGGGGAGATCCAGTCCCTGGGATAGCGTCCGCGATGAGGTCGGCGGGGGGACGGCCTCCTGATCGTCCGAGGACGCGCTGCCGTCTAGGTTTTCCCGGTGTGCGTCCGAGGCCACAGGACGTCTCCGCTGCACCGCCGCCTTTGTCTGGTCTGCGACATGCGAGAAGAGGCTGACCATCCGAAGCATGGTAGACGCGTTGCCTACGACATACAGTGCGTCAGGCCCGGTCGAATAGCGCTCCCAAAGCGCGCGAGCTGGCGAGGCCAGTCCAAAGAGGGCGCTTTGCGCGATGAAGGATGCGCGAACGTGACGGGCCAGGGGAATGTTCTCGTCGACAACTTGGTGTACGAGCAGGCGCCCGAGCTGACCGTTGCGACTCTTCGTGCCGAGGAAAACCATCAAGCGCACGAGGGCAGCGTCGCGCGGCGGGGGATATGAAGCGTCTTGAGCGTTGCGTGACAGGCGGTAGACAGTCTCAGCGAGCTCGGGCATGTCACAATCGAACGTCGCGTTGTAGAACCGATGCAGGATATCGGTTGGGAGGACGTATCCATCCGCGCGCTTGAGGAGCATGTCAATCATCGAGGTCGCGTTCTGTAGGTCCTCTGCTCTAGGGTGCTTGAGCGCCCGGTCCAACCAGTCTTCAACCAACAAGGCGAGCGGGGGTGAGATACTTTTCGCAGTAGATACCACGGCCATGAGAAGCGTCGTCGCGCGAGTGAACCACCCATATTTCAAGCACGAACGAAGCAGGACAGAGAGCACGACGTAAACGAGGTCCGTCGACGTCAAATCTGTGTCTTGTATCGCCTGGGAGTCGATGAGTTGTCGGTCGACCAGCGCCGCCACAAGGTCGGTTGCCTTCATGTCCCCTAGCAAAGCAAGGCGCACGGCGACCCTGTAGAGCGGCCAAAGAATCCGGGGAACCGCGATACCGCTAGCGGTAGACTCAAGTGTATCCGCCTTTGCCCAGCGCTGCGAAATGAGCTTGCGATCGCCGAGGGCAGGCAGCTTGTCCAGCAGAATGGGAACGAGCAGGTCCAGGAGCTCCTTGTCCAGCTTGTCCGGCGGGTACTGCATCAGGGCCCGTATCAACGTTGTACGAGTGAACGTGCTGAGGAAGTGCAGTTGATCGTGCCTCTTCAAGCATTGCAGGAGGGCGAGAATGTCCGCCTTGCTGAGCATCCGCTTGAACTTCAGGGTGCTGAAGAGGATTTCTAAGATCTTGCGCCCTCGTACCTTGCCTCGGCGCTCGTCCAAAATGAGGATGGCATCCTTGACGAAGGTTGGAAGATGCTCCGGTTGGTTTTGATAGACGCAATGCCAGAGCGCGCCGGAGAAGAACTCAGAGGAGATAGTGGTGAGGGCTTCAACCCCTCCTGCTCGCACCGCAAGATAGATACCCACAGGGTCCTTCTTGAACTTCTCGTTGAACGCTTCGACCTCCTCGGGTGATGTCCACGACGGCAGTGCTACCGTATACGCCGGCTCTGTCTCCTCCTTCGCCGCATCCACGGATAGGTTGTTCTCCCTGGCGAGGATGGGTGGCTCTTCACTGGTATCCGCGTCGTTAGGTATGGGCTGTGGTGGGGTAGCATTTGAGTCACTCGCGTCTGCCGGGTACGTGCCCTGCGAGACGGATGGAGTAGGAGTGTGCGAGAGGCGACCGGGGCGTGAATGGAGGTGGGGTGGTACAGCGCGAGGGAGGGCGTTCCGGGTCGTTACGAGGGCTGTAAATTGTCGCTGTGCAGGAGCTCGCAGCAAGTGGTGCCGACAAAAGAACATATAGTCAACTGTTATGTCCAAGGCGAACGGCGTCATCAAGGTGTTTTGCGCGTACGCTGAACGCGTTGCGACGTACCTCATACCGCGGTTCTGCCACCCACTCTAGAAGGCTACCAGCGCAATTGTCGAGGCGCACAGTGGGGGACGAGGCGAGGCCGGTCGTCAGCGAGCACAGTTTTTCGAACGCGAGGTCAGCGACGGAGTTCACGACAGCACTCGCTCGTCTCCCTAGGCGCTCATCCGCCCGGAGGCACGCACGTGGCCCTTCGGTAATTGCCGCATTCGGGTTGGCTAGCGGCGGCGGGATCGCGATTTGTTCAGTGCCACTTGTGAACTTGCCTCTATGTCTGTTTTTCCTCAGATATTCCTTGCACTGGGGCGTCTGGTCTGGCTAATACATAGTGTGTTAAATGTCGGAACGGTCTATCTTGGTTGGCCGGAATGACCCATGATTGCGGATCGTGCTTATCCGCCGGTCTCCTACTATCGCACTTGTTCTACGCCTCGGTCAATTCCCAGCCCAGTCAGCATTTCACAAATTTGATTACACTCCAGGGAAATAGACGAGGCCGCCCGACGCTCTCGTGAGACCACTACGACCCGGAGACTCTCACAGGTTCTGACATTTGTGTTCTATCCATCGCTCGTGCTACAATCCATCTACGAATCCTCGGATAATCATGAGGTCATGCACTTCTCTTGATTCTCAGAGGTCAGTCGCACCCCTCCGACTGCTCCCGAACGAGTTAGTCTCCTTTCCATCCTTCTCTATTCAGTCCGTGCCGATGTGTACCCCAGCCTAGGGCGTCTCCTGCAACTTCTCGGGTTTGATCCTGGATGGGGTGTCGCATTGGCGTTGCATGAGAATAAAATAGCGAATCCGTGCATTAAAATTAAGCGAACAGATGATCATCCGTCGCAGATCATCCGCTCACACCGTAGCGGATAGTTGGACGTTGTAATTTTCATCCGATGTCCGAGGTCGCCGTCTGCTCGTCTTGTCAAAGCACTCATCAACGGTACGGCACTAAGCTTCTCAGGAATTTCTACGTCGAATCCGCTGTTTTCGGTGCCTCGCATACAAATTGCGGCTCCGCGCTCCCCAGCCGAAGAGAACATTGACCGCCTGACCCCAATCATAAAGCCCTCCCCACGCCCTCCATGAACCCGGTTGATGTTCGGGATCATCTTGGGTTCATCGCGGCGCAGCGAGCAGCAGAACGGCGTCGACGCGGCCGAGACCGTTATAGCTTAGCGTTGATCCGTAATTGGGTCTAAAAGCTGATTTCTGACGACCCCACGCCGATGTCTGCTTCCTTTCCATACACGTCCGGTTACCTAGAGCGTATCGTTGTTGTTGTGCTTAACCGTACTGCCGCCGGTACTTGGCTGGACCTCCGACCAGACGGACGGAAACTATTCGCGGGCATGAGTGATTCGGTGTTGTCCTGCAATATTTGCCCCGGTACCGATGTCGGCATTATCTGTAAGACCGAGGCCGGGGGATTTTGTTTCTGGGGGACGGATGGCTCTGCCGATGCCCCTTTGGGCAATTTGATGCAACGGCGACTTAAACCTAACGACGCAAAAGGTACAGGATACCTAGGCTACCGGCACGATCCTGTGGGAGATGGGAGAATACCATCGGAGTGACTTGGCCCCTGTAGGAAGTGGGGCTCTCGGAGATACCTGTCGGAAAGACGTAAGTGCAGTCACTGGACCAAGAAGGTTTATGACGATGCTTCAGTTCAGGGCTGACCCTCGGGAAAATCATCCTCATACACCGTTCAATGTGAGACAGGGAAGAAGAAGAGTTCTAAAACGGGTGATATGCCTAATTGGCCTCGATTGAAGTATATGTAATCTAAGATCAGTACTAGGTTGCTTTGCTCAATGGTAAGCCAGTCGGGTAAGATCGTTCTTGGACACCTTCCTAATTTAGACGTACACTGCACCCGCAGGATGGGAATTGTGGGCGCTTGTCATCATGAACTGACGGCAGGCTGCGCGCGGCACTCGCCACCTCTTCCGCCACTGCCCTTTCTTCTGCTTACTTGTCTATCTGGACCTCTTGATATCAAAATCTACTTCAAACTGCTCATAATACCTGTGGATTTCCGTCTGGCCGCGCAGAATGGGTGCATCGCAGTCCACGGCGTCACAAATCCCATCTCGGGCCCTACATGTCCTCCGTGTTACCCCGTCCTCCCCCGCGTCCCATACCAACATAGAACCCTACTTCGACTTTGTGATTGGATATAAGGGCGATGTGCACTCCTTCAACACGATCGAAGCGTCCGAGCTGGAACGGATAGTCGAGAGGCATGAAGGGAGGAACCTATACCTTGTCATGTGGAACAGCAAAACCCAGAGTTCACGCAGTACGTCAAGGGGTCCGCTCTATATCTGTCTTAATGTCTTACAAGCTTTGGGTGCGCAGTTGTCCTCGTAGTGCCTTCACGCGATTGGTCTTCACCGCATGCGAATATCCCGGACCCCCAGGAGCCCGAGGCCGAGCGGAAGCCTTCTCTGCTTGGCTTGAGCATGCGCATGTGCGAACCGGAGTTTGCCATGGACAATGTCTGGCACGTTCTGGACGTGCTCGAGGGCAGCCCCGCGGAGAGCGCAGGCCTAGTGCCGTATGGGGACTGGATTATTGGCTGGTCTGGCGGCGTTCTGAGCGCAGAAGGGGACTTCTACGATGTTGTCGAAGCGGTGCGTGCCTTTCATGTCCGCGCCCTCCTCGTGGAGCGCCGTCCGTCTCACGCACATTACAGCATATCGACAAGCCGTTGCGCGTGTATGTTTATTCTTACGACTTCGAGTGCGTATCTTTACCCCCCTTCTGTCCGCGTTCGTTATGCCTGATGCCATTCGGATGATCGCACAGCACCATCCGCGAGGTGGTATTGATTCCCAACCGCCACTGGGGCGGGGAAGGTTTGCTGGGCTGCGTTTTTGGGTATGTTTCTCCCCCGCTGTCATTTAATGTGCTTTGGGGTGACATCTCTCGTAGGTTCGGACTACTGCACCGGATACCACCCCTTCCGGCGGACCGCGAGCCGGGTGCCATTCCACCGGAGCTCGCCCAAGATGAAGCGGACGACGAGGAGTACGAAGAACAGCAGCTCTTCGTCCCGGCGGATCTGCCCGGGACAGCGGAGACTCCCGAGGAGCTCGAGGAACGGCTACGCTGGGAGCAAGAGGAATGGGATCGTCAGCAGTCATACGCGGCAGCGTACGAGCAAGGGCATGACCAGGCTTATCGGCCCTCCTCTGCATACTACGGCGAGGACGACCATGAGAACGAGCACCCCCACATGCATGCGCATGCGCATGACGCAGATTTCCAGCACGGTGCCCACCAGGTTGAAACACCGCACGCTTCTCATTCACACTCGCATTCGCACTCGCACGACGCGCACGACGATCACCACCACCATGATCACCACCATGATCACACGTCTGCACACGGGAACGGGCATGCACACCATGATCACGACCACGACCACGACCATGACCACGATCATGACCACGACGGGCATGACCACGCGCACGAAGATAGCCACGCAGACGAGGACGACAGCCAAAATGGTGCAGGTGCGAGCGCAAGTGGAGCGGCCCCCGCACCGCCACAGACCCCCGCAGCCCCCGTCCCTCGCCCGGCCCAGCGGACGCCGTCGATCTCGTTCGCAAGTCCGCGCGCGTCGACGCCCACGCCCACGCGCCCGTTCGGCGCATACATCAACGGTGGTTCGTCGCGCCAGTCCTGAACGTTCTCGCACGACACTCAACGCTGCCCCCTTTCTTCGCGCACGCCCATTGAAGGTTTCGGCCCGGGCATGAGTCCGCGCACGCCGTCCTGGGACGGGCGCGGCATCGGGTTTGTCGGTGCGGGCGCGGGAGGACACGCCCGAAATATGTCGGGCAGTGGCGTGGGAGGGAGGGAGGCCGTTTGGGAGGGCGAGGGCGACGGGGATGGCGAGAGTGTGGCGGACACCGACGCGACGGACATGACGGATACGACCGACGTCACCTCGCAGGGCAGTCTCACGAGCGTCGATTGAACGCGCGAAGGAGGGCGTCGTGCCCTGCTGCGCGTCATCTGTACTGGTTCTCGTCATCGCTGAGCGCATGTAAAATGGTCGAGTTGCTCGTTTGCTATAGCATGCGGAAGACGTCGACGTTAGTGTTGTCACTTATTTCGGACTTTGGGTGGATAGGGGCAATCTCCAGGATATACATTTCTCGGGTACTCACGCATGCGCCTTCTACGGCCCCGCAGAGGCCGGGGAGCAACGATCCAGGCTTCGCAATCCTGTGCGTAGCAGAACAGCAACTATTGATACACAGCGTACAATGCACAGCGAACATATCCTACAAAGCATGCGACAAAGCTATCGAGTTCAACGAGCATCTTCGCAGTCAACTGGTCAGGTCGATGGATCAGCCTTCTTGTCCTCCGCGACCAGGTTCTGCAAGATCATGGGCCACACTGTAGGCATAAAGCAATACGCTGTTAGTGCCTTGCGGTCATATCCTAGACAGCCCAAAGTCTACGCACCTTCTTCAAATCCAGGCAGCTTCCCGATACGGAGGAGTTGCCCAATATTTGCCAGTGCCCCCGTGCGCACCGCCATCCAGTTCTGGAACATGAATGCGATCTGGACCTGTAACGCCAGCGTCAGAGGCGCCTGATAACGTGCAATGAGCACAATTCGCACCTTTCGGACGTCCTCGAACGCAGCAGAGAACGCGGAAAATGCCTCGACAGCAACGTTCTCGACCGTGAGCGACTTCACGATGTGCCGGAACGCACGGTCCTTCAGCTCTTGCAGACCTAGTCCTACGGAAGGGGTCCGTCAGCATAGTCTATATGCTCCAAGTGTGTGGCTTACTATCTGCAAGACGGTATACCGACTTTGCGGAAGGCGGCCGGGGTCGCCCAGGGTTGTTGCGCTCCCAATCCGCAACCCAGTCCCTGCGTGTACGCGGACCTGCGATGGTCGAAGTGGACGATGCCACGGTCTCAGAGGGTTGTTGTTGGTTACTCCGCACACCGAACCCAGGAAATCCCAACGAAGATTGGCCTTCTGACGTGAGCGCCGTCGGGGTGGAGGGAACAGACGACCCTCCTTGCGCGAGCGACCCAGACGAGACGGTGAGGAAGGTGGAGGAGAGGGGCGCGAATACGATCATGTCGGTATAGATCTAAATTAGCACATTAGCAGTTGGGTTAGAGATATGTAACTGAGAGGCGCACGTAGTAGAGCACGGCGCGGTAAGTAGCATACGCAACGTCCTTCACGACCACACGCAACTTCTTGGGTCCTGGCACTTCGGGGATGGCGATGGTACGGGCTGGTTTTGGCTTGACGATACTAAGAGGTGCTGCAGGTTGTTCCAGCCCCACATTTCGACTTCGTGGGGAAGAGGGATGCGAGAGCTTAGGACGCGTGTTCCTTTGGGCCTGCGCGACTTCTCCGTCATCCGCCGCATTTTCGCGCTCACCTTCGGAGGGCGTTTCTTCATCGTCTGCGCGTCGTTTCTGGCTGCTAGTATCATCTGTGGAAATCGGCTTCCGGTCGTCTGCGAGCGTAGGACTTCGGAGCTCGTCGAGTGGCGGAGGCTCTACGGTTTCGTCGCGGTCGTTCTCGAGCATAACGGACTCCTCGTCATCCTCGAAGTCAGAGTCATCGAAATGGCGGGCATATGCGGTGACGCTGGAAACGCTGGCATCGTCTTGTTGGCTGTCGTCGAGGGCGTCGCCATCCCCGGAATCAACCGGAGCTGCTTCTGCGAACCCCGAGCTGAACACTGTTCTGGACGTCAGACGCGAGTATGACACGATGAGCATATTCCACCCACTGTCGTTGAAGTGCTCTATTCTTTGAAGCATCCTTCGGGCCGCATATATCTTGCGAGATTCGCCTCTCCCGCGCTGCGGGATAACGAACTCTACGTCGGAGTATATAGGACTACGGCTGCTGAGCATGGAACAAGAACGTATCAGATATCGGGTCGACTCACTCGTCCATAAGACTACCCATAGTGTCCAAGAGGTTCATCGGGACGGTATACGGAGGGATGGTGGGTATTGGTGCTGGCGGCGCAGCGGACACGGTGATTGCACATATCACCAGGAATGCGTCGTGCTGTCTGACGGTGTTTGCTTGATAGTATACAACATCCCTGCGAGCGAACTGAGACCATCCCCAGTTTTGTGCCTGATACATATTCCCTGAGCAAGACGCATAAGATGACAAGCGATATGCAGACCTACTCCGGGATAGTAGAACGAGTGGTCATGAGCCTCCTTGTAGTTGAACTGGATAGTCTTGCTCGGACTACTTATGTTAGCTGAAGGTTTTATAAGGACTGGAAGGGTCCTTACTTGCGGATCTCAAAGTTGAAATTGAAGAGACCTTCACGGGCCCACCTACCATGCTCATCAGCGCTGAAGGTACATTCTCGGCCATGACTTTGGCTCACTTTCCGTCGACTGCGTTTTCTTTCTCTGCTAGTGTGGGCTAAGAAAGCGTCAGTGGGACTCCGACGATGCGTTCGATTCAATCTCCGAAGTGCTACCGACCTCGCAGGCCAAGTACAAGCTAACCCAGGTTTGGCCGTCTGTTCCGACGATACCAGCATTGACATAGAACAGCACCTGTTTATATGCTCTCAGCACTGTACGCATTGCACGTGGGCTCTTCGCGTTCTGTCAGACTTGTACTGACTTGCCATCGTCCGTCACCAAATCTTGGGGACTTGATGACTTTTGACTTGGCTTCCCCTTTGCTACACAACGGTCATGAGAGTTTTTGTGCTTGTGGGTCTGATCGATTACTAACCTGCCTTCGAACAGGTTCTTCAGTCCCCGGACCGTCCATTCGAATCGTAGTGTCGTGCTCTCTTTCGCATCGTCCACGGCGGTGGCCGTTGGTGGCACAGCACCCGCCTGGGATTTCCCAGAGGTGGGAACCGATGCCATGGCCACTCAGATCTAAGCAGATGAGGACTCTGCGGGTAGATGGATTGAACCTCAGCACAAGCAAGGGGATCAACGAGCAGAATCAACGATATGTCGTCGCGGAAGGTGAATGAGGAGTCGGAGTCGGCGTTGTGGCGCTGCAACACTGCTTGAACCTTTGAACGAGCGCTTCATCCAGGCCTCACTCATCCTGCATGTTTTGGTACGTAATCGTGGTCCTATGGTCCTGCCCATCGACTTCCATGATATTACGGATCCTCGATGAGTACAGAGAATACTCATCCACGCATAGCTGTCAATAAACTTCAACTTCGAGTTGCAACGCGCAACCACGGCCTGGGACATGTCACCGCCGAAAAGTCGTCTCAACCGGCGGCAGCCGCGTGTCAGAGCATGTACATCGTAACGTCTGAATGGTACGTTACACGTCTCAACGCGAATTTGTGTGTCACTTCTTACGGATATATCCACAGGTTCCGGGGTGTCGTGTTACCCGCTGAAACTAGCCAAGACAACAAGTCAATGTCTTCACCAGGCATAACATGCATGATGTCCACTTTCTGTGAGCGTCGGCTGGTAAAGTCGACGAACGCGACCTCGGGATGGGGCCCCCCACCGACTTTCACTATATCACAGGAATCTTCACATGTCACGCCGTCCATATTCAACGTTCAATAGGTACCCGCGGCGGACGAGGCTGGCCTCGAGAAGTAATTAGCGCCCACTGGAGGCCAGCCTCCTCCCGCCGCCATGACCGTCTCGTATCAGCCCGCGCTGGCATTCCTTCCTCAGTCACCTTCGTACTTCCGCCATCAAGTTGTCGCCTCATCAACCTCAAGCGCCACTTCGGTATACTCGTCGATCCTCCATGATCGCCATGTCCACGTACAGCAACTACACCTACGCGAGGATGTCCCTCAACATCGTTGTTGCTCACTCGCGCATCGAGGTGAGTATCATCCCTCGTGTCAGTCCAGACCACTTCATTGTGGGAGCTGTGGCTGGTACACGCCGTAAGGTGGATGCCATAGACGACACTGGTCTGTGCAACCATCAGGTTGAGGACGAGTACACCCGCTTGGTCAAGAGGCTCAAGCTTTCCGACGATGGCCTGCAGACCGTGCGTGCATCTTTCGGCGTTATACATCTTTTGGCGTTATAAAATTTACTCATGTTCTTCTAGATTCGAAAGTGCCTCGCGAATTTGTCTCGCAATGCCGTTGGCAAGAAGCGTGTCCGTCCCGAAGGAGAGGCAGTCAGAGTTCGTGGATTACATTCTTGCCTTTTCCTCTTGCTAATGATTTTGTAGCTGCGCAAGAAGTTCACGAAGTCCTTGCGCAATGCTTCCCCAAGGTCTGACCACACTGGAGGCCCTCACTTCGCCTTCACGTTCACTCTCGCATCCCTTGCGCGACCCTCGGAGGCGGTTCCTGTGGCTATGGAGGACATCGAGGTGCTCATGCCTAGTATCGACCTAATATACGGCGGACACAACGATCTTGTGGTCGTCTCGCAGCAGGATCAAGTTCCGATGCACATCGACAGCCAGTCTGAAGTCAACTGCGCGGGCTCGAGAACATCGGCCTCCATCTCCACCGTAGACATGGAGACGGAAGAAATGCAAGGGGTTTCTCATACTCCTGACGTACCTGCAGACTCACCACGCGACGCTGAACAAGCCGACGACGCCCCTCAAGTCGTCACTTCCGTCAACATGGACATCTCCATTCCCCGCTTCCTCCTACAAGGCACTGCCCTCAAGGTCCGCCGTTCGCCTCCAGGTGCTGTCCGCGGCCTCGGAAAGGCGCGGCAACGTAGAGTTGCAGCGACGGTAATCCCTTACCGCAAAACCAGCAGGCCCCAGTGGTATGCGACAGCCTCGCGACTCGGTGGATCCTTGACCGTCCCGGAGCAGTTCGCTTCGACGTCCATGGAGGGAGCCCCAGCTTCCCCTGGACGTATCTCTTCCGCCAAATCTTTCCTTCGGCTCGTCAAGCCGTTCATATCGCTTGATGACGATGACGACGACATAACCACTTCGACCGTGGAGGACGTCGTTCCAGACGTTCTCGTGGAGACCAAAGAGGGGTCTCCTATACAAGTCGAAGAGGTCGGATGTCGTTTTGAATCGACAATCCCGATAGGAGAGATCCATGGCGCGCTCTGCTTTTCGACTCCTGTGGAGAGTGACGAGCATTCTGAAGACGATGGCGAGGCCCCTTTTAGCGACTCCGACGTTGCTGGGTTGCTCGCCTCCGATGAGGAGCCTCAGGCCGATGTTGAGCTCATTGAGAATGTCGCTGAGGCTTCTGAGCTATGCGACTGTGGGTCGCCTGTACCTGTTCCGGTGGAGGAAATTGGACAGGATGTCTTTGGATCAGTCCTTCGTCTTCTCGCCCCGATCACCGACCGGATAGCGCAGGTGAGTTGATTTTTGCCCATGCTCACATCTTTCAACTCACCTTTCAATTATCGAGGATACCACCTTCGAGGAGTTCGACACCTCCAATGAAGAGGACGGAAGTGCAGAAGATTCACTAGATGATGAGGTGAGTATCACACTTGGCCAGTATCGCCGGCGGCTCATCCGTCAATCAGGTCATCCACCACAGTAAAGAGGACAGTTTGTTCAACCTGGCCTCAATACGTGCGTCGTCGTCATTGTGCTGTATGGAGAACGCGAACTCGTCAGCTTATGACGCCGACATCTCGGACGAGTTCTCTCTGTATCCAGTCTCTGATGACGAAGAGGATTCTCTCGTCGCCTTCTTCGAACTCCGGGAATGTCAGGCGTCAGTAGTTGTACACAGGGAGGAGATCGGGGAGCTCGAATCAGCGGCCACTGATTCCTGCTCCGGACGGCTCGTCTCTCACCTGGATGAGTGTTTTTGCGAGGAAAGCTCGCTGCATGCTTCCGCTTCGCATCTGACCGCCCTCTCTTCCTGCACTTCGGAGATCTGGTACGACGCTCTGGACTATCCATGCGACGGTCTTCGCACACCGGCTTTCTCTCTTGGCGACATTCAATCCGCCTGGGACGCCGTCCTCCCTGGCTATGCCCAGTCCTCTCTTTCTGCTACCGGAACCTGGATCGACCTCAATTCCTCCACCAGCCTTCCCGGTACCATGCCTGGCGCCTTCAACGTCTCCGGTCTGTCCGACTCGCCCCTCGAGTCACTCTATGACTGGACTTCAGCGGTGCCGATATCTGTGCTGCTCTCCGTTGGTTCGCCTCACCTTACGTCCGACTTTCTCTGGGGCTCACTTGGTGATCTCGCCCCCGCTGAACTTCCCGCTGCGTCATCCGAGCCCTTCGTCTCAGCCCTTGACGACCCCTTGGAGGCGCTACGCCGCGACATGCTCAGCCTTCTTTGCGACGACTCACCATCCCCTTCCGATACTGCCTGCTCCTTTCAGCTGCCTGAAGACGACTTCCCGCTGTGGGTGCTGAACAACGCGCCTTCCGAAGACCTTGCCGACCACGAGGTATCTTCGATGGTGCCGACCTCAGTCCCTGCTCTCTCTCGTACTTTCCCTGGCGCTTGGGAAGAAGGCTTCGAGTCTGTAGACGACCTCTGACGCTTGCATTCGCCGCATCCCTAACGTGTTCGACGTCGAGGATGCCATCCGTTTCAACTTTCAGTGCCGCTTGTCTCGATCGAAGCTGTTTCATCTCGTGGTAGTTATCTAGTAGTACTTTCTCCCGTTCATCAGCCAGGTACGTCTTGCCCCTTCTCTACTGGGAAATGACGTTCTGATCGAGTATCAGTTTCCGCGGTTCCCCAAGGGTTTCTAGCTCGACTACGTGGACCGGCTTTTCTCCAAACGTCAAATCTTTTGGGCTAGGGGTGGAACTCTGACCAAGTCCCCCACGCCCGAACAGTTCTGACAAACCCGACATTCCTCTCCACCGTCAACATATCTCTGTGGCCCGGCTGCAGCTCACGGTCCCGCCCACCCCGATGTTTCGACGACTCCGCAAAGACGTTCTCTTTTCAAGTATGCTCGGCTTCCAAAGCCTCCAGCGGCGTTGACCTGCGCCAATGGAGGTTGTCTGTGTAGCTCCAGCACGTACCCTTCACCCCCCGCCAACACAACTCCGACATCCCGGCCGTCTTCGCGTACGACTAACGTGTTCACGGCCGACGATCCTCGGCATTTCCATATTTAATGAGCGAGAGCGGCCTTGGCGACCGCTCAGGAGCCCTTGTGCGTTTCGTACCTTGATCCAGGAGGACCGCCGTGCGCTCCACCCCGCCACTCACTTTCTGGCACCTTTCCACCGACGTCCGTCGCTCCCTCGCGGATGTCCTCTCAATCGGCAACCGTATCTTACGGCATTCTAGTGGGTACTTCTTTTGGTTGGGATCATGTCGATGCTGACTTCTTCGTCGTAGAATATCCTCGCACACGATGCGAGGTACATTCCCCTCTGCCCTGTCCTTGTTCACGAGTAGGGCATAGCGACCACCCCCTTCGACGCTCCTAGAGTCCGAGTGGTCTGACCCCCTACTGCTCATTCTTGTGGCATCAAGTGCGTATATCTCCCACCATCAGTATGCGTCCGCAATCCTGACACACTTCCTTTTAGATCTTCCTCCAGAGTACATGGCTGCATCCGTGTAACCTTGAGGAAGATGATAATGCCTCTGTTGTCCCCCGCAACGAGACAATATCGCTCGGACGACCACGTTCCTCTTCATGTTCATCCCTGAATCAGTGAGTTTTACCGCCAGTTTCTGTGTGCTATAGTCATACTGAGATTACATTCAGGTCTGCATTGTGGGTTCTACGGTGCATCGTAGATTCCCTCTGTGCAGCACGATGCGCCAAGCGCGCCGTTCTATATGCATGAAGAACGGGGCGCTTGGCTAGCTGCGCGTCCCGTCACGCTTTATGGACGCAGCGACTCAGTAGCGATTAGAAGGTAAGCAGCACCGCGTTTCTTCATCGCGCCTTCCCGGAGACTGATGGTCTTGTCCTGCAGGTGTTCATACCTAACCACTATGGACATCATCATCGCCGCTGATGAAACCGCTCGCACTCGCTATTCGGTGCCGGCTCCTCTCGCCAACCTCAACGCTCCTGCTTATCTGCTTTCAAGACATACTTCTCGCTACGACACACAGGGACTGGCCAGTCCTGTGTGTTCTCCATCCTCTCAGATGCTCGGGCTGGACCCTCCGACCATGTCACCTCTCCCCACCCCAGCTGACTTTCTACATCCATGATCACGCATATGCCTTCCCAGCGCTTGGTGAGTGCTCGCGAACCACTTATCCTCTTCTGAACGCACAGCTGACCTTCCCTCCTAGGCCGCTCGGGGAATTTTTGTTCGCACTGCTCAGATACCTACTCAGTCGTTCTCTATCTCCGGCTTCTCGGATGTTGAGAGTAGCAGACGTGCTATAGACTCGTGTTGACTTTGTGTGGCTCCATTCTTTTATGATTATATCTGCGATACCGTCTTTCAGTTAATGGGGCGTGCGTGGGCTGCGCGCGTACTGCTACACTGGTTCGAAGTACGGCGAACGGAGCTATACCCAGTCGGCACCGTCAAACAGGCGATTACTATCAAGGTACTGAGCGGGACGCATGAGACTATATACGTGATTTTCTTCTAGTTATATACAGCGAATGTACGAATCTGTGGCACATGTTGACTTAGACTGCTCACGCCACTGTCACTCGGACAGCTGGCGCTGCGCATATGACTGCCTCCTCTTCGCCTCAGCCTCATTGCGCTCGACGCTGCGGCGGATCTCTCCGGGCCAGTCAGTCCCGAGCCACACGACCGCGTACTCACTCAATCCGACGATGAAGAGGGCAACGACTTGGCCTGTATGTCGCATGAGTACCGTTGCCGTTAGCTCACGATTGAGAGCGATGCGTACCTATCCAAAGACCTTGGAGACCCATGTGCGTCTTCGGGTGGAAGGCAAGCGTAATGCCGAGCGGCAACGCCAAGACGTAGTACGCGACGAGATTGAACAGCGCGCCGAGGTGCTGACGGCCTGTCCGAGATGAGGTCAGTCGCAAGCGGGACTGGCTCGGCTATTGGTCACGCACCTTGGCCACGAAGGACACCGCCGCAAGACCCCGCGAGACCGTCGGCGATCTAGGACCGGAGTTAGTATCGCGTTTGCCACGCCTGAAATCGACGCACCTGGAATGACGCCACGAGGGGCATGACCTTGCTAACGAGAACGACCACGTCCTTGTCATCGCTGTACAGATAGCCAAAAACCTAATATCCAGGTGAGCATGCACCGAAGGATCTCACAAGGAAACCGACTCACGTCTTTCGTAGCGATAAGCACGACCATGACGACAAGGCCGGCGACCACGCTCAGAAGCGCAGAGGCATGGCTGGCGCGTTTTGCGCCGAGCACGGACCGCGCGCCGATGTAGTTTCCTACTTTGGTCGATGCCGCAACGCCTGCCGTACGAACGTGAGCTAATGAGACGTCGCATGAAGGAGCACACGTACCGATGCCAAACGGAATGGTGTTCAGGACTGGAAAACGGGACAACCTTGTAAGCATGAGAAGAGAGGCGGGTACTCGTCACTCACTTTGGTCAGTCGTCATAATGACAGACTGAGCAGCGAGAGGGAGCGCGCCCAGGCGGCCGGCTGCTAGCGCGACAATTTCGAATGCAGCCCTGTGCGCTCATGAGATCAGGTGAACATAATAAGGTTGAACAAAACGTACCATTCCGTGCCGACCATGAGGATACCCGGGATAGCAAGTTTAAGGAAGTATATGCAGCTGCCCACATCGAAGACGACGGCAGGTTGAAGTCCAGCCCATGTTCCATTTTTGTGATGGGTCGGCGAAAGATAGGTAAAGAGCACCAGGAGGAAGAAGCATAGCCAGAATGTGATAGAGATAGCAAGGGGAGCACCGAGAACGCCAAGAGAAGTGTGGTGAACTAGAACCACGTTCAGAGCCACGTTGACCGGAGCGACCAGGAGGAGAACGTAAGTCGAAGCCCGCATAATCCCTATGAGCAGCACTGCGATCAGGAACCATTGTAGTGTACGTGCGCGCAAATTATAAATTCACCTTGACACTGTAAGTATTTCTTGAGGCTCTCGAAAGCGATGTAGCCCGGAGCGCCGAGAAGGAGAACGCGGAGGAATGACTGAACGTCCCGGCTGAGCCGCTCTTCCTGGCCAGTAAGCAGAAGAGCGGGTTCTATGAAGGCCCAGAGAAAGCCGACGGGTATGAAGAGCACCCAGAGGAGGATAATGCAGCGCTGGAGATGAATGGACACCGACGGCCGGTCTCCGCCTGTGAATGCCTGAGAACCCAACGTGTCGAGTGCGGTCGTGCCGCCCAGCGCGACACACCAGCCTACAAAGTCACGGATTGGATCAGAAGAAACAAAGGCGCAGGGAATTGTACTTGCCGAGGGCCATGGCTAGCATCAGCGAGAAAGCGGCCGCGGACAACTCGTCGGGGCCCAGACGCCCGGAAACGATAACGGCCACAAATTGAATCGAGTTTTGGAGGACATACGACAAAATCACTTTGTGCACAGAATGAGTTCAGCTTGTATGTCGCGAGATGAGAGCGAGGGACAAACGCACCTGGAACGGAGTCGATGAGGAGGGAGGAGAAGAGCGCGCCGAGCGCTTGTTTGTCCGCGTGGCCGTGATAGGAAGGGCTCTCGGTTGGCGACAACCCATCCGCATCCGCCAACGTCGAACTCGTCGTCTCGGACGCCGCACGCTCTTCCAAGCCGTCGTCGCTTAGCAGAGGCCGTCTCTCATCAGGAACTGCGGACGATGCCATTGCTGGTAGGAGGAGTGGCAAAGTGAGAGGAGCGAGTGCTGGTGGAGGCCTGAGCTCAGGGGATATGTATCAAGGGACAGAGGGACAAGGATGAACCTGACCTGGAGATAGCGAATGTAGGAGCCCCTTTTACTCACATCCGCGTCGCGCTCGATATCTTCGTCTACCCCAAACTTACTCTTTTCCCTGATAGGACAAGGATCACCCGGTCCACCGCCAGCGGCTCTATCGGCGTGCGTGATAGCTCTCGCCCGATACCGAACTCACGGGCGGAGGCCACTGTGAGTCATGGCGGGGCACGCTCAATGGTCAGAAAGGGTAAGAATAACATTTTTGCAAGTCCGGTGCACCGTGCCTTCAGGGATCTCGGTATGAACAAATTTGTCACTGCACGAGGCACGGCCTAACATTTCGCAGGAAATGGTATTGTCCCTCGGAACACCATACCGTAATGGTTTTCCGGGCTTCCGCTGCACTTCGATCGCCTGCCCCAACAGTTCTTCCGATGGGGGTGGAAGATTATGAGATAGGCCCCTCATGACCGCACAGGCGACGAGGTAGCTCGTCCTGGGGGGCCGCTCCGATGGTTTAAAGTCAGGCTCGAGGCTCGCTCTTATCCCCCAGGACTCTCGCTCAGTCTTACCCCGCACCCCCACCTACCACCATGCAGCTCACCTCCGCATTCACCCTTCTTGCTACTCTCGTGAGCGTGGTCGTAGCCCATGAGGGCCATGACCACGACATGCAGATGCCTCTTGACTACGTCAAGTTCCCGTACCAGGCTGCTTACCCGGGCGACAACGAAGGTAACGGCACTTTTACTATATCCCTCATATTCTCCGATCCTGACCACGTCTTCTAGTGACTGCCGACTCAATCTTCTCCGGCATCACGACGTTTGCCAAGCTGCCTTGGGTGAAGTGCCTGGGAAAAGAGAGGACTGAGGCATTCGACATTGCGTTCATCGGGGCGCCCTTCGTACGTCATCATTCAATTCATTCCGACCATTGCTGACCATCACCACAGGATACTGGCACGTCTTACCGTCCCGGCGCCCGATTCGGCCCTGCGGGAATCCGCGCGGGTTCGCGTCGTCTGACGCTCTACGGCGGTTACAACGTGCCCCTTGCCGTAAACCCCTTCATGGCGGGGTTGAAGCTGGTCGACTGCGGCGACATCCCGGTTACTCCTTACGACAACAAGTACGCCATCCAGCAGATCGAAGACGGTCACAAGGAGCTCCTTCACCGCCCTACCTTCTCACCGCTCGGCAACGACACTCTGACCGGGAAGCCCCTCGTTCCCATCTCCGCCGATGGCAAGCACCACCCTAGAATCATCACTCTCGGCGGCGACCATACTATCGTGCTCCCTCTGCTGCGGTCGATCCACAGTGCTTACGGCGCCATTTCTGTTATTCATTTCGACAGTCATCTTGACACCTGGAAGCCTGAGGTCTTCGGCGGCGCGCCGTCTCAGCAGGCGGCCATCAACCACGGCACTTACTTCTACTGGGCTAGCCAGGAGGGCCTCATTAGCAACGGGTCGTCAATTGCAAGTATCGTTTTCCCTACTCTCGGGTCCCGCCACAACCCTTTTCCTTCGTCCTTGAGCACACATGATCCTAGTTGAAATTTATCTTAACAGCACGGCGCGATTCGCACCACGTTGTCTGGCCCTGCCGATTACGCCAACGACGATGCGTCTGGCTTCCAGCGCATCGAGGCACGCGAGATTGATACGATCGGTTCGTCCTCATTCGTCTTCCATTTCGTCCACCATTCCTAACGGCGTTTTTTCTTAGGCACGGCTGGTATCATCAAAAAGATTCGTGAGACCGTCGGCGACAGGCCCGTGTACCTGTCCATCGATGTACGTGATGCTGCCTCATGGGATCTATCCGCACACAGTGGTTCTGAACTGACGCGTTCTCTTTAGATTGACTCCATTGATCCCGCATTCGCACCTGCGACGGGTACTCCGGAGACCGGGGGATGGTCCACGCGCGAGCTGCGGACGATCCTCCGGGGCTTGGACGGTTTGCACATCGTGTCTGCTGACATCGTCGAGGTCGCTCCTGCGTACGACACTAACGCCGAGCTGACCACCATGGCAGCTGCCGACGTAAGTGTTCCTGAATCAACCACGAGGCTGGACTTCACCGCTCATATCCGCTCCACAGGTCCTGTACGAGGTCGTCAGCGTCATGGCGAAGACGCCCTTAGGTAAGATCATCGTCGACTAGTTGTAAAAGGTTTTGGTATTACGGCACCATCGTCCCGGCATCGTGTAGTTCCCGGTTCAATCGAGTATTCAAAGATGTCTACGTGGGCGCGCGGCTGCTATGCGAATGACTTCGATGGAAACCACACCCCCGCATTCGCGTCATCCCGAGTCTTCCACGGATGTAACCCAAAAGCGGATTCTCTTACATACTTGAAATCAGCACACGCGAGTCTTATCTAGCGTGAGATTTGGGGCAAACAACGTGTTTGCTCTACCGCTTCTTGCATGTCGTTCCTTCTGACCTTCCTTTTTTGGGCGAACACCCATGTTCGCTACGGGCGAGGCGCACGAAGTCTATAAGTCGTTCCCACGCCGCGATGTCGACGGGTTTCTTCGAATTTCGGCGGCAGGCCTACTCGTCAAGCCAAGTGAGGTCGTGGTATGTGCGCGAATAGATTTATGCTCCTTTTGTGCTGACATAACAGCGAATTCTGGTGTGATTTCGTCCCTAGTTATCTAGACTTTGGAATGATGATGCCATGCCTTGCAGTCCGCCTCGAGGCTCGTATCTCTGTCCGAGAACATTTGGGGGAGGCATCGTGGCTTTCGCGGAGCTCAACTTCAATTGCGCACGCAGATCTACCCACCAGGTGAGATTATCACCTCCGCCACGTTGCGCCAGGAACTTCAGTTGATCCTCTCTGTACAATAGTGTGGCATCCATGTCGTCTTTCGTCAGGAAGAGCAATGGAAGAAGGGCTTCCCTACCGAAGTGACACGCACGCCGTACAAATTTCCCAAACGAAATACCGCATTGTCACTACATTGCAAAGGCACATTGCAGATGACTACTATTACGGCACTTCGCCGAGCCGCGGTGAGTGTGTTGTCACATCGTCTAGCCTCTCTGTAGTCATGCGCATGAAACTCACCAACATTGAGAAGCTTCTGGACATTCTATGCGTAATGCAGCAGAGCAATGGGATGCCTACTTACCGAAGCAAAGACGAGACCGTTGCCAATTTCGCTTTGATAGGTAGTCGTGTTGCTCGTGACTTTAACCTCTATTTTGGAAGCACTGTAAGTGGGTTTTCGATCAGCGATACGCCGTACTATTCGTCTCGCATAACGTATCCTTACTCATTGACCTGCCTCGTTTCAGATCTTGGACTCAGCTGATGCCGTTCACATGCACGCGCGGTGACATACTCCTACCCAACGGTACGCATACATCCACCACATGATAGCTCAGGCAGCATGCACTCCTCTCGTAACTCCTTCTCCTCGCCCGTCAGAACCTCTCGTCACCGCGGCCGATCATCACGCCTCACGTACAACGGAAAACTGCGGGTACCGGATCAAGGGCCTGGCTAAGGTTGCTCCACGTCGGACAGGCATTCAAAGTGCAATACGACGCTTCGCGAAGCCGGTGTGGGTGTGCAGCACGTCAACAGGCCCCCAAATCCTGCCCTTCCGAACGTAACCGGACACTCTTACCCACCCACGAGGCCCTCCGCGCGCCCGTGAAGTCAAGTGTACGTCTACGTTCAGCACCCGCCGAACCGCGGTCTCATGCCCCGGCCCGTCGTGCGTGGCCTGCACCCTGGCCCGCCACCCAGACTGCGAGGCGTCGAAGCCGCTACTTCACGTGTCCGCGTCTTCTCCGTCCCCCCGAGCGGCCACGCAGCCTGGAACCCGCCAACTGCGGCCCCTGATCCGGGGCGTCATCCCTAGCCTGCCTCGCTATCATGCGGGCCCCCACGTCTGTGGCTCTATCGCGCAGAAGTATCGATGGCGCTGCCGTTCGTGGTCTTATGAGGTACGTAACGCGTCCTGAGCGCGTCCACGCACGCTCCTTGGCTGCCTTTTCTGACGACCGACAATCCTAGCCTGCGAGTCCGAGGCCTGGTTCCGTGCGGCGCCCGCGGAGCTAACGGTTAGTCTCTAGATGCCGTGCGTCAAGAGAACGGGATGCCATACGGGTCGTCTGCGAGAGAGCATCTGTTCGGCCTGTGGTCGTCACATGGGTGATTGGCTTCAGGGTCCGTTCGGAGCCTGCGGCCTCACATTCGTACGTGCCCACGAAACTCCACCCTGAGCCATTGCATCCGTCTCTAGCTCTCATTTGATCCCACGTCTTCCCTGAACAAATCGATTCTCTCTACAGGACTTACTCGCTGTCGACATAGTTGCCTTCGCCCTCATACCATGATGTCGAGACTCGTATTCGTTTATGAGCTATACTCCGAATCACCGCCGCCCTGAAAGCCCCTCTTGGTCACTTCAGCCGCTCGGAGTGCGGGCTAGAGAGCCCGACGCCTGGACATTCCGGCAGTAGTGCGCCCGCCGTCTCCCTCCGCCGTCTCATTGGACAGCGCGCATATTTCACTGGAGAGCTTGCACATGGTGTAGGCATCGGTCTCGCCAAAATTTGCGGTCGTGAGTCTTCCTCACCTCCTGCCTCCCACCCGTCGATCTATTTCGTTGCATTTCACGAACCATCTTCCTCTTGAACGTCACTCAAGAATGGCTTTTCCGATATCACACGAAGCTCTGCAACGGTCTTCCGGCCTGCAAACGACTAAAGAGAACGTGATACTCCTTGCGCCAGCATTCAATATTCATTACCCATGAGTCGTTGGCACACAATCCCGCTACGCGTATGATGCTGCAGCGGTCTCGCTTGCCCTCCTGATCGCCCACGTCTGTCGAGCCAATCATCGCGACTATCCAGCTGCCTATAGCAGCTAACCATGCTCACCAGTTCATACGTCTTGATCGCATCTTCGTACGAGCTCAGAACCCGGTCTCTGGAGCCTCGTTCTTCGACCACGTCCACGAAGGTCTCGAGCTCGGTGCGGAAGGGGTCGTCCTGTAATCTCGTTAGAGAAGTTTCTCGTCCCCGCCGCTAAGAATTATGTGCCCACCTCTTTGAAGACATGCACCTCTGTATGCCGATAGCAGGAGGTGGGTGAGCCCCCTTAAGTCCTTATGATGATGTACATACCTTCCTCTGCCGCACCGGGTCGCCTGATGCACAGTTTGGGCGTACCGTACGGGTCGACGAGCTTGAAGCGGTACCCGTCAGCATATACCTCGAACTCAGTGTCGTACGTGTTCCCTGTCGTGGCGCCATAGTGAGCTTCTCTACGTCGGTATGATGACGAGCTCTGTACCATGTAGCGCGATGACATGCGTGAGCGTCCCGACAGCGCCGCCGCGGTATTTCCACGTCGCGCTCGTCAGCCGCGGAAGACGGTTCTCGGGCGGGATGGGGTCTTCGTCGAACCGTTTCGCGGAGAGTTGTCCGGGAGCTTCGTTGGGCTGTACGGTGTGCGCGACGACGGACGGGAGGTGCACGTCGCCCCCGAAGTAGCGGGAGAGGTCGCCTGAAAGAGCATTAGTCTACGAAAATTGGAAGAAACTGTGTATTTGCGGACAGAAGTGAGTAGCTTGTTCGATGATGGCTTCATGGGGATGGCAATCAGGACATCGGCAAAGTGAAAGAGGGCAAGAACGAGACTTACGTCCTCCGGAACGGGTTTTATCCCACCATGCCTACAAGCAAGCGGATCCTTCAGAGACTGTCGATCATGGAGAAACGATGTGAAACTGACTGGTTTTCTGGCCCACTCGCTGCGCACGATTTAGCGGGACGCTCTCACACATATCACGGTTTACTCACTAAGCCATAACATATCGTGCATTGGTACCCATCACGACCAATCCGTTCTCGGAGATGATCTTCCTGTGAGCAGAAGTAAGTTTTCCCCGTTGCAAACAGCATTTGCCAGTACTACTTCATCACTTGCACAGCTGTGTTGCCGTTCTGTTAGTGCGCCTTAGAACCAACGTGGCTTCTCGCGGAGCACCTTTCAGATATCGCAGCATATAGCCGACGCCAACGAGCGTCCCGCTCTTCTCCAGTACGTCAGCGACGCGCCAGGCCGCATCCTCAGGGCCGCTGCTGACGGGCTTCTCGACGAACAGCGCGCATCGCGGGAACGCTTCGACGAGCTGGAGCTCCAGATCTCTCCCAGGGATGTCGGTGCCGCGCGCGAAGGGCGGGGCGCCGACAATCGCTATGCTGGGGCGGATCAGATTCCAGAAGGAGGCTTCGGGGAGCGGGGGGTGCAAGAATTGTGGGCGTACTGGGGTGTCTGGGAGAGCGGCGAGCGCGCGGCCTCCGTCACCGTGGGGAATACTTTGCAATCGGCGTAGGCGGGTGCAGCTGGGGATGCGAGCTTTGCGTCGAGAGCTGCGGTCGCTCGGGATGCGTCGAGGTCGATGAGTGCTACCACCCGTAGACGGGGGCCCAGAATTCTGCCAGATGGTAGTTTAGCGTCGATGCCCCAACATATTGTTCAATTATGGTATCTGACTGTTCCAGCCGCAGTGTCTGTGCCAATATGGGATCAGTATATAGAGCGTTAGACACGACGATGCACATCGTTCAAACTTACATGATTCCATGGCCCTTCGACCGAGCCTACGAACAATCAGTGTTCGCTCACAAGTATTCTGAGGTCCGGTACCTACCGAAGTTGATCTCGCCAGCCCCGACGAGAAGGATGTTGACTGTCTCTGACATGCTGTTGTTTCAAGCGGTAACCTGGAACGTACGGGTCGACTGTTACTGAGATCACGTACACTGCGAAGCAAGAGCAGGGAAGGTATGTGGGTTCAAGATAATCTCGAAGATCAGCGGGATTGGCATTCGCCTCCAGGTGGCTGTGGAATGACGTCTGCAAGAAGTACACGCAGGCGGGGACATCTGCATGCGGGGCGAAAACATTCCATCTCCCATCTCAACATAGACTCCGGCGGGATGGCACTGTCTGGAGGAACATACCGCCCATTCATTGACATCCTATGCAATATATTACCCTCGCCGTACAGTACATGTTTCACTTTCGAACCACGGATCACCTCTGTGCCCCATGAGTGGGCCCTGCGCACTGATACCAACAAGCATAGACAAACGGGTGCGTATATGCTTCAAAGCTGCGGCGTACCTGTGCATGTCTCGTCACGAATGTACGAGGCCGAACAAATGCCCCCCATTGCCGGGTGATGGACGCTCACTGCCGCCTTCCAGCATCCGTTATGAAGGCGACCGGCTCGGGCTAGGCGAATCTCGTTGCAACGAAAGCACATACGCAGTGAGAGTCGACGCCGTATTGGTAGACATATCTAGCCGCCAGCCCGCAGTGAGAGGTCCCATGTCGGCCACAGCGCGGCTGAGCCCCCGGCCTGTCGAGACCGGAGACGTTGTGTCGGTGTCTGCCAGTCGTTCGGGGTGAGTGCCAGACAAGTATAGGTGAGAGGCTGGACAGAGAGGCGACGAGCATGGCAACGAGAGCGTACTGTACTGGACACGAAGAGGACGGGGGAGACGGAGGGGGATAAAGAAAGAGAGACAGCGACGGACGGTGGCAACACTGCCCTGCACGTGATGTCGCGGCAGAGGCGAGGGCTTCGCACTCCGAAATGTCTCCACCGCGCATGTCTCCCTATCTCCCCCGCCCACCGTACCCGACGGCCTAGCTTACGACCCCCATGCTCGCCTTCTGTCCTGGCCAGGAGGACTGCACCCCAGCGAGGCGGAGCAGGCTCTTCGGCAGGCAGACGCCCTCGATCACCCCTGGTTCCACCCCCACCTTCATTTCAGGAACCACGGACGGCTCATCTCCAACCGCACCTGCAACGAGTGCTCAGGGCAGTTCACAGACGTCCCCGGTACGTTTCCACATCGCGTAGATGTTCTGTGCGAATCTTACGGAACGATTCGTAGTCACGTCAGACTCAGCGAGCCGATGCTACGGCCACCGCCGCAACGTCTGACCCAACCAACGGCGACCAAGTTCAGGACGCCGGAACGTCTGCTTCGAATGGAACAGCGTCAGGACAGAGCGGTACATCGCAGGATACCTCAAATGCGACCGACTCTGCAGGGCAGACTCAAGACCCCTCTGATGGTCAAACGTCCCCACCAGTGTGCGTTCTTTCTGTTGCATGTTCAGCGCGTCAGGATTAAGTGGAGATGTCAACCAGAACCAGCCCGCCGACTAGTCCGCCGACCTCTCCTCCTACCTCTCCTCCAACTTCGCCACCGACTTCACCACCGACTTCTCCGCCTACGTCTCCCCCAACGTCTCCGCCCACCTCTCCGCCCACATCCCCTCCGACATCCCCTCCGACATCTCCTCCAACATCTCCTCCTACCTCCCCGCCCACATCCCCACCGACCTCACCGCCTACATCGCCTCCTACTTCGCCGCCCACATCACCACCCACTTCTCCTGCTACTTCACCTCCTACATCGCAGCCCTCATCATCATCAGACCCTGGAACACCCACCACCACGTTCAGCTCTGACACCACTGCACTCTTCGATGGAGCTCAGACTACTATCACATCGGCCGTAGGCACCACTGTTATTGACGGGCAAACTTCCACTATCTTCAGTGCTATACCGACCACGCTCTCGCCAAACAGCACTGCAGACGGGGTAAGCTCCACGAAACGTGACATCATTGCAGGCTCGGTTGGCGGCGCCGCGTTCCTGATCCTCGTCGCCGCTGTCTTCCTGTTCTACCGGCGGCACCAGAACAAGAAACTGTCGTTCTTCAAGCGCCTCCAGCCGAAACCGCGAACGCGCCTGCTCGACGGCGAGGACATGGACGACTACGAGATTGGGCCCCCCATGGCGCGGTACAGCGACTACCCCGCCTCCGTCTCCTCGCACACGCCATCAGCTTCCCAATCACACAACCACTCCACCCCCACGCGCTCGCCCAACGCACCCTCCTTCAACGCCTCCCTCCAAGGCTCGCCCATGGACCCAAACCGCACACCCACCCCCGGCGGAGCCGCTTCCTCGATGCCCCACATCCTCGGCATGCGCGCCGAGACGGGCTCCCTCTTCCGCGAGGCCGTGTGGCCGCCGCCCGGACAGCCCAGCACGCTCGTCGACCCGCTCGTGAACGGCTCGAGCACGGTCGACCTCGGGCGCATCGTCGACGACGTCATGGGCCCCGGCGCAGGTGGCGTGGGCGCAGGCGCGGCCGCACACCCCCCGAGTGCGTACCGCGGCCCGGGCGGCCCAGGCGCGAGCAGCACGACGCTCGTCCCCGACGACCCCTTCGCGTCCCTCGCGTCGCTGAACACGGCCGCGCACTCGCAGGCGCAGCTCGCACAGTACCCGGGCCCGCCGTCCGCGATGCACTCGCGCGAGACGAGCGAGACCCCACTGCTGCCCAAGTCTACCACCCCTGGGTTCTTCGACCGCGCGCGCGGCCGCGGCACGCCTGAGCCCCCTGGCTCGCCCGTGCCGATGCCCAAGATGGGCCCGCTGTTCGTGACGAACATGGGCCCGCTGTCGCCCGAGGACACGGTGTCGCCCGGGTCGCCGCCGCCGACGGCGTCGGCGCAGCCGCGCAATTGGCTCGAGCGCTCGCCGAAGAAGATGGTGCGCGCGAGCTTGGACCGGGAGCGGGACGCGGCGGGGGTGCCGGATATCGACGTGACGGAGGCGTCGAGCGCGGGGCATGGCGTCGGGGAGGCGATGTGATCCCTTGCTTTGGCGTTGTTGGTGGTCGGTGTTTCCTTCCAGGACCGGTCGTTATGCTTATTTCTCCGGGATTGACCGCCTGCTCAGGCTTTGCTATTTTCTCTTTTAGAACTCAGGGAGGGAAGAACGGGTGAACGACAGCTTACAGCGTGCTTGCCTGCACGCACGGACGCGCGGACATCGCTTGGTATCACACACACACACTACGCCCAGCCACGTACCTCACGATCTCCAGCGGTCTCCACCACCATCTACTTACCGTACCGTACACATGCATACCTGACACTACTACCCCTCGTCCCCTTCGGCGCCGCCAAAACGCGCGCCTCGTCTATCCTTTTGCTTTGCTCGTCACGACCGCTTTACGAACACGCGTACTATATGCGACGACCTGCCTCGCGCAGCGGACTCGGATCGGACTGCTCGGTGCTCCTCCTCGCTTACAGGTATCCTAGGTACGGTAGCTTGCCGTGTGTATAGCTCGCCTTGCTCACAGTACATACTTGCCCACAATATACTTAATATCTTTCACATTGAGACTCGAGAGAGCACACAGGCAGACGGGTCGCACGCAGGGAGGATGGCCATGAGGGACGTCATGAGTTGTGTCGTATCAATACATGCGCAGCAAAGAAAGAGAGTAGTACAAACAAGAAGCCGGCGCGGCGGGCGCGGGCGCGGACACCCATTGGACAGGGCGGCGGGGGATGTAGACAGGGGTGGTAATGGTCGTCCGTGCGCGGCCGTGCAGAGGGCACGCAGAGTCCGACGGGTGACGTGTGTGATAAGAACTAGTGGCCGTGCTGTATTGTAAATAGAAAACATGGGTCATAAGGACATGGACGGAGGGCGAAGCGGGTGCGAGACACAAGTGTGTGAAGCAGGGGGGGTGCAGGGGCAGGAGAATGACAAGGAGGAAGAGGCATGAGGGAACACGTCTAGTTGTGCGCTCCGACCCCGCCCCTATCGGAGGTCGAGGCAGTGAGATGGGGGACTCGCCGACAAAAGATCGTACGAGCTTGTTTTCAGCCCACGGGCACGGACAGACCAGCCGTCTCCGTTCCCCAAACGAGACCCACCCCGCGCCTCCCCCGAGCTCTAAGCTCGAGTCCCGACCTCGACTTCGACGCCTCAGTCGTGGGCGATAGAGTCGTACCGCGGCGGGATCTCCGACGGCTCCTCATCCTCGGGCGTCGCGTTCAGCCGGCCGCCATCCTGGTGTTGCAAGACGCCGCCGGAGGGGCCCGCGCCTGCGCCATCGGGATTTGCGACCTGTCTCCGGTACTGCATTGCCTCGCGCTCCTTCGCGCTCGGGATGACGCCCGGCCCCGGGGGGTTTGAGGAGTTCCCCGAGGTCGACGGGTCCGTGAGCGTCGTGGCTGCGAGCGACGGCCCGGGCGACGGATGCCGGAAGTCGCGCCCGGCCACGCCTGTCTGGGGCCCGAACGACGTGTTCGTGGGGCTGCTGGGGTTGGACGACGTGGGCGGCCCACTCTGCGCCGGGTAGGGGTTCGCATACGCTGCGTACGCCGCGTAATCGGGATAGCCGCCATGATCGGAGGACGAAGGCGCATAATGCGACTGAGACGGCTGGGTGTATGCCGACGGCGGGGAGGCCGTGCGTCCTTCGTTGGCCGCGTAGCCCATTGCCGCACCCGCGCCCGCTCCTGCGACGCCGCCAGCAAGGAAGGACGGGACATGTCCACCGTACTGACGCATATCGGCTTGACCAGCCGCGGGAGCCCCTGTGGGTTGCGGGGTGGGCATCCCACCAGGGTTATAGCTGTACGGCGTCACCGCTTCTGCCGCGGCGAGGTCGATGTCGGGGAGGGTGCCACGATTGTCACCTGTGACGCGGTCGGGGTCGAAGTTTCCGTCAAAGTCGTCTCTTCGGCGACGGCGACAGATGAAGAAGATGAGGGTGGCAAGGATGGCAGCGCCTGCCAGGCCGCCCACGACGCCGCCTACGATGGCACCGGTATGCGACGAGGAGGTTGTAGCGCGGTCGGAAGAAGCACCAACGGTGGGCGTGCTCACGATGGTCGAGGTGACCACAGAGGTGAAAACCGAGCCGTTGGCATCGGTGGCACTGTATCGGGATGAGCACGATAACGTAAAGGAACGCGGCTGCATACGCACACTACGGTGCTCGTTTGGGTGGATGTGGACGGGACGACAGACGAGGAAGAAGTTTGCGTCGGAGTCGCAGAGGAGCTTGCGGCGGAGCTTGAGCCGGAAACCGATGGGCTTGTGACACCGCTGCTTGCCGTTGAAGACGAGCTACTGACTGGAGGGGAGGTAGAGTTTCCAGGATCGGTGGTAGTCGTAGTGGAAGAGGAGTCGGGACCAGTGGTGGTTGACGAAGATGCTGGAGGGTCAGTGGTCGTGGTAGAGGTGGAGGCCGGGGGGTCAGAAGTGGCGGCAGATGATTCAGAGGAACCTGAGGCAGTAGGATCAGCAAGGGAAGTCGTGTCGGTCGTGGATATGCGTGAAGAGGGAGAGGAAGAGGAAGCAGAGGACGGGTCGGATGGAGGAGATGTGGGGTCTGCGGACGTACTGCTCGCAGCGACGACGGAATTGGAGGCCGAGGAATCGGCCGTCGTCGAATTGGACGACATGGTCGTGGTGAAGAGAAGAAAGCAGTATCGCGCGCGGGGCGTGGAGAGATGAGTGCGGGGGATCCAGGAGAGGAGCGCGAGTCGGTCAAGCGAGCGTCATTTCGCAGCAATCCAATCGCCCGGCCCTGTCGGCACCCCCTGCCGCCCCCACGCCCGGCCACTTTTGGCGGACACGATGCAGACACGCGGGGAACGCGATAGAACACTTAGCAAATGCACTCACCAGGGTCCTGGCGGCCAAAGAGCGCGCCGTCGTTGCTCATCTTGTCGGGTTCGTCGTTGACTTGGTGGACGGGAAGAACGAAAGAGCGAGGCGGCTCAATTTGCGGGTGGGCCTTTTTGAGCCCAGGTCACAAGGCCATCCGCTTTTCGTCCCTCTTTTGCTGCTGCTGCTCCTCTCCACCGGCATATGCGCTTTCTCTTCGCCGCCCTCCATTCCGTCCCCGTCTCTCCACACCCCGCCACCCTCGCGCAGCACAACCACCACCCATCCCTCCCCCTTCGCTCCCCCTCCTTTCCGAACGCTTCCCTGCGCTTCCAGCCGGCCACGCTCTCCTGGCTCCCACACTCGCTCGCTGGTCTCGGCTGCCCACCTGACCACGACCTCGGTCTTATTTCTCCGATCCGCTCTCTCTGCGCTAAGTACGACCTCCAAGCCTCCGCCAGCCGCGACGCCAAGCTCAAAGATCGAGTCCATCTCGTTCCATCTCGCCCTGTCCAATCTACACTACCTCCGTACTCATCGCGACTCGCAGCTTCTTGTGCCGGCTTTTGGCAGGTCTGTGCTCTACACTGCACCACTTTGCGCCACTCTCTCGCGATCCCCATAGTTTGACGGCATCTCGGCGGATTGTCCCCTTCAACTCACCGGCCATCCAGGCTCCGACACGTTCTTGCAACGCGTAGAATATATACCGCCCGCTGTTCTTACCCCGGTGTTTCACGCGAACATTCATGGTCATTACCACGGCTCGGTGCGCTTATTCCCAATAGTCTATTGTCGACGAACTTCCTTGCTCTTCGAACAGGGGTAACAACCTGTTCTATACAAGGACACCCAATGAAATTGCGTCTCGCGCTATACATACGACCTTCCAACCGCTCGTCCACCGATCGAATGAGAGGCTTCAAACCAGAACGTGCCGCCCTAGAATTCTTGACGCCGCCGTGTTGCTGCGGGACATGCGTATTTTGACTTCCACCTTCGATCCGCGCAGCGATCCCCTTTCGTCATGGCTTTTACGAGGCGGTGGCGAACGGGGTTCTGAAGATCTGAGTCTTTCGGGCAAGCCTTTGCGGCTATACAGAACTTCGCGTTGGGGTTGTGTTGTGCTGCGGCTACAGTTTTCGAAGCACTCTCAGCGCAGTTTACTCTCCAGTTCTTGGCGACGGACGCCTAGGCCCGGAAGAGAGGTATTCTGCGCACAGGCTATCCGAGCGGTACGGTTTCTCCGCGGCTTCAGGCCAGGTCTCTCAAGTTCTTCCAGCATCAACGACGTCGTGGTCAGTACTCAGTACAGCACATCGGCATTCTGCAACCATGTGCAAACTGTGGTGGCTGTCAACCGATGGTACACATGCATTTTCGATGCTACAAACATAGCCGTACATAGCGCGATGACTACAGACTTGAAATTACGTGGACGGACAGACAGAATGCAACAAAACAATCGCACTACGGATCATCACCTTCACTTCTTGTCCTTACTCTCCCGCGACCCTTTCTTATCTTTCTTCTGTCTCTCCTTCGGCGCTTCCCCCGCCCGTCCGTCCGCCCGCCCGTCCGCCCGCCCGCCTCCCGCTGCCGCCCTTACCGCCGCCTCAGGACCCGCAGCAATCAGACCCCCCACACCCTGCAGGACCTTCGCCGCACCCCACACTGTCGCACCCGCTGCGAGGATGCCGACGCCGGCCACCGCGAAGGGTGTGGCGACGATGGCTCCTAGCCCCATGCCGAACGCTTTCGCGGCCTCGAGCGCGGGTCCGTCCCTGGCGGAGGCTTCAGCACCTCCGTTCCCCGCGTCATTCGAGGTGGAGGAGGAGTGGCCGTCGCTCTCGCCAGCGCTGCCCGGTTCAGTGCGTCTGTATCGAGGCGGGGGAGGTGACGGAGGCGGAGGAGGCGGAGGAGTGGGCTCAGCTGGCTCCTCGATATCCTCCATGTCGTCCTCGCATCGTGCAGGCCCCTCCGGTGTTATCTGTGGACGATCATCGCCGTAGGTCAAGGCCAACATTGTCATGCCGTAAAGTGTGGCTCGAAAGTGAGGTCGAGGATGTGGACTTGGCGCTGGAGTCAGCGTCGGTGTCGATACGACGAGATGCAATTAGTGCTCAGCTCACCCGGAGCCTCATTGATATATACGTGCTCGTCGTGCACTGCGGTAATCTAGAACATGCGGCGTTCACTTCGATCGCACACAGAACTCAAATTGCTTCTTACCATGCTCCATGCGACAAGTTTCCCAGACGTAACCGTCTCACGATAAGTCCAGACGTTGCTGTGTCGTTCGGCCCTGATTGAATATCAGTTCAAGCGTTTTCAGCGTACGGAAGGTGTAGTGCACCGCACTGGTATATTCTGCGTATAGTACACAACATTCTCCTGAAGAACGCCCCGATCACCAGTTCGTCCAGCACAGACGTACACCCACATTAAAGCAAAGCTGAGAATAAGTTATACATAGGTGTGAAGGTATCCAGCTGCAACGCACCCGTAAGTCCCTCCCCTTCGGACGATGCGATAATGGCACTCACTCCGTAGCCCAGCAGTCTCATACAGCATTCCTCCCCTTAGCTCGCCGATTCGCCTTCCGCTCCATCCTGCGCTCTTCGCGCGCCAAATGTGCCTTGTACGCCGCCTCCGGGCCCATCGAGAGCCCTTTCCCGATCCCCTCGACGAGCTTCCCCGCGCCCCACAGCGCCGCGAGGAACGCCGCGACGGGCGAGAGCACCATCACGAGCAGCCCGCGCGAGAACGCGTGCCCGGCGCTGTGCTCGTTCGTCGACCGCGAGGACGTCGACGGCGCGTAGCCGCGCTCGCGCTCGCGCCCGACGAGTGTGGGGCCGTCTGAGATGCCGCGCGGAGAGGACGGCGAGTGCGAGGCGCCTGCGGCGGGGAGGACGGAGTATGCGGGCGGGGCCATGTGTGCGGCGGGGGTGGGCAAGGGCTGCTCGTGCTCGGGCGGCGGGGACATGATGACGAGTGGTGGGGAGGACGCGGAGGCGGACGCGCCGGGCGAGGAGGCCTCGTACTCGGTGGGCGAGGTGAGGACTATCTCGGGCTTGACATCTTTCGCGACGATCATCCTGGAGGTTACAGACTCGTCGGCTCAAGATCTTTCAAATTGTGGCGGGAAGGAGTGTGGGGACGAGGCTTGGGCGGCCTGCAATGAGGTAGGCGGCGTAGGGGAGTGCGAGGAGAGATGGACGTTACGGACAAGGTGTCTGACCACCGTCCTCCGGGGGCAGCGCGCTCCTCCGGGGCTATGTGGGCGTCCCGCTCGCCGCGTGCGACTGAAAGACGTGCTGCCACTAGAATCTTGGAGGGCGCACCGGATCGCGCAGTTGATATGTGATGGCGACGCCGTGCGTGCGGGGTTGGTGTGGGTGAATCTGCACTGCATCCTCGAGCTTCGCCATGTCTTCGCTGACCTCGGGAGAAGAATTCAAGGTGTATTTGCGCAAACAGGAGGAGCGTCGGTCCGAACCTTGTGGCGGTGAGTTGTTATGTAGGGCGCTTCTTTCAATCTCGGGTTCTCTGTCACCGCCATCATCTCTCTCGCCCTGGGTAGGCAGACGATAAGTGTGAGATCACATATATTGGTCTCATGCCACATTTCTATCAAACTATAGTGTGTCGCTTGAGGTAAATGCTGCGGGGGCCGCAATCGAAACATCAGAAAACCAGCACATTTTAGGCCTGGTTAGGACACCTCACCGGTGCATTCAAAGGTGGCCATAGTATGGCGTTGGAAAGAATCGGGTTCAGTGAAAACGCGAAGGTGAGTCTTCGGGTTAGCGCCTGTTTTTGTAATGGACACTCACGTTGAGGACCATGCCAGAGCCACGTCTTTGAAGCATGCCACTGGCATACCCACGCAGCAACTCCATTGGGATGCACGACAGATGTTCAAGCTTCGGCTTGACTTCTATCTATTGAGAGCCCGTCGCATTCAAGAAAGCCGGGCATCTGCGGGTGTCTTTTAGTGGTCTCTGCGCCCGCACCCTGGTCGTACGTCTAGATGAGGCGGAGGCGCCGGATCAACGCAAGGCCAATCAATTGCATCCCTTACATTCTGCTGACACCTCATACGAACGTTCATGAAGTAGCTCAGCCGGCCATGAGATCAATACGTACGTCATAGCGGTGCCTACACATTCCTCCATTCGGCGACGTCCGACGTCGGACATCGTCTAACTTCAAAGGTTAGCACTTTTCCATACCAGCGCGGTTCAAGCTTCACTGATAGCTACTTTTCTGAATTAGTATGCTGTATAAGGACGTCAACGTGTTATCGTTCCACTCCCGGAAGAATCGCATCCGCGGCTTTCCCGACGCCGACGAACATGTGCCATTTCAACGTGTGGCTGAGCCAGTGCTCCGACGTGCGCTCGCTCCCCCTCGGGCTATGAAGCGCTTCTACGTACTCACCTTCGGTCACTCAACGGCCACCACGGCGGATGTGAGAACGGCCTCTTTGGCGGTTGCACTGAAGTCCAGGCATGTAGCAGAGCCCTCTCGAGTGGTGTCTTTCACCTACACATCGCCCCCGGGGATGACACCATTGAAAGCTTGCTTTGGCTTTACGTTCGCAGATGTGGCCGACGATGCCGAACCTCAACTAGTATATATATATATATATCAGTCAGCGTAGACTATGAGTTGGCAGAGCTCACTGCAGTTCTAGCATTCCTTTTTGCTTCTCCTTCCCGCTCTGATTACTCGACATGTTCAAGATTGTCTTCGTACTTGCCGCTCTCGCATGTTGCGCGGCGGCTCAGAACGTGATAATCGCCGCCCCTCCCGCTCTTGCGACGGTCTTCCCCGGACAATCCATCGTCGTTGATATCGATCGTGTGGTTCGTCAGAGTTGTCTTCTGTGTCATCGCCCTAGCTGACTTTCTCCCTAGCCCTCTCTTACAGGCTCCCAGGACGTCGCTGTTGCCATCGGCATCAAGTCCTGTGTGGGCCTCGCACCCGCGGGGACCTGCGACGGCGTTGACACCTCTGGCGACATCGGCACCCCGCTCTTCTCCGGCCCTTACACACCCCAGCCTGTGGGGAACGGCCACTCGGACCTCTTCCAGAACTTTACGGTCACAATTCCGCAGTTCCTGCCCGAAGGTGCAGCCGTGCTCTCCGTCGCGCACTTCGGGCTCATTATTGTAAGCTTCTTTGCTGGCGGGGACATGAGCGCGGGAGGGAACGCTGACGCTTACGTCTTGGGCAGGGAGAAGAGCCATTCCTCGAAGTGGTCAATCAGACTGTGATCATCGGGAACGATGCGGCGTTTTAGGGCGAGCCGCCTGAGCCCGTAATATATATACCGTAGTAATAATTTGTGGAGGGTCATCTTCGACGCAGTACTCATGGGCAGACCTGTGAAACAAGTTCTATGCGCAATTGTCTTCGAACCGATCCGTGTCCACGCTAGTAATATATTATTTTGAAAATGACATACAAGTCGATTGGTTCCTTGCCGTGGGCTGTCCGTGCCTGGGCGCCGCATATTTGAACAGGCACGTCACCGGCGAGAGAGCCGACGCAACGGAGACTCAAGTACGGTGCCCTCGGAAAGGACCCCCGACATTGCCGCCAAAGGCCTGATCCACAAAGTTGAAAAAAGGCAATGTCTGTCCGGTGGATCAGGCCTTTGGCGCCCTGATTTTGTCCGGGAATACACCAGGCCTACCCGAGTTTTCGTGAATTTGTCCGGGCCAGATCAGGCCTAATCGAGCACGTGCTTCGAATAGACGCCAAATTTCGACTTTTGCGGGTCTAAAAGGCTACAAATCGGGGCAAATGTCCGGTTTGGCACCAAGCCTCACCCAGCCTGGCGTCAGTATGTCCGGAAAATGGCATCAGGCATAGGCGATTTTCGGGTCTTTTTTGTCCGGTTTTGCACCAGGCATAAGGGTTGCGGTCCTCAAATTTTGTCCGAAAACGGATCAGGCCCTTGGCAGAAATGTCGGGGGTCCTCCTCGGAAGCGGGGAAAGGCACGGGTGGCTGTACGTGCGTAAAAGGCCGCTCGTCCAGTTTGACGGCAGGGGTTCCCGACGACGGCTCTCTTCGCCGAACGTGCACCCACGAATAAGAATGTAGTGTCCCTTGCATACGAATCGGAGAAACCGCTCGCCTTCATCTTCAGACACTGTAAACGCCTCCGACACGGATACGCCACTGCGCCCCCCCCCCCGACAATGACCCGCTGCTGAACCGCCCGTCGACAAGTCAGAGGCCGTAGTACTGTTGTGCATTGTCCACGGGTGTCCGGGTATCCGTGCGTTGATTCGGAATCGACGCATAGAGTCCCACGCAGTTGCATTCCAGCGCCATGGGGCGTCGCGTTCTGACAGCTCATGCGTATGAGCGCAAGCCCGGGGACTAGTTGAAACGCCCTCCCTAAGGCGCGCTATGCAGGAGTTGGAGCAGTGGCGTTCGGGAGTGATAATGGCCTTCAGGCCGTGTGCATAACTCTCACCTCTTGACGCCCGGCATACGTCGTGCTAGAGGCCTCGGTAAGAGAAGAGCCAGAAACAAAGCCTTCCGGGTGCGACTTTGCCAGACCGTCGGAGCCGCAGCCGCCCTGCGCGAACGTGCCAATATCTCAAATGCTTGTCCTCCCGGGGTGATGAAACGTGTTCGCATCTCGCCAGTTTCCCAGGAGCCTGACATTGCCGATGGCTGTTTGCGCTAAAAATGGTGAGTTCACTCGAAAACGAATGCGTCCCATAATTCCAAACCATCTGACCCGCTGGGACTGCGACTTTCCGGCGGACTCTGGCGGACGGCCCTCGGCGCCTCCTATATACCGGTGGCCAGATAGTAATGTAAGCGCCGTAAACGCCCTGATATGGTAATGCCTCCACTGGGCGCCTCGCGTTCATACTCCCGGTGAGAACACTGTAGTATCTACTCCTGGCTAGTTAGACTTCGTAAAACAAGCACAGTGGTGCTCGCAACCTCAAATTATAAGATTTATGCACATTTCTATAATATTTGGGACAGGTTTGAAGCCATAGAGAGGTACTAGGAGTAAAACCTTACTACTAATCTTATTAACTTGTGAGGGATGTTATAACGGTGCTCATACTTGTACAGCTTCTATTTGAGAGTGATAATACTTTAAACATGGCTCTGAAGCAGGTTTTAGGGATGCGCGCGCGATAACAATGTTTGGGGGGGCACGCGCATTGCGCACGAAGTCGCGCCTCGCGCGCCGCGCGTCGCGAGGTCGCAATTACCTCGTATACCTCGCGCGACTTCGCGCGAGCAACGCGGGCACTGCGCTCACCATTATTGACGTTCAGGAGAGGATTATATACTCCCGCGCGCGTGCAGAATCTTTCTGATTATTATTTACTTGCATTTCCACCGCCCATAATGAGTTCAGTAGCGCCCGGTAGGAGGGCGCTTGATTACGGGTTTATCTCGACTTACCTGCCTCAAAAGGTAGGTGCCTCCTGTTATCTCCCTGATTATCGCACCTGTGTGTCACCATTTGATCGGTTAGTTAGCTAGATAATCACATTGATGTCTCCTAGCTAATTAGCTAGATCTACTAACAGGCCCCCCCACCCAGCGATTCACCCAGCATTCAGCACTTAGATCGTGGCCTACAAGTACTGTGCCCCCGATACAGTAAGTAGACTAGATTAGATAGATCCCTAAGCAGTAGATAACAATAAACGACTGATAACGAGATCAACGTCCGAGAACGCCGGGCGTTGAGTATCCCATCAGCGCCCGCCGTTGATGCCGTCGGCAACGCTGCCTCCCGCGTTGTCCAGACCTCGCGTGACGTCGTCGCTGACGGCGCCGACGCTCCGCCCCCTGGGCGCTCTCCCGCCCGCCTCGTCCCAATCTGGTAATGAGTGCCTCGGGTACCAGGATGCCCTCCCCCGGCGGGCCATAGCTCCTCTCCCCCTGCTCCGAATTACACCGTTCTTTTTGTAATGTGTGCGCATTACATGGGGCTATATAACACAATTTTTCTGACGCTTATACGTACAGTATTCGTTTATACAGTCAAGGAATACACTAAAGGGCACTTTATGAGACAGTACCTCCCCTGTAGGGACATATACCGACCTGTAAAATGCCCGTAAACTGTGCCCCTACATAACTATAACATATTGCTACTGAGGGAGTATTTTTGCGCGCACTTTGGACCAGCGGAAGCGATGGAGTACCATGTTCTCCTGCTGCCAAACATGCCATTATTACTAACTCCCTACAAGTCTCGCGCTCCTGGCGCGCTCTGATCGGGCTTCATTTTTGCGTTAACTATGGTACATATAGCTATACTACGACTTACGGGGGCCGATCCTTGGCTCCATACAGCAGGAGGTCACTTTGACTATCAGGGGTATGTTTGGGGGACTGATTACCTGATATCATACGGCCTGCGCTACACTACTGCTATACAAGATATACCATTAAAAGGCCCCATACTCTACGCATATTCTACAGCAAGAATCATGAATTTCCGTCAAGATACGCAAAACATATGGGGAAAACAGTCACCGGAAATCCCATTGTGCATGTCCATGCACGAAAATGCGTTGCATATCTTGCACAAGTGGTGCATTTCCAGCTTGTTCTGGGCGTATCTCCTGCGCATCGTCATGGAATTGGATGATTCTTGCTGTGAAATATGCGTGCTGTATGGGGCTTCCAAATGATATGTTTGGAATAGCATTATCACAAAGGATACCGTATGTATCAGGTAATATGTCTACAAAACATACCCCTGATGGTCAAAGTGACCTCCCCTTGCATGGAGCCGTAGATCTGCCACCAAAAGAAGTATTATAGCTCAGGGTACGTCATCTAAATGGCTTAATCGAGCCCGATTAAAGCGCGCCAGGAGTGCGAGACTTGTAGGGAGTGAGTAGCATAGGTATGCTCAGCACGAGGAGAACATGTTACTCCTTCGCGCCCCCTGGCTCAAATCACGCGATACAAGTTGCGTTCAGTAGCTATATATTATATCGGTATAGGAGTATAGGTTTTGAGCATTTTACACGCTGATATGAGACCCTGTAGATGTGTTCTTACTCTACAATGGTACTCTCCCAGTAATCCGTATCTGTATACACACGTACTTAACTTAGATACATCGGATTAAGTGCGTTATGTAGCCCCATGTAATGCGCACACATTACAAAAAGAACGGTGTAATTCGGAGCAGGGGGAGAGGAGCTATGGCCCGCCGGGGGAGGGCATCCTGGTACCCGAGGCACTCATTACCAGATTGGGACGAGGCGGGCGGGAGAGCGCCCAGGGGGCGGAGCGTCGGCGCCGTCAGCGACGACGTCACGCGAGGTCTGGACAACGCGGGAGGCAGCGTTGCCGACGGCATCAACGGCGGGCGCTGATGGGATACTCAACGCCCGGCGTTCTCGGACGTTGATCTCGTTATCAGTCGTTTATTGTTATCTACTGCTTAGGGATCTATCTAATCTAGTCTACTTACTGTATCGGGGGTACAGTACTTGTAGGCCACGATCTAAGTGCTGAATGCTGGGTGAATCGCTGGGTGGGGGGCCTGTTAGTAGATCTAGCTAATTAGCTAGGAGACATATATGCCGGTCGCCTAGCTACTTAGGGTGGGAAATGGTGACCCCCAGGTGGATTATCGCTCACGTGAGTCTGCCATCACAGTCTGGCGGACTCCGGCGGAGGATTGTCTCCCAGTGGGTCAGATGCTCTCCATAATTCTTGTCGAGTGCTCACCACTGTGTAACATGGTAGCGTTAGCCCCGCGTCCTCAGGACAAATCGTTCGCCAATGCGGGCGCACATCTCTGACGGACGCTGGCATCCTCCGTTGTCGCTCGTGAACCAGCCTCATCATTACAAGCGCGGCCGCCGTCCACGAAACCCCCACGCTCCGACCCTGCGCGTTAAGTCGTAATGCCCGCCCGCTGTCCGAGTGTGTTGATATCCTTGCCGGCCGTAGCGGACGTGCCTGACTGTACTGCTCGCAGTCGACGGCCCTTGGTTCCGCCTCGGTGTCTCTGCAGGCATCCCAGGGTATGGCGTCTCCGGTCGTGCTCGTCTATCAATCCAAGACGTATATAAGTCCTGCCATCCGACCTCCAAAAGTCAACGGACCACTCCTCGGCTCGTCTCCTCTCAATCCACGACTCACCGGCCAGACAAGATGAAGTGTACTCTCGTTCTCGCTGCGCTTGCTTCCCTCGCGGCTGCCCAGAGCGTGGTCATCCATGCGCCGGCTCCCCAGTCGACGTTCTCGCCCGGTGACAAGATGGTCGTCGACATCGAGCGAGTGGTACGGCCCTCCCATACACCGTCCGTGCTCTGTGGGATACTTACGCGGACCTTTGATAGAACAACCTGATCCTCTCGACCGACGTGTCCATCGCCATCGGGCTCCAGAGCTGCGCCGACGACGCTACCGAGGGCAACTGCAGCGGCGACGGCACGGACAGCCAGATTGGCAGAATCTTGACCTTTGGCCCGTACGCGCCGGGGTCGGTTCCTGGTACCCTCGGCTTCGCCCAGAACTACACCGTGACGGTTCCTGCGGACTTCCCCAAGGGAGATGCCGCGCTCTCCGTCGCCCACTTCTTCTTGCTGGGAAGCGAAACCGTGCGTGCGCTTGTTGGGTGCATGTCAAGATGTGTTGTGCTAAACGTGCTGGGGAAATTAGATAACTGCTACGGCGCGCATCGAAATCCGAAGCGAGATCATTACCATCGCCTAAGTATTTGATGACTTGAAGATCTTACGTTCCATGTAAGTTGTCCACTGCTGTCCACATGTGTTGTGTTTCTGACTGTCGGATATTTAGGGTATGAGGCGGCCACGAATCGTAGAGAGGGTCGAAGAGAAGTCTTACTTTAATAGTGTTGCCATTCTTATGCGGTCAAATTCAGTAGTGCTTACCGTATAATCATCCGTCATGCATTGTGATCCAACTATCGATTGGTGTGGTCGTGGAGGCGGTATCGCATACAATTGATCTTTCCGTAAATCAGCAGTTACGTGAGCTAGATACAGTAGAGTTAGAATGCGAAGTGATTTGAGTATCACCGCTGCGCCATGGAACAGACGTACCTCGATGTTTAGAGAAGAGCGACTTCCTTTACATCCCAAACCGCATGTCCCCGCTCTACGGTGTCTCCTTCCCGCACGCCTGTCCAAGCTGCGTCGCAAGGAATATCGAAGTCTCCGACCTGCCCAACCTTCTTCCATCCTTCATTCGTCCACGACCATCGTTGAACGGATACGTCCTTTCCGTCTCGGACGATACCCTGGCAGTGCTGTCCAACGCGCACAATAGCTCCTCGTCTGGCCGTTCCTGTCGTAGAGTCCTCGCGCATCTGGAGGAAAATCGCGACGCGCTCATCCGGGCGTGGGCCGCCCACGGAAAGTATAGGAAGGGACTTCCACGCCTCCTCGTACTCGCGCACTTCGCCGCTATCGGGGTGGGCCATGTGCCCGCGCTCCAGTGCGACGTCCGGGAGGGTGGGGTGGGGAAACATGTCGCCCTCGTCCGTCTCCTTCTCCGGATGTTCCGTGCGCGAGCTGATCTCGTGCACCCACTTGCCGCGCTCTGGCGTGCCCACGGAGAGGCCTCCGATGCCCCATTCGAGTGCGGTGAAGAAGCGCTCGGCGGACGGCGCGGAGTCGTCGGAAGATGGGCCAGAGCTAACGTTGAAGAAGCGGAGGTCGACGAAGTGTCGGTTGGGTGTGGTTAGGACGAGCGTGGATGTTGGCTCCGAGGCTTCATCCGGGAACTAAGCAAAGCTAAGTGAGCATGTTGACTCACACCTGCAAAGCGTAACAAAGTGCGGCACGCACCCAACGGATATACAGACGCTCTGAGATAGACATGGCGACGTAGAGCGTTGACTTCGGAATAATACTGGCTCGTTCAAGGCGGTAGCACTCCCTTCACGTTGGCCGGGTGCTGGAGTTAGTGAGGGGGCTGTAAAGGCGAGATGTCAGAAGCTGAGATTACGATAACTGCACGGTCGATTTGGGGCAGGCCCGGTGAGGCGCTTAAAGATGCATATCGTCTTGCAGATACATGATGTCCAATTCGATGAGCCATGCGAGCAGTATGGATTTAGAGGCATAAGCGACAAGACGTTGGTGATATGTTTTTGCTGCATTAGACGAAACCTATGATGAATGAGAGAGGGAGTGGCGGGCAGGCACGCCGGTGTTGCGTTGTGGTTTCGTCTGAGTCGCATCTAGCAAGGAGGCGCCGGCTGTTCCCGAGATTCCCGATCTACAGCACTTTGCCTAAAGATGGGCCTCTCTCTCGCCTCATTCAATCTCAACCACCTCTTCGTCCCCCTTCGCTCTGGCCGCCATACATCTCTCTCGCTCGCGTGTACAACAACTATATGCGTCTTATAATCAAGAAGCATATTTCTAGCGCGTATGTTGAAGCTCGGCGAGTGAAACAGAGTCCCCGAGGCGACCGGTGACTATTATTATGGTTGCACACTCAACCCTACTGCGCTTGCAGCCCTACTTGTTTCTTCGGAAAAGGTCCCACCATAAATCAGCTATGACGGTGTGAGCTCTGCACCTCAAGGTTACTGTGACAAGGTAAGCTCTCCGCCATCATATGTCGGACCGGCCAATGAAGACTGAACATACAACCAGTCCCGATCGTGATGGCTGGCGCTGAACCCCAGCCACCATGAGCAGGCAGCCTCCGCTCCCCGCCATGTCAGCCCCGCTCAGTATATCATTCAACGCTGAGGCTTCATGCATTTCTCCGTTGCGTTGCTCTCCTCCCAAGTTGTGCTCTCAGTTTTTCGCTCTCTTGTCAACACTTCTCTATCATGTCTACACTCGCTCGCCAGTTCAACGCCAACGGCCACGACGGCGCCTTCCAACTCCCCGCCGAAGATGAAAGCATGCACACATGGCCCTCGGTATCCGAAAGTTTTCTCATGGCCCAGCTAGAAGAAGAGGACGATGACGTCGACCTCTACTACTTCAGCGCCGACTCGGATTCATCGATGAGTAGTATTCCTGGAGAGGCATCATCTGTGCAAGACATCGAGGTTGAAGAAGAGATGATGCCTGGCGGCTGGCCGGCCGCTACGGCGAGTAGGATCTCTTCTCCCACTCCCTGGAAGCCATCCCGTGTTCGTCCACAGTCCATCATAGTGGATGGCCTGCGGATCACGGTGACCCTGCCTGAGGACGAGTCGTACGACTGCGATGATGGTCATTATCTGGTGGGGAGCGACTCCGCTGCTTCGTTCTTCACAGCATCAGAGAGCGTCATGGACATCCAGCTCCTCTCTGCTTCCCCGACAAATGACTTCCTCTACGTCCCGGCCCCGGTCTTGGCTCCATCGCCCTCGGTCCTGTTCATCCTCGAGGAATTCGCCTGCTCCCCGCCCCTTCCAACGCTGTCATTCGACGACGACGGCGAGGCGAACCTGTGGGCAATGTCGAGGTCCCCTTCTTCGGTCGGGTTGCTCACGCCCCCCGAGAACGACCTCCTGGCCCCTGGCATCGTACCGAGTCCCGAGTTCGCATCCAACTTCGCTCAGGCCGGATTCCCGGAGCTCGTATGTCATTCACTCCTGGCGCCTATCTCTCCTTCTCCGTCGCACTATCCTTGGTTTGATTCGCTCCTCGATGTGAGTACTATCCTCCTAATGTTCGAATGGGTGCTGATTTTGTATAGCAATACCTGCCCGACGACGAGTTCGCCGGCGCCGGACTACAGGATGAGCCTTATCCCCAGACATACCCGTTCTATAACGCGTCTACGCAAGTTCGTGATGAAGACGTACCCGTTCACAACGTACGTACTATCACGATTGTCGTGTCAGCCCACTGATCCTGATCAACACTCAGACCTTCGTCACCTCCGATCCACAAGAGTCTCCTCGCGTATCATTCGAGGATCTCTGGCATTGCGCACGAGCTGGTACCTTCACCGAAACCCTACCCACGTCTGGCCCCCGCGCGTGCGGGCCGGCGCTGGAAGTGGATTTCGGTGAAGCATGTACCATGATCTGCGCTACAGCCTCAACGTATGAGATGGACGATCTCCTGGGGCTCTATGCTCCTTCTGAGCCTGAGCCCATGGGTGTACGTGCTCCCGCATTCCTTGCGGAGGAGGCTCTACTGTTTGGCGAAGATGAGGAGTACTACCGTACCCCTTCTGCCATCGATCTCACCGGCGCCGGACCCCACCCAGACGAGAGGCTGGCGAAGGCGGCGCGGGAGACCTTTTGGCAGATGTGGACACGGCGGAGCGACGAAGACCTCGCTTTGTTCTTCAAGTGCAGTGACGACACTCCATCCGGCCTCCACATCTTCGTTGAGGGGGACGCACATCGCACCCCTCTTCCCGGCAGCAAAAATGATAGTAGCTTGATCCAGGTGAGATTTACTTCCTGATCGATGAGTCGGGACCCATGCTGACTTTGCACAAGCCTCTCGACCGGCCCTTTGGGGCGCGAGAGCAGGTCAAGCTAGAACATCGGGACGCTTTCCTCGAACTCTGGAACGAGTCCCTCAAGCAAGCTTATCTCTGATTTCTGGGCGACAGCCCACCGCCAACTTCTACGCAACGCAACCACTCGCTTTCTCTCAATGTTTTCCTCGTCGACGCTATTCACCTCTCACTACTCCACCGTCGCCCGGTACGGACTGGGTATCGGAACTTGGACCAAGTTCTACGCCCATCGTCCCTCGTCGACGCATCCGCACAATACCTCCACCATCGAGAACTCCCGTCTTCGAGGCCGCCGCTCACGGTCTCACCGACGCCGAGTTCTCGACGAACCCGACTCAAAACTCTTCTCCTCGACCTGGTTTCCCAGGAGTCTGACCACTAGACTCTCTGGATGTCCTCGTCGTCGAGCCTTCGTGTGCCAACCTGCGAGCGATCGATCGTGATCTTCGATCTGAACGCGACGCTCGCCAATTCGGCGGCACCCCAGGCCCCTTCCAAGTTCCCTTCCCCAATGCGACTACCTCGCCCGCTTGTGGTGTCTAGTCAACATCACAGTCAGGTGCGCGTAGACCTGCGCTGGATCGCCAACTCAAGTACGATGTCCCAGCTGTGCTCGAGACGGACCATCTCGCTCACGGACGACATCGATAACCCGAGCACGAGCGGTCTTGGCGGCCGCTCCTCAAGCGCTGGCCTTCGCGCTTCAATCATTCGTTTCGAATCGGGGGCTCATGGTCTCGAAGACCGCCCCGGATCGTACGCCTTTCTCTCATCTCCACTGTCGTCGACTATTCCTCCAGTCGCGACCTCAGTGACGGCGCGGGGCGTTCTGCCCGCGTAGTCCGGCTCAGATCATCACGAGCCACCTCTTCGACGGTCTCCTTCAACCCGAAGATCGTCTGGATTTTCTCCTGTTCCTATTGTCGTCGACGTTCCCTACAGTCTCGACAACATGTGACGACGCGGGGCGCCATGCCTGCCTCGTCCGGCTCGGCTCATTGCGAGCCACCTCTTCGACGGTCATCTCCGACATCAAGATTGTCCGGCCTGTCGACATTCGTTCATCGCCCATCCTTCAGTGTCTGGTACGTCTCTTTATCTTTTATTTGTATAGTGACGCGACGCTAACCCGCCTTCCGTGCAGATTTTCTCTAAGCTTCGCATGATTGCAAGCGTGCGGCGTTTAGAGCAAGACCGGATGCGACCGCTGTCCACTCCGGCGTGCCAACCTCGCTCGGACGGCTCGTTCATCGTTCATCATCGCATCGAGTGAGTGTCTCTCTACTCCCATCTGCGTTCCTTCGCTGACACCTATCGTCTAGTTTCTCCCAACGGGCACACGGATGCAAACGTGTTGTTCTTGGGGTAGATCGATGCCCGGGCTTCTCTTCTCAATGCATGGGGAAGACGAGCCTGTTCTTTGGCAAGCTGGCAGCCACCACCGCTGCTCTCAAAATGGACGATCTTTGTATCCTCCGGCTGACTCTGATCGTCTAGGTCTGGTACTCAGCTAGGCTTTCTCTTGCTCGCTTGGATCTACTCGCGCTCGTCCTCTCCAAGTTGTCCGGCCCCAACTGCTGGTCTCGCACCGAAACCACTGGGTCTTTGTCTCTTGTATTGCTCTCTTTCTCTCTTGCTGGCCCCCTGCTCTCGCTACCGGACTGGCTCCGATCTTCATCACCAGCACAGCTGGACGCAAATATTTTCTTGGTGCTAGGTAAGCATCAATCTCCCCTCGTCTTCATCGTTGCACAAAGGCTGACGCTAACTTCAGCACACTTGGTCTCAGACCACTTCGAGCGCGCCCGATGTCATTAGTACCGACTCGTCCTTTGTCTCTGGTTCGTGGGAGATGGGGGGTGGCAGACGTGCCATAGAGCCGTGTTGACGGATTTTTCATGTACAAGTCGTTCTCTAATAAACGGCTGTAACTTTCATCCTGAGACTGTGAACATTCTCGAATCAATCTCACCATAGTGCTTTCTGCTTGTCCTCGCCGACATGAGAAAACGGCCTTGACCAGAGCTAGGTGAGGTCGTGGCTGTGCTCGGGTGGCGGGAGGTGTGAGCGTCAAGTTCATGCCGCTCCAGCTTTGCGGCCGGCGGCCTTCTCTCCTTCCCTCCATCTCTCCGACGTCGAATATTCTGGGTATCTGGTGCGGGATATTGAATGCTTGCCTTGAGGCCTGTATACTATGCTCCGTTCCCTGCCGGCCTGCAGCGACCGCCCGCAAGGCAGTACTACATATGACTCCTGCCAATCGGCATCGACTATGCGAGTACTGCCGACTCGTACCAAGTCGACGTTCTTCTGAGATTCGGCCGACGCCCACCGGGGGCTCGGCGCTAGGCTATGCTCTATGAGCGAAGAGATGCCACGGGAATGGTGGGAGGACGCGCGGTGAGTACCTGACACCCTGCCTTCTGTGACGAGCACGAAGCTTAAGTTTGGACAGTAAGTAGCCCGCCATGACGAGATGAGGGGCGCATAGCCTCTCCCGAGCGTACTGGAAGACCGCGTGATGTTCAGGCACTCCCTGGGAGTGTATTGAGTCATGCTCGTGTCGTGAATCGCGCCCTGAGGCAAGAGGAGGCTTACAATTGCCTAAAGCCTGTCCTGCAGCGCCCCAACCAGCGCTGGGAACGAACGGTCGTGCCACTGAGCATTGAACATGACGTTTAACAACACACGATATGGTTAGATTCCGGAAACATCATGCGCAGCTCTACAGCGCTCATCCGGCGGGGAACCAGATGCCGCTGCTGTCCCCGCCACCGACGTTTCATCTGTTCATTCCCCGTGAGTACACGGCACATCACCTACCAAATGACCCCCGCTGACCGTGGGTCGCAGTGCATTGGCCGTTTTTCGCCGTTCGACGAGGCCCAGCTCGGCGGGCTTCGCTACACATTATTACGCAAGCAATCGTGTCCGCTCGGGCTGGTGTGCACAGCCTGGGCCAGGTCCGGCTTAGAGCGTCCGACGAATGGTGCTCCACCGACTGTTGGAGGAGGATATAAGCCCATGGCGCAGGACTGGAATCCTCAGTGTTTAAGCACTTTCATCCACTCGCCCACACACCCTCACTTTCGACCATGAAGTTCCTCGTCGTCCTTTCCGCGCTTGCTTCGCTCGCCGCTGCGCAGATGGCAGTCATTCGTGCTCCCCCCGCTCAATCCACATTCGCACCTGGCGAGCAGTTCATTGTCGATGTCGACCGACCCGTAAGTCGTCGCCTTCTCGTCTCAACTGCTGTGGCTCATGCTGGGTTTGCCTCCAGGATACTCTTACGGGCTCGCAGGAGGTCTCTGTAGCCATCGGACTCCTGAGCTGCGCCGGCCGGGCGCCGCCGGGGACGTGCGACGGCATCGACTTTACTGAACAAATTGGAACAGCCCTCTACGCCGGCCCATACGCACCCCAGCTCCGGCCTGGAGGCTCCGACCTTTTTGAAAACTTCACGGTTACTGTTCCTGAGGGCTTCCCTTCAGGGGCGGCGGAAGTAGTTGTCGCCCACTTCTCCTTGGTCGGAGTGAGTCTAAACAGGTTTCCTGATATGAAGTGGCTGCTAATTGTCATTTTGTACGCAGGCTCTCAACTGGCCCACGCTTGAGGTCCTCAACGAGACCGTCCACATCTCGTAATCCAGGACTTCGTCTACGCCCCCGCCTGTATTGTTTGGACGATTACAGTCATGGGACGTTTGTAGCATATACCCCCCTACTCGGTACAGTCGACGGACTTGTAATACTGTAACAACATAGCGTATAGTCCGGACGTCAGTATAATCCACAGTATTGCCCCAATCGTCCATGACGTCATTGCCTTTTGGCCGCGATAGTAGTCATAAATATTTTGAGGTTGCTCGCCCTGGCTGAGTCTATCCGACGTCTCTCCTCCTCGATGTCCACCCCAGCGAGATACACCTGCGAGATCGTCTTCAACCGCGCGGCGAACGTCCCGCTCGCTGACCTGAACGACTTCTCTTCCGACCCGTACATCCTTGCCACTCTCGCGCCTGCTCGACATGAAAACGCTTCCGGACCGGATTCCGAGCTCCCACAAACTATCACATACCGCACACCCACCTCGCGGAAGACTCTCAACCCGACCTGGAACACACGCTGGATCGTTTCGGGCGTACCTGCCTCCGGGTTCGAACTTAACCTCTCCCTGCTCGATGAGGACCCAGGCGACCGCGACGACAAACTCGGGAAGGCTACCGTCCGCTTTCCCGACCCGAACCTCGACCGCGAAGATGGCAAGCGGGAGTTCAAAGAGGGCTGGGACTCTGGCGAGCGGGAGTTCAAGGTGCACAAACGCCATGGGAGCGTGAGGACGCGCCTCGGGACGTATGTCGCGAAAGTGGTGACGCGCGGTCGCGTCGGACACCGCACTCGCATTATAGTGAGCGTACGCGTGCTAGGATCTGCCCCGAGTTTGGAGGAGGACGACGCGGGGCGCATATATACCCTCGGGCCTCGTGAGTTTCGCCTTGTCGCCGTTTATGTTATGCTTTGGGACTCACTATACTTGCAGACATCTTCGTACGGCATTTCTGCCCCTTGGCCACGTACCTCACGGGTGCCCGCTCCTTCATCGCGAATCGCATCCACCTCAGCGGACCTGTGCCCGCCGCTCTCCACCATCGCTATGTCGGTTTTGCGCCATTTATCAAGGCCATGTTCAAGGCAAAGGGCATCAAAGGCATCCTCCTCAACCGCACGCTGCACAAACAACATCGTACCATATACCGGTGGGACGCTAACACCATCTGGGGCGTTATTGGCGAGGAAGACAAGACCGCGCCCGACGGCGAGGGTAAAGAGCCCAGTGAGGGGGCCAAGAGAGAAGTCGCCTCCAAGGAGGAGGGCAAGCCTGACGAAGCGGTGGCGAGGAAGTTCCTGGACATGACCTCGTACGGCACAGAGGGACGGATATTCACTTATGTGATCCTGCTCGACGGCGAATGGCGCTTCACGGTTCGTGCATTTCCGCTTCGCCTCCTTGATTTTGCCGAAATGACAGGTTGCGCGCCGCTGCACAGGAAACCGGAGAGGAGTTTGCCATCCAGATGCTGAGCAAACACACCATGCACGCGGACGTCGCGCTCGAAATCGCGTTCAGCGGCGAGTTTTTCGTGCGCAGGGTGCATGCGGCGGAACCATCTTCGAAGAAACACGCTGCCGCCGCTGGGGAACAGGCCAACGGGGAACAGGCCGACGGCGACGCTGCACCGGCACAGGACAGCCATCCAGATGATGAAGAGCCAGACGTCGACACGGACCACCCTGACGCGAGCAGCCTGCCGCCGTCAGCGTACGAGCTGGTGATCGACAACGACTCGGGCACATACCGACCGAAGAAGGACCTCCTCCCTACGCTCGCCAAGTACCTCTCGCGCCCCGAGAACCTGGGCGCGCTCGGACGCGTGCGCGCCATGGACGGCTTCGACGAGAAGCTAAAGAAGTGGAAAGAGCAGCGGACGGAGGTGCGGAAACGCGCCAAGGGTGGAAACGCGACGAAGGGCGTGGTGCGGCAGGCGAGCTTCAGCTCCTCGAGCTCTGGCAGCTCGAGCTCGGACGAGGGCGACCGCGAGGCGGCCGAGGGGGCGAGGCAGGATGCCGAGGCCGAGCGGCAGAAGGGCGAGCAGGGGCAGGCGAGGCAGGCGGAGAAGGAGGATGCCCAGCGCGCGAAGGAGAACGATGACGACGATCAGGCGGCGCAGGAGGAGAAGCGCGATGTGAAGGGCGGAGAGGCGTGAGGTATGAGGGGGCGGTGTGCCGGGCTGCTTGGTGTGCTTCATATACCCGTATGAGTTGGACGACGTCTTGGACCTTGTAGAGCTTCCGCCGCGGACATTATCGTTATTTAGCACGATGTTGATGTGGTTTGCGTAAACAGATTATTGCATGGTATTATGACAACAATGAGAGTACTACTGGAGGGTATGGTATGTACAGGAGGAGCACGACGGGGATGTGAGAAGGCGAATAGTACGTCAATGAAAGCTACAGGGGTCCGTGCTGGTGTCCGAGTGGCTAGGTCCGAGAACAGTCAAAGTTCGTGAAAGTTCGTGTCCTCCGGAAACTCGCGCCGCAGGAGCGCACAGAGTTCAGCCGGCGTTCATTGAATAATCAACGTAATGTTCGCGACCTCCATGAACGGCATCGCGCTCGCCTACAAAGAAGCCACACGGTCAGCATCTCTCCTCATCCCAAGTGACTGAGAAGCTCGACTCACCCCAATGAGCGAGAAATGCGCGACGCCCAGGCTGGCCTGGCCAGTAGCGAAGTTGGCCGGGACGGTGACAGTGAAGTTCTGGTATGGGGGCTTCTCGTACTCCGGCGGGGGCGGGAGCTGGGGCGCGTACGTGCCCGTGTAGAGGACGTTGCCCAGCACCTGGGTGACGTCCATCTCGGCGCACGTCCGGTTCGCCTCGTCGCCGTACCCTGCGCAGGGCCAGAGGCCGATGGCGATGGCGACTTCGTCAGAGCCCGTCAGCGTCATCTGCGTAAGGTTGCCGTTAGGATGGACTAGTGAGTATGAGCGTGAACTGATGAGGTTGGGCACGCACGGGTCGGTCGACCTCGACGGTGATGTTGCTGCCTGGCTTGACAGTGGCCCATTCTGCAGGAGCGCCGATGGCTATGCGTTGGCCGAGCGCAGCCAGAGCGAGGTACGCGAAGGTGAGTAGATAGACGATGGGGTTCATTGGGATAGGGTTGGAAGGACGCGATCGCTACGACTGTAGCAGCGTATTTTGGCGGGGGTGGGGGTGTATGCTCGAGTCTGTGGAGAGACACTCGCTGTGGAGCAGCTCAATGGCCTTGCAGTCATGCCTTATATACTCGAGCCAAACGTAGTGGAACCCCCTAGAAGGCTGTGCTCAGTAGAATAGGTGAGGCCGACGGCAGGCTGGCCGCTGGTGTCATTGTCCCGGCACGAGGATGCGGTCATGCAACGTGTGTCCCGGGTATTGCGGAGCACATTCGTGCTCGGCCGTCCTATAGGGAGTCGGCGCCGGTCGAAGAAGAGGCTAGCTCAGAAGGAGCAGCAGGAAGTACCCGCCTCAGTCGCGGGCCAGTCTCGAGGCGGTCATGAGCTGGGCGCGTGTGAAGGTCCGAGTCGGCGGAAGCATTGAAAGACGGGTGGGCGGATGAACATGTGAGGCATATAAGTGGCTTTACTATGACTTAACCAGCTACCGTGCATGGGATTGTACCCTGCAAGCATACCGATAAACAACACACTGCAAAGGTAGCTGCCTTCGCTCAGTCGGTGGTCAGCGAAACACAGAGTTGTAGTTCGATTGATGGACGCACTGGGAAATCGGACAAGGCCGAAAAGCTTCCGACTTCGAGACGCAAGCTCTAGCCCGCGCTGGGAGTGGAGGACTCGGCCCTGTGCGCTACGATGAATAGCTCTCAAGGCTCCACTCCATGGGATCCACTATGGTCCCTCGCGGCCTAGTGCGCGACGGGATGATGCCTGTACAGTCTGGTACGTTGTGGGTTGAGAGCGACACGTATAGTTATGTCTTTCAACGGTCCGTAGAGTCTTATGTAGGAACGGTGCATCCAGGATTGAATGCAGGTCTAGACTTGCCGGGATATGTTTGTGAGACGAGCAGATGTCGCGGTGTTGCCAAGTCGTCTCTATGAGTATACATATGCGTGTGAAGCCAGGGAAAGCTGTTGAAAAGGTGTAGAAGAGATGAATGCAGCGGTCAAGCAGGCGGGTTGAGCAGAGGCAGATAGACGGCGGAGACAAGGTCGCGTCGAACTCAGCGCCTGCACGTCCCGAACACGCGTCGCGTTGATCACGTGCATCGTCCGGGGTCGAGCTGCGGGCGTCGTCGAAGGCTTGCAGCAGACTCGCCATGATACAGAGTCGCAGGCCGGCACAACGTGTACACATCCTCTGCATCCACTCGCGCTGGACTTGAGCTTGAGCTTGTCACCTGGAAACGACTCACTGCGCTGAATTACTGGAACCCTGCCTCTGCCAGTGCGGTCTGAGGTCATGTCGGGTTTCGCCTCTGTCTTCGTGATGGCGGTCTTGCTGGGGGCGGCGTCGTTTGGGACCGGCATGCTGCCTTTGTCGGTGGCCTTCTCAAGTGAGCATATTCTGCGCCATATATGCGTGCTGGTTGCTGAACTACCGATCGTGCAGAGGCCTCACTGTCCTCCCTCTCCGCTCTCGGGACCGGACTGTTGCTTGGGGCAGCTCTGGGTGTGGTCATTCCTGAGTATGTCGTGTTTGGAGCATATCGGTAGATTGTGTGTCTGACAGACTTCCGTGATTAGAGGCATTGAGACACTCGCTTCGTCTCGACATGCAGACGCGGCCTTCCCAACTTCAGCAATTGCGCTTTCCCTCATCGCGGGCTTCACCTTCATGCTTGTCGTCGAACGCCAAGTGTCGCATCACTCGCATGTACCCAGTGAGCCCAATGCACACCAGCCGCCCAAGCCGAATGAAGAAACCATCGTCGAATTCGATGTCGAACTCGGCGACTTAGAACGCACTGAGGCATACACCCCGGCGGAGTCGTCGCATACGCCCCCGCGACGAGTTGCCGTGGAGGTCTCCGAGCCGCGTGAGCGTGCGTATCCGCTGACTCTCGGCCTGGTCGTGCACGCGCTCGCGGACGGGCTTGCGTTAGGCTCCGCGTCGCTTTCCGACTCGGCAGCAGAACCGCCGACTGGCGGGTCCATCTCGGGATTATCTCTTGTTGTCTTTTTCGCTCTGGTTGTACACAAAGGTTCGTTAGATACCATCGCCGTACTCCGGGTTGTACGCTGACGGCACGTATCCTTTATCCGCATAGCCCCCACTGCGCTCGCGCTGACGACATCCCTTCTCTCCACCTCTCTGCCGCCGTCTCAGTGCAAAAAGCATCTAGCGATCTTTAGCGCAGCAACGCCTATCGGCACGCTGCTTTCGTATACGCTGTTGTCGTTCTTCGGAGCGGACAGTCAAGGCCGCTGGCCGGGAATAGCATTACTCTTCTCCGTACGTTTGCACATGTTACGCCCGCGATGTACATATGAGACACGCATGCTAATCTCGCATCTAGGGCGGATCTTTCCTATACGTAGCGACGGTGCTGCAACCGTCGCTCACCCATGCACACTCCGGCGCGGGGGAAGAGACGGCGTCGAAGACGCGACAACTGTTCCTCACCGTGGTGGGAATTTTTGCGCCGTACTGCGTCGCTGCTATATTGGGGGACGACCACGGCCACTGAGGAATTTCCATTCTGCATTCCGACACATACGCTCAGCCTCCGTGCATTCTGTTTTGGCTATTATTGATCAAGCCGCAGGCCGCAGCCATGCCCTACTTCGAGCGGCGCGACATGATGGCTATCGGGGATTCCACGAGCCCAGACGGGTGTAGCCTTGGCCCGGGAACCTTTCGAGTCGCACGGAGTTAAGGCGGTGAGGAAAGCTCTCGAACTACATCCATATCGTGTACGAGTTGGCGGGTTGTTGTGAATTCAGAGTACATATCGTCGATACATACGCTGTTGTGCGCTGCGTCATTCTGTCAGCCGCAGTGCGACCCTAGTGCGAACCTCGCACACCGCATTCGAGATGCCGATCCTTTGAGGACTCGGGACGGCGGCAGGGAAGGAGAATTTACGAGGTGGCGCTGCCAGTTGAGCGCTCCGGGCCCGGGGACGCACGCAAATCCGTGACGCTGGAGGCGGCGTCTGTGGCCGTGTGTGTTGAAGTCGCGTGTACGCTCCAGCGGCGTCTCTGACCCTCTCCTCCGTCCCCCGACCTCCCTCTATCTCGCCCACGCTCACGACCCCCCACGAATATCTCATCTGCCTCCGTCCCTCCCAACAACCCAACGACGTCAGTCGTCTCGCCTGACATAAGTGCTCTATTCTGGTGCGGCCAAATACGCTGCGCAGCTCTCAAGTGGCGCCAGTCCTCCGCTGCTCGCTTCTCTATTTCCCACCGCTCGCACCCTCATACCCTTGAGCCCACCTCATCGCTTTCCCGGACACCTCCATGGCCATGCCTCCCCGCAGAGTCCCCCCACCGAGCGACCACTACTATGCTGTGCCCCAAAGCCCATCGGGCAGTCGACGATATCAACCGCAACCGCAGCCGCCCTCCTTCAGCCAGCCTCAGCCGTCTAGCAGCCATCTGAGTCAGCGGAACGACACAACACAAGGAGTAGCCATTGGCCAGATTGGCGGAGGCTATGGGCCGTACTCGGTGCGTAATCTACATTGCAGAAGCTGGTGAAGGAGGAGGGACTGACGTTGGAGCAGTACAACCCCACAATGGCAAGCGGGCGCTATGGGTCCTCGAGGTTCAGCAATGCGCCCTCGGAAGCATCAATAGGCACGACAAACGAAAAGACGACGGCGTCCCATGTCCCGATCGCTGCGACAACGACGGTGCAGCAGTATCCGTACATGTGGGACACGAAGGACCCCGACCTAGACGACCCACTCCACAACCCTGACCCCGTCCGGGATGCTGCGCTCGACCGAAGCTGTGCGCCATTCTCGTCAAGGGGATGGATCAATGCGTCTGCGCTGGTGCTCATCGTCGCCGGAATCATCGTGCTCTTCGCGGGATACCCTATTATCGACCACTACATCCATGTGCAGCCGCAGGTCTCGGGCTTCAACCTCGGCGGTATCAACGCAACCGGGCAGGTGCCTCAGCTGACGAACTTCCCTTCTCTCATTGATGCCGACACGGACCAGTCGGCGTACTCGCGGACGGGTAACGATGGCAAGGCGTACAAGCTCGTGTTCAGCGACGAGTTCGAGCAGGACGGCCGGACGTTCTATCCCGGCGACGACCCATTCTGGGAAGCTGTCGACTTCCACTACTGGCCGACTGGTGACATTGAATGGTATGACCCGAAGCAGATCACCACGGAGAACGGGAAGCTGGTGATCACCCTGGAGGAAGCGGAGAACCACGACCTCAACTTCCGCAGCGGCATGCTTCAAACTTGGAACAAGTTCTGCTTCACGACCGGTTACATCGAGGTGAAGGTCAGCCTCCCCGGCAGTCCTCAGGCGCCGGGTCTGTGGCCAGCGGTGTGGACCATGGGTAACCTCGTAAGTGTGGAGCATCGCACTGCCACATAAGTTATTCAACTTCGTGTTATTTTAGGGTCGCGCAGGTTACGGCGCTACCACGGAGGGGACATGGCCGTACAGCTACGATGCTTGCGATGTCGGCACGTACCCGAACCAGACCAACAAGGACAATCAGCCCGAGGCGGCCATGGTCGGTGGTCCCGGCGGAACTCCGATCAGCTTCATGCCCGGCCAGCGGTTGTCCTCTTGCACATGCCCAGACTCCGACCACCCCGGTCCCAGCGTCGATGTCGGCCGCGGCACGCCGGAAATCGATGTCTTCGAAGCGCAGGTCGACGTCAGCCGCTTCCAGGGCGAGGTCTCGCAGTCGTTCCAGACGGCACCGTACAACTACCAGTACGAGTTCGTGAACACTTCCGACGTCACGCCGATTGTCGACTCCACGAAGACCAAGTTCAACTCTTACAAGGGCGCGCAGTACCAGCAAGCCGTCTCTGCTGTCACGGACATCGACAACGCGAACTATAACGATGCGGGTTACGCCACCTACGGCTACGAGTGGTGGTCAGATCCCAATAACCGTGATGACGGTTTCGTCACTTGGTACTCGGAGGGGACACCCGCCTGGACGATGACTGCGGCGACGATTGGTCCTGATACGACTACGGAAATCAGCCAACGACTGGTCCCGGAGGAGCCTATGGTGAGTGAATCCGATATGAGGGACCTCGAGGCGGCTTGCTGATATGTGCGCAGTACATTATCATGAACTTGGGCATGTCTCGTGAGTACCTCGTTGGCGGCCTCATGTTTGCGCGCTTCTCACGCTTCATTACAGCCGGATTCCAGCACCAAGATTTCAAGCACTTGACGTTCCCGAGCAAGATGTACGTCGACTACGTGCGCGTATACCAGCGAGAGGACGCCGGCGACGAGAAGTTGACGTGTGACCCGTCGAGTCATCCGACAGCGGAGTACATCACGAAGTACGCGTTCAGAATCTCTTATCTGTGTAACATAACTGACACCGGTCTAGTCATCTAAACGCGTACTCGAACCCCAATCTTACGACGTGGGACCAAGCAGGGTACACGTTCCCGCGCAACTCCAAGTACGACGGGTGCTGAGTGCGATTCCCGTCGTCTGCGCTATTTTCTTCTTGCATATCTTACTTTGTCGCCATCATCGCATCTTACGACCGTGCACGATCTCCTATGCATTCATGTACGTGTATACGTATACCGGACACCATGTAGTGTATATCATTTCCTCCGCACCACATCCATAGTACTTGGCCGCCTCCGTGCGGCCCCTCCTGCGAACGGACGCTCCCCTTCCCTCTAGTTTTTTGCTGCATGCCGGTGCCGATACGTAGTCGTACTCATGTCTGGCTCCCTGGCGTCGCCGTTACATACTAGTTTCACGCGCACGCCGCGAGTAGACGATGAATAGACGACCCGACCATTCCACACTCATCGTCCTGCAGGCCAGTGGCGATATCTGGATTTGGAGATGTATCACGTGGGCAGTCCGCGCGCGCTCGGTGTGCGGCGCGGAGGAGCTGCTCATCTTGGCTTGTCAATCCTCTGCATGCCGTCTTTCCCGCCATCCCGTCCTGCTTTCTCGCGGCCGCCGGCCAACACTACTCCTCAGCGTACAGGCTCTCTTATCTGTGACCTATGAACACGAACGTAGCGTTTACTACGCAAGATCGCGGCGCCGTCAATAAACTTAGCGCTCTAGCTAGTGGGATTGGTGCGCGGAGCAGCAGGGACGCGATGGTATCCGGACAAACGTACGTGGAGGCGGCTCTATGCGCATCAGAAACGACCCTGAGTGCTTGTTCGGGATCAGGGACAGTCGCTGGAAGGGACAGCCCATCCCCATAAGCATACCGGTACGTTCAGCCACCTCTGCGTGCTCTCCTCACCGCATGTCGGATTGAACGAAATCTGCCCGCGATGGTGAAGGCTTCGAAACAGAGAAACGGAGCTGGAGCTGCTAGCAATCCGTACAGCGGCCGCTTTAGCAACAACCTCCACGGCGCGCGGGCGACGAACGGTTTCGACGACATGTCCGGCAACCACACAGCGAAGAGAACGGTGCTTAGCTCTGGTTCTTCAAACAATTCCAATGTCGCAGGGTACCGCTCGACTGCACAAAGCAAGCGACAGAAGCTGGATCATGCTGCAACATCGGAATATTTCTACAACGGGAGTGAGTACCTTCAGAGGTTCTGCGTACCATCGTGTGGCTTGTGGCGGCGATGCTGATTCGCACAGGCGCCGGCACCGGGAAGAACAAGGGCAAGGGCAAGGGGGCCGCACGCGACGAGCCCGAGGAAGTGCCCGACAGCGAGGAGGACGTGGGCCAGCCCGTCGCGCGCGAGCAGCTAACTGGGAAGTACAAGGAGAAGGAGTCTACCCCGGACCCGATCGACTGCATCCAGTCCGATGAGGCGCGACCGCGGTCCCCAAAGCAGCATGCGTTCGAGAGGCTGTCTCCAAAACCCAATGATAGGAGAATTCCACCGGATGGTCCGGCCACGGCGCATCTGCGTACGCGGATCCGAGACAGGGAGAGCAAGGTGGTAGATGTGGATGCGCCCAGCGAGGAGGATGAGATCCAGCCCGCGGTATTTAGTGATGTCGATGACGGGCCGCCGCACGACAAGGTCGCTGCGACTCCGAACGGCCGATTGCGCATCCCCAAGGGCGCTGTGGCAAACAAGATTCCTATGTTTGAACAGCAGCAGGGGCCGTCGCCACCGAGGCCGCCGAAGCCCCAGAAGAATGCGATACGAACGATTGACTTCACGCAGCCGTCCGTAAAGCAGGCGATGAAGCCCAAGGGGGGCAAGGTAGGCTCTTTCGCTGACACGAAAACTAGTCGAATTCACAGCTGATTCAATTACTTGTGCGACTGTAGCCCGTGCCTAGTTTGGCCCAGTTCTCTGCTAGGCCGCTCGACGTTCTAGCAACAGCACCTTCTGGGTTCAAGGTTGATGCGGGATTGGCGATTCCTTTTCCAATGGCATTGGAGGCGATCTCTGTGGGCTGCGGCCTCTCAACCTCCGATTCCAACGGTGCCAGCACACGCCTATATGTGCACGTTGAATACGCGAAGGCTCGTAACAAATATACGCTCGCCGTCCTACAAGGTGTAGACGGCCGGTCTAGGTTTGCCGAGTTTAATCTCGATCGGGACTTCGATTCGTTCAAGGTAGGAGTAGCATCATAGTCGCTACCCACGCTTGGATGCTTACCAGGCGCAGTATACGGAACCGGAATTCAAGGAGGGCGCCGCTGTGGTCATCCAATTACAATCCACTAAGTCCGCCATCTCGCGGCCGGATTTTCAGCCTGGTGCGCCACATCTACTAGGCTGGTATCGTCATCGTTGTTCATGACCATGTTTCCGGTGTGCCAGGCGGTAGGCATGCTACCGGACTGGTTTCACTGAAGTTCAAAGTGCGACACCCAAGCATGAACGGTTCAGCTTACCCCGATTTTGTGAACGTGCTCAAGAAACAGATCTCGAAGAGCGAGGCGATGAGGTAAAGGGCTCATCCGGCTGCATCCGAGTCGTCATTGACCACATGCACAGGGGCCCTGCATCAAGCGGATGCTGGGAAACGGTAGAGATGGCAGCGGCTCTCAAGACCGGTGAGAAGACAAGGAATGCAAAGCCGAGGCGAAGTGAGGAGACCCCATCGGGCTCGGCCCCGCATGAACGGTATATATGCATGCTCGTTTCTGTCCCGATTGCTTGCCTGACCTGGTGATGTAGAGTGTACGGCGTAGGCCGGATGCTCACGCGACGAGCAGCACAGGAAACGCGAAAGTCTGAGCCACCAGAGAACCTAGACGAGCTGTGAGTGATTAGGCAACATTATCACGAACAGATTCGCTGACTTCGTTTTGACAAGTGTTCTTGTATATCCTCCATCGGGTACGGGTGCTGTTAACATCACCAGGGGTGACCTCAAACGGTTGGACAACGGACAATACCTCAATGACACTCTCATCGAGTTCGGGCTGAAGTACGTGTGCATATATGCTGCGCAGATAGATCCCCCGCTAATTTATGGCTCAGGGTCTGGCTGCACGAGCTGCAACAGGTTCAACCCGAGCTCGCAGAGCAAGTGCACGTTTTCAACTCTTTCTTCTTCAAGAAGCTCAACGGCAAGAAAGAGTGCGTGGTTCTTATACTATTGCATAACCTTAGCTGATAGAGACTGCCACAGTATCAAGGACACGTACCCCAGCGTCCGCAAGTGGACATCGAAGGTCGACATATTCAAGAAGAAGTACATCATCGTACCTATCAACGAGAAGTACGGTGCTGGCACATGGCCGTCTATATCCGCACTCAACTGTTATACTATTCTTGCAGCTTTCATTGGTACCTCGCAATCATTGTCAATCCGGAGAACATCCTTCACCCACCTCCACCCAAAGTGCGTGGCGCGGCGCCGCAGACCCGCAAACGCAAGCGTGAGGAGCAGCCCGAGTCTGCGACAGAGACAGCACCGGAGGAGGCAGCACAAGAAGAGGTGCCGACGGAAAGCCGGAGCGACACAGCGGCGTCAGAGCCCGCCCCAGCCACTCAACCCATGGCCGTCGACCACGAGAGCGAAGGCGAAGGCCAGGAAGTCGAGTCGATGTTGCGGTTCAAGCAGTCGTGCAGCATCACAGAGGCTGTTGCTGAGAAGAAGCCCGAGGACCGCTCGCGCTCCGCTACAGGCGACTTTGTTGACCTGGATGATGCAGAACTACAGTACCCTGCGTCGGAAGAGCCCATGGATGTCGACCCGCTACCGGTTCCGGAGAAGGAGAGTAAACCGCCCGATGTCGATGAGGCGACGTCCCCCAGCGTCGACGAAACGGCTACCGCTGAAGAGACGAGCATCGCTACCGAGCAGCCGGAGGCGACTGCAGAGTCAAGAGACGACGACGATTCTTCAGTTGAGGAAGAGTTAGAACGGAAGACGTCCGTTACAGATTGTGTTTCGTCTGAGTTTCCAGAGTGAGTTGCTCGCGAGATACGATGCGATAGTACTGAGCATTGACGAGAACAGGTCCTACATCTACACATTTGACTCTTTGGGGTCGCGACATGCGATGCCTGCTAACAAGCTCTCCAAATACCTGCAATACGAGGCGGCGGACAAGAAGAACTACCCGATCGAGGACACTTGCATGCCGCTATATAAGCGCGCCAAGGTCAGTCCCCTTCGCTTTAGGCAGGATACGGAGCCGTGGTGTTCATGCGATGGCGTGATAGGCTCCGATGCAAAAGAACTTCTGTGATTGTGGTTTGTTCGTGCTCGCGTTTGTAGAGGCCTTCATGAAAGATCCCATACACTCCGTGGAACGCATACAGGTATGTCCCATACCACCATCTTCGTGCTCGGGCGATCTTACGACCGCCTCCCACGGCAGAGCAACCAGATAGACTGGTACACGGGCTCGATGGAGAACCTTCGCGAGGCATTCCGGGAGAAGACTCTCGCCCTCTCGGAGACTTGGAAGAAGGAGCGCGCCGAGAAGGAGGGCCCGAAGGACGAGGGCGCAAGCGACAAGGCCAAAGCTAAAGCGCCTGTTGCGGAGGTCATCATAGACTCGGACGACGACGAGATCGTCGTTGGTGAAGTCATCCCTGCCCCCAAGGGCGCGAAGCGCGGCAAGAAGGCCGCTGACACCAAAGCCATCCGAATACGTGGTTGAACGAACCTGGTTCTCTGTGGGTCTGTCAACTTTACTCTAGTATTGTCACCGCTCTAGTGGTTTCTAGTGTTGCTTTTTCTCTCCTTTGGTACAACTCATCGCCTCACTGTCCTCATAGCACATGCCTTGCTGTATTCTTATCCATTTACTATCTCGTCATTTTCTTGCACGCAACGTCTTCTTGAGAGCATTCTTCATATAATATAGTCGGCCTCGTGATACAAGTCGTACAGTCGTGATTCAAGTTACCATACATCTAGAGACGGCCGCAAGAACGGGATATACCAGAAGAAAACCAAACACCAAAGATCGTACAAGGACAAATTGAGTAGGGGAAACGGCTCTACATCATAGACGGCCGCCTGCTGTCGCAAGAGAACACCTTCTCCATGACATCTCCGTAGAGAACCGAGCCCTTCCGCATCGGGTCTAACGGGATCGCCGCCGTCTGCGCCTCGAACTGCTCGTCCTCGTACGCGCTGTCCTTCCTCAGCGGCTTCACGATCGACGAGCGCCGGCCTGCCGCAATCGGCGACGCGGCTTCGGCCTCAATGTCGAACGCCTTCGCGCGGCTCTGCAGGAGGTGGCGCGGCGCGTGCACGAAGAAGCGTGTCTTGGCTGCGAAGACGTCCGCGTAGGCGTGGAGCGCGAGCGCGGGGCCGAGGATAGCGACGAGCCAGAGGGAGGGCTGCGCGCGCGCGGTGGCGAGGTAGGAGGCGAGGCCCATGCAGAGGACGGCGTACCAGACGAGGAGGTGGCCGACGTGCTTGGTGCGCGAGTAGAAGCACTCTGAGCGCGTGATCTCGTGCACGGAGCGAGCGGAAGTGCCCCAGTTGTTCACATATGTGGTGACTAGCGCAAACACTCGGGATGGCACGACACCGAGGAAGAACTATGGAGGACATATGAGTAGGTGAACTCGGGGAAGAGGGATTGACTACTTACCATAGCCTGGTTAACGGGATAGAGAGCTAGGCGGAGATCCCGGCTAGCGACGACCGCGTAAAGCGTCTTCACCGCAACGGCACCGGCGATAGTGGCGAGGAATATGGGCAAATGTTCCCAGTGCGTAGGCGTGAACAGGAGGTACAACACCGACGCCACGAGGACCAAGGGGAAGTACAGGTCCTTGGTAGCCTCCACTGCGAGCCACTGCGAGAAAGATAACGGTCAGAAATGGCAGATACTTAAGCGTGGGAGTCACTTACAGGGTTGGTGTTGTTCAGCCTAGGCGAGCTGAACAGCGCCTCGCGGTAACTCGCCCTAGACCAGCGCGTCTGCTGTTTGATCCACCGCACATAGCTTGACGGCGCATCGGTATACGCCTTCGCCGCATGCGTGTGTGCGGTCTTCAAGCCCTTACTGAGCAGCTCAGTAGCGAGATGGTGGTCCTCTCCAGTAACGACGTGCTTCCCGAAGTGCGTCTGCATGATCCACGGGCTGACAACGTCCATCAGGTCGCTGACGCGGTAGAGTGCCATCTGTTGTTGCTTTAGCTTGTGTAAACGACGTATATATCAAGGACACTCACGGGGCTCGAGAGACGGCTCACAGAGCCGAAGAAGCTCTGGCAGGGCGCGTCGACGTTCGACGAGAACCAGTTGCTCAGCGCATAGACGTTGGGGAACGATGACTCCCGGCGGTCGACGTCAACGTCGCCCGTGACGGCCGCAATCTCAGCGTCGCTGTAAAGCATCGCCATGAGGTTCGACGCGGCGGCGGGGTCGAGGCGCGCGTCGCTGTCGGTGGTGAGGATCGCATCCTTCGTGCCGAGCGCATACGTCCCCACGATGAACGCGGTGAACATCGCGTGGCGCTTGTGCGCGTGCGGCTGCGTGAAGCACAGCGCGCGGTACTGCGTCCACTTCTGGATCGTCGCCTTCGTGTACACGTAGTCGAGCACGTAGTTGAGCGCGGCGTCGTGCGCCTCCGCGTGCCCGGCGGTCGAGCTGCCGGCCCACCAGGCCTTGAAGGACTCGTAGCGGGTGGGCAGCTGTCCGAGGATGCGGAGCGTCTCCATGTACTTCTCGGTGTAGAGCACGGAGAGGAGGACGGGGAGGTGCACGGTGAGACGCTCTTTCTCGGCGAAGGCGTTCGAGAAGGTGGAGACCATCGCCATGTCCGGAAGCTGGTTGCCGTCGATGACGGCGACGATGTGCTTCACGGGATACTGCTGGGCCTTAATCGACTCCAGGCACTGTGGATGGATGAGCAGGTGGTTCCTCGGAACCCCGGATGCACAACTCACGTTCTCCCAGGCAGCCTCGTTCTCGCGGTAGCCAACGACGGTGACGCTGCACTCCGGAAGCCTTGGCCTATTCAGACGGGGTGAGGTTGTGTAAGTCTCGTGGCTGTTCGCGATGGTCGACGTCTTCGTGACCCGGTCCACCCGACGGCGGTTAAGGGATGCAGCTCCTACGCGGAGCATGAAGTCTACAGCGATGTCAGCTGAATTTCGCCTGGGAAGATATAGCGGACACGCACCTGTCACCATGAGCAGTCCGAAAGAGCCGACGCCGAACGATCCAGCCTCGATGACCATGAAGCCCGCGCCGAAAGGCACGAGCAGAGCGGACACCACAACGGCGCCGGCTGCGGCCTGGATCGAGCGCCAAGTGGTCGCACGAGCAGACTGCCCGGATCGGTCCGTGACGTTGTACGGCGTCGTCGTCCACGGGTGCGCCATTGAGTGGTGCAGCAACTGCTCCTCGCTCGGGCTCATCCTCACGTCGTTCGCGTCAGGGATCACACACGGGATCGCCGGGTCCGAGAACTCGTACGCAGGCGGGACGTCCCCGTACGCGTACCCAGCGTCGCCCGCGGCCTCGTTCATGCCGAGTTCAACATCGCTGTACACCGTGTGGCTGTCCGACTCGGACCCGCCCTCGTCGTGGACGTTGTCCGGGTCCGCCTGGTCGACGACCCCGTACGACTTGCCCGTGTACGCGTCCACGAGCGCCGCCTCCGCCTCCGCGTGCTGGAGGAGCGGCGCCTTGCCCGCGGGCACGGGCACGGGGCAGCGGATGCGCGTGAAGTCGATCGCGGCGTCGATGTCGCGCGGGACGCGGTGCGCGTACCGCCCGTGCTTCTCCTGCGGGGCCGGGCCCGGGGTCGGCGGCGCGCGGCCGGTCGGCTTCACGTAGAAGGACGTGCCCTCGTACAATGCAGAGAAGGAGCCGAGCGCGCGCGAGCCGGCGAAGATCGAGGGCGTGAGCTGCGGGGAGCGCGGGGGGCGCTCGGGGGCGAGCGAGGGGCGGCGCGCGATCATCGCTTCGACGAAGGACGGGTTGCGCGAGAGCGCGGGGGAGGAGGAGACGGAGCCGGGGCGCGAGCGTAGGCGGTCCGTCCACTTTGCGCTGCCGCGGCGCTGCGCTTGGTAAGGGCTTGGGGGGCGCGGGACGCATAGGGATTGGGTGCGGGAGAGACTAGGACGTTCGGTGGGGTGCAGCTCCTGGAAGGTGACCACTGACGGCCGGCGAGTGATGATCTCGTCTGACGGCCCCTGGGGGAGCCCCGGGACGCCGAAGGGGTTTAGGTTGAAGGTGATAGCTGTTGGGGCGCTGTCCAAGGGGGCAACGGGTGCGTCGAACGTGAAGTTCTCGAACTGGACCTCGGGGAGCTCGTCGTTGTTGGCGAACGGCTCCTCCTCATCGGAGGCATCTGATGAAGAGTATGCAGACAGAGCAGATGTTGCGCCCTGAGGCCTCTCGCCAGTAGCATACAGCTCGTCGACCGGCGGAAAATATCCCTGACACTGAGAGAGGGACGACGCCGGGTGACTCGGACCCGGAGATTGAGGGCCAGTAGTGAACTGGTGCGCTAACGTTAGCGACCAAGTAAGGAACCACAGTGGTATGAGCGTACCCTGGGAATGCGACTCTTGATGCCCTGAGAAGAATGCCTGCGTGCTAGCATCGCCCGGGCAGGGTACGACATCGGTGCGTTTGGGTCCAAGGACATATCGGGACTGGCGTCAGGCCGCGAGACTCTGGGAGCGGCCTGATGAGGGCTGGGAGGCCATTGGTGGGACTTGCGCCGTTTTACTTCGCCATCGGTGGAGGCTAACGGCGACGAGGGGAGCGCCAGAGACGGGATAGACGAGCGACTCATGGTAGTTGGGAGGGAAAAGTTGGGCGTAAAGGTCATATGTCTGTGGGAGAGTCAAGTGAGGAGGGGAATTGGTGAGTAAAAGGGCGTGCGGAAGCAGTGATTATATGCGCCTGGCGGCGGATCCGCGGACACGGGTCCGGCTCTGACTTTCTGGCATTCCGCAGAGAAAGATAGGATATCCCAGGGAAGATGGGGCATCCAGGACGATCCGAATTTGGCCCAGCCGCGGTGACGGCTGCCATATCGAGGATAGGAAAGCGGCTCAGGGGAGGGGAACCGCTTGCTTCCGCCAGACTGAACTGAAATCCGAGCGGCGGCCTAGGCCATTTATCTACGGATCGCGTACACGGTAAGCAAATGGGCTTGCGAGCTGCGACACGCAAGGAAACGGAAGTCGTGCTTTCCACCTGGCGAGAACGCTTGCAGTGATACAACTGCACGCCTTCCGAGCCTGAGCAATGGGTATCAGCGCGGGTAGTAGTCGTCGGATGTCAATTAAGGTACGCACCACATACCGTAGCTCTCAAATAATTTATTGAGTAGCTATTTTCTCACAATAGTGTACGCCAAGTATGCCGTAGTAGCGGACTTGTACGTCGACCCGCCTGTGGTCCGCCGCCGTCCGCCTAGTCCTAGTCCATAGGGTTCTATGAGTAAAGCCCGACTAAGTTACAATGTGAGAAAATCGTGTTAATAACATGTTATTAACATGGGGTTCGGGAGGGGGTGATTTTGGTGTGTGTAAAAGTGTGATTAATGCGCACACCATTAATTGGGGGGCTGACAGATCCTTGGACAACTCTTTCTCGATGTCGACTGCGTCATAGGCTCGCGAAACCCGCGCAGCATGTTGGAGCAATCGAGAAAGCGTCGGAAGGAGTAAGAAAACAGTAGTATTCCGTTTGTCTCGTACGGTAGCGTCGTGGTACGAAGGCAAACGGATACATAGGTACACAAACCGCCTCGCGCGCGATACTGAACGCCTCGGCAAGTGCCGGCGAGCAGGCGCTCGCTCGCCCAGAACCAAAATCCAACACAGCAGATAGATGTTTTGAGTCAGAACGGCGGTCGCATATGCATGCGCACGCCGCTCTGACTCTCAAGGACCGGGAACGACGACGGGCGCCTTGCCCTTCATGTTAAGAATACCCAGACCTTTACTCACATTGTGATTAAGGCTTTATTCACGTGTTATAAACACTTTGTCACAGAATGTTGATAACATGTTAATAACACCTGTTAAAAATCGTCCGAGGGCCAACGAGGGCCAAATGTTAATAACATTTGTGAGAAAGTGTTCCGGGACTTTCTCACAGAACCCTCAGGCTAGTCCGCCAGGCATCCGCATCCGCCCTTGGCCCCCCTTGGCGATTTTTTCGCATATTTTTGTTGAAGGACGCGGTGTTTGTGTGGTACCAGTGTTTTTATAGCCTGATAGACGAAAACGCGCCACCTATAACGAAAAACTTAGCACAAGGAGGGGTGGAAGTATAAAGAGCAGGAGGAGCCACCGAACGCAAACCACGAAGACAGGCGTCTATTCGCCCGATTCACACGGAAAAGGCACGTGGGAGTGGGCCAAGGTCTGGTTTGCCGACGTCGGACTTGGTCTACGCCCTGGCCGTCAAGCTCTCTCTCCTCTCCCCTTCCTCCTGCCCTTCACGCGCCACCGAGATGTCACTTCTCGACCTCTCGCACGAGCTGCTCGTCCACATCCTCTCTTACCTCGAATATGAGCACCTCCAGGTCTCCCGCCGCCTCAACCACGCCATGGACCGCCTCATCCAGTCCAGCATCCTCCTCCAGTACTCCATGCAGCTTCAGCTATACGGCTACGAGGACAACCCCAGCTGCCATCTTGTCATCTCGGACAAACTACGCCTCCTCCGCCAGCAGGAAAGCGCCTGGTCGCGTCTAGATTTCGAAAAGGAGACCACCATTCGCATCCCGTTCAATCCCTCAAGCATATACGACCTCACCGACGGTGTCCTCCTCCTCGGCGAGTCTGTCTCGGGGATTCAGACCGGCGCAGATACCGTACGTTGGACGCGACTTTCTCAACTCGTGTCTAGCGAGGACGCCCCTGCCGTCCACTTCTGGGAGAAGATCGACGTAGGGGCGCACATCATCGACGTCGGGCTGTCCGTCGAGGAGCACGACCTCATCGTCGTTGCCACAGAGTGCGTAGGCCCGCGACCGCTTTTGTTAGATGCGAGCAGAGAAGACTGATATTTTTATCCTTCTCAGTCGCGAAACGGAAGATAATCACACCAAGTTCGAGCTGCGCCTCATCCAATTATCGACCGGGCTCAATCACCCCCTAGCTGCCAAACCGCTGATTCCGCTCGCGGTCATCGAGGCGACCCCCCAGTCTATCGCAGGGAATTGCAGCGTGTGTATAGAGATCGTGGGCGACCTCCTTGGCTTCTTGTTCCACTATCCCGCAGGATATACGCGTCCGCCCGCGATGTTCGAAGTGTACAACTGGAAGACCGGGCAGTGTCTCGAGGTACGTCTGTTCTGCGCCCGTGGATCACGCGTTTTGATCACTCTTCCTTGACAGCTCCGCGGCCTTGACTGTCCATGCTATTCAACCTTCACTTTCCTCTCGCCCGACGTGATCGCGCTCCCGAACTGCGCGGAGAACACGATCGAGCTCTGCCGCATAGAATCTACCACCATCGACGGCGGGCCGCAACAATTGCAGACGGCGTGCGTGCTGCAGTTACCCACTCTGAGCAGCGGGCACACGATCGCGCAAGTGACCTGCCGCTCGGAGCCGAAGATGACGAACACGACGCGGAACGCGCCCGCATTCCGGTCATCCGAGCCGTTCCACCTGAAGCCCGCGGACGCGGTGGTCATCTTCAACATCATGACGCACGACAGCCAGGGCTTCCACGAGTGTCTCACGCTCATCGTCCACACCGCCGCGCTTCTTCGCATACTCGCCACACAGGTCGCGCAGAATATCCCTGACATCGTTCCCGAAGTTCTACCATCCCCGTTCGCCCCGCCGCCAGCCCCAGAAGAAGACACGGACGAAGCGAGCGGCCTCCCCTGGCCAGCGCTTATAGATGGCACCTCGCCAGAGCCAGACCCTGAACCCGCGTCGACGTGCCCGCGGATCGCGTGGGCGCAGTGGGGTCCAAATGTGTGCCGCTGGCTCGAAGCGTCGTTCGGCGCGAGCCGCTGGATCACGACGACGTGCGGGCAGCGGTACGTGACGGTCGAGGAGGACCCGATCGACGACGACCTGATGCGGAGCACGATCGTCGTGTACGACTTCAACCCGCACAATGTGCGCCGGCTCGCCGCACAGCATCGTAAACGGCGGCGCTGTTTGCGTGGGTACCCGCGCCCGTCTGAGCAGCCTGTCATGCGTGCGCCGTTGCCCGCGCCGTTGCATTTTCCACTGCCGGAGGTTGTCGTGCAGGATGAGGGCACGGTTGGGCCACACTTGGGACTAGGACTAGCGGTGATGGGAGGCGCTGGGGTGGCAGCGGGAGGCCCAGCGGGGGAGACGGACGGGCCACTCGTGGGGGTGAGCGCGGCGCGACTCGAGCACGCGTCGCTGATCCCGTTCACGGACCCCGCGACCCGGGTCATCGGGCAGATCCAGTGCGAGCCGACAGAGCTCATGGCGGGGTACGCGCTGCAGTACCGCATCTTCGACGAGCCCGTGCGCACGGCGCTGCCGTTTGCGCAGCTGAGCTCGTTCAAGACGTATGCGTATGGCGCGGTGTTGCTGGACCGGAGCATGGTCATCGGCGTTAAGGTGCGTGTGCGCGCGTATTAGCATAAGCCTGTGCTGACGCGATATCCGTGGATAGTTGAACGACGCGGATGACATCAAGGAGCTCGTTATTCATCCTATACGAAGAGGGAAGTAGGGGTTGGGAGGTAGACGGGGAGTTGTGTGATGCTCACTGTTTCATGTACTCACGGACTCGGAAGCTTAAAGCTGTACTAATGCCTTGGCCGATTCAATATTCGAGCTGTTGCGACACTCACGCAAAAAAAAATTTAGGTCCTCACTGCAAGGTGTCGCATGTTGTGGTTCGTTGGACCGCTCCCATCGCACACGCGTCAGCTCTCGGTGTGAACGGAACGGTGTTGCAAAGATAGCATATGTACATGTGGGTAATCCGTCAACGCGACTCTATGGCACGTCTGCCAACCCCCGCCTCCCACGATCCGGAGACAAAGGACGAGTCGGTAATTATCACTGACGTCGGGCGCGCGCGAAACGATCTGAGACCAAGTGTGCTGGGGGGATTGTCAGACGTTGCTACGATGATGAGAAAGGAGAAAGGAAGGTGCGTACCTAGCGCTGAGAAAAGAGTTGCGTCCAGCTGTGCTGGTGATGGAGGTCGGAGCTCGGAGCCAGTCCGCAGGAGTCCGGTAACGAGAGCAGAGAGCTGGCAAGAGAGCAGGACGAGACACAAGAACAGAGACAAAGGCCCAGTGGTTTCGGTGCGAGACCGCAAGTTGGGGCCGGACAACTTCGAGAGGACGAGCGCGGGCAGATCCGAGCGAGCGAGAGACGGCCTAGCTGGGTCACCAGACCTAGACGATCAGAGCCAGACGGAGGAGACTAGACTCGTCCATTTTGGGGGCAGCGTGGTAGCCGCCGGGTTTCCGGGAACAGGCTCGTCTTCTCCATGCACGGAGGAGAGGAGCCCGGGCATCGATCCACCCCAGGGACGACACGTTTGCATCCGTGTATCCAGTGGGAGGGACTAGACGTCCAGGGATGTCAGCGAAGGGATACAGGTGAGAGTAGGGAGGAATTCACTCGATGCGGGGATGAACGATGTGGGAGCCCGTCGAGCGAGGTTGGCGCGCCGGAAGGGACAGCGGACGCATCCGGTTTTGCTCTAAACGCCGCACGCTTGCAATCATGCGAAGTTTAGAGAAAATCTACACGAAACGCCGGTTAGCGTCGCGCTACTGTTTAGATAGAAGGAGGGACGTACCAGACACTGAAGGATGAGCGATGAACGGATGTCGACGACCCAGACAACCTTGTATTGTCAAAAAGGATCGTCGGGGAGGTGGCTCGCGATAAGCCGAGCCGGACGAGACGGGCAGGGTGCCCCGAGTCGTCGCTTGAAGCCGCGACCGTAGGAAATGTCGACGACGATATGAGCTGGTGATAATCCGCACGATCTTGATGTCGGAGGGGATTGTCGAAGAGGAGGCTCGCAATGAGCCGAGCCGGACAACGCGGGCAGAACATCCCACGTTGGCGCTGAGGTCGCGAGTATAGGGATCGTCGACGACGGTTAGAACGGGTGGGGCGGTCTTCGAGACCATGAGCCCCCAATTCGAAACAAGTGGTTGATGCGCGAGAACAGGCGCGTCGAGAGCGGTCGCCAAAACCGCTCGTGCTCGGGTTGTCGATGTCGTCCGTGAGCGTGGTAGTCAGTCACGAGCATGGCTGGGACATCGAACTTGAGTTGGCGATCTAGCGCGGGGCTACGCACGTACGACTGAGATGTTGACCGGACATCACAGGCGGTCGAGGTAGTCGCACCAGAGCAGGTTGGTAAGCGTAGGCAGTACAACGAGGACGTCCAGAAAGTCTAGTGATCAGACTCTGGGAAACCAGGTCGAGAGGAAGATTTTTGAGTCGGGTTCGTTGAGAAATCGGCGTCGGGGAGACTATGAGCGGCAGCCTCGAAGACGAGAGTTCTCGACGGTGGAGGTATTGTGCGGATGCGTCGACGAGGGACGATGGGCGTAGAACTTGGACCAAGTTCCGATACCCAGTCCGTACCGGGCGACGGTGGAGTAGTGAGAGGTGAATAATGTCGATGAGGAAAATATAGGAAGAAAAAGAAAGCGAGTGGTTGCGTTGCGTAAAAGTCGTGGTGGATAGTTTTCGCCCAGAGCAGAATAGACGAGGTGGTTCTTGGCAATCAGAGGTCGGCCTGCTCGAGGGACTCCTTCCAGACTGCGAGGAAGGAGTCCCGTTGTTCCAGCTTTAGCTGCTCTCGCGCCCCAAGGGGCCGGCCGAGAGGCTTGTTCGAAGTCAGCGTGGATCCTGACCCGACAAATCGCAGGTCAATCTCACCTGGGATGAACAGCCGACTTCTGCGGTGCCAAGAAGAGGAGCACGGCGCGTGTCCTCTTCAACGAAGATGTGGAGACCGGATCGGGCGGAGTCACTGCGCTTGAAGAGCAAAGCGAGGTCCTCGCCGCTTGGCCGTGTCCACATCTGCCAGAAAGTCTCCCGCGCCGCCTTCGCCAGCCTCTCGTCTGGGTGAGGTCCGGCGCCGGTGAGACTTATCGTGGCAGGAGTGCGGTAGTAGCAGTTCCAGACGAACCTTGGGAAGCTGAGGCTCGAGGCTCCTCATTTTATCAGCTTGGGTTTTGGCGATCTGCCAGAGCTCCTCGAACGGTTCTTTCGGCGACTCCGGGGGCTCCGCGGACGAAGTGATCTAAGTACGAGTAATCATTAGTGTCAGAAGTGGACAGAGAAATGACAACTGACCTGATGGCTGCAAGTGTCTTCGTCCCTCTCAGACGAGACACTAGCGACATCGTCTTCATCATCAGAGCTAGAGTCGGTGCCGGTGTCGGTCTGATCATCGAGCACCAGATCGAAGAACTCGTCAAGGAAGTCGCGCGCGGTTTCGTACGGCGTCGCGCACTGGAGGCCCGAGAGCGCCTGGAAACCCTCATCCTGTGCAGAGGGGCCGGTGTAGTAGCCCTCATCATCTACGATCTGCTGGTCCGAGTTAGCACCCGTACGAAAAGATGGGAAACTGTAACTCACATCGGTGAATGAGCGGAAGACGAGCGAAGGGAATTGTGCCTGTGCGAAGTTCGACGCAAACTCCGGACTCGACACGATATTGATGGCCAAATTGTCGACGGTGGGATATGTCGGAAGGCTGGCAGAAGAAGGAGCTGTCGATGGCGTCCAGAGGTCCACATCGTCGAACGTGGATAGCGCAAGCGGCGGCGAGCAAGCGAGCTCCTCGAGGACTGCGAGCACGGAGGGTGATTCAGCCGTCAGCGAGTCTACCGAAGGCGACGCAGACATGTACGAGAAGCTCTCCGACGCGGTGTAGAATGAGTCGGCGGAGTCGCTCTCCGATAGAGAGCAAGCGACCTCGAAGTCAACCTCTGGAGGAGAGGTACTCTCCTTCCGCTCAAAATCGGGCACCTGAGAGGGGCACTCCGTCAATGCAACCTCTAGTGTCTGGAAGGGGCGTTCCTCGACCGCGAGCTCCTGTTCATGGGAGGGGCTGTCCTTGAACTCGACCTCCTGCACCTGAGAGGGACTTTCCTTGAAGTCAACCTCCGATGCCTGGGAGGTTCTCTCCGAGTTCTGGCAGTCGACCTCCGGTACGGAGACGTCCACGCACTCGTGCTTGACGGGGAGGTCCTCTAGAGCACAAGCGACCGGCTCGACCTTAATGGTGACGTGTTTTTCCCGACGGCGAGAGCGACGAACGACCCTGCGAGCGCGGCATGCGTCGACCATCACGATGTCCTCAGCGAAGACTGGAACGGTGCGCGGGTCCATCGATGTTGTGGAGGCGTCTTCATTGGACCGAAGTACTGACTCGCTGAACTCTTCCTTGATGAAGTCCTCGACCAATTCCTCCTTGATGACGGGCTCGGGCGTCGCGCGAGCGGGCAGGTCGACCTCGGAAGGTTCCGCTTTGATCGTCGGGACGGGGACCACGATGTCAATCGCAGGCGGCGCGTCCATGGGGAAGGCGTCGGCCAGAAGAAGGGCGTCGTCAGGGGACTCCGCGCGGATTACGACTGGGGGAACGTCTGCCATGTAGACTGAGTGATCGTCGAGGTACATGTCGACGTCCTCCTCCTTCACATCGAATGCAAGGGCGGGCGGCTCATCCACATCGAAGGCTCCAGCGAGGAGGAGAGCGTCGTCGAGGGATTCAGCACGAACCACGACAAGGGGGTCGTCGTGCGCGAGGTCTGAGCAGCTGTCGAGGTACACGATGTCGTCGTCGTCGTCGTCCTCTACCTTCACCTCGAATACGGCGGCGACTTGCTCTGCCTCGCAGAAGTCAGACATGGAGATGTCTTCCTCCACGATGTCCATGGCTGAATAGGACTCCACCGTCTCGATGTCGTCGGCAGAGTGAGCGGGCGGCGCAGGGAGCATGCCCTCTACCGGCTCGACCTTAGGTGCGTCGAGCGGTTCGTCGACCATCTCGATATCGTCGTCTGCGAATCCGCAGGCGTACGAGACGACATCGTGAAAGGAGGCTTGGTCGGCGGTGTAATTGCCAAAGCAGAGATCGTCGTCCTCGGGCTCTTGCCGCACTTGAATGGAGGGAGAAGCCTCGAGCTTGACCGCGACCACTTCGATGGAGGGCGAAGCTTCGAGTTTGATCGTGACTGGCGAGGTCCGAGTGGAGAGCACATCGGCAAGAACATCCTCCTCTTCCTTGGGTACCAGAAGAGCGGAGGCGGCGAACGAGTCGTCGTAAACAGATTCTACCCGCGGGAGGACTTCGAGATCTTCCTCATCCTTGATGCGCGGTTCCTCTTCTTCGCCCGGTGTCCACGACAGGATCGTGACGCTCTCCGACTCCTCCAGCTTGATGCGCGGCTCCTCTTCTCTACCTAGCTTCCACCAGAGGATCGTGACACTCTCTGATTCCTCCAGCTTGGCCGCCTCCTCGAATGGGATGCTCTTGGACTCCTCTAGCTGGACCGCGTAGTCAAATACGCCAACATCGCCCTGAGATGAGTACGCGTTCTCCTGAGGCAGATACGCTTCCTCCTCCTGAGGCAGGTACACGTCCTCCTGGGGTGGGTACACTTCCTGCTCCTGAGGTAGGTACACATACTCCGGCTGGGGCAGGTACATATACTCCGGCTGGGATGGGTCCATATATTCCGGCGGCGGTGGGTACATGAACTCCCAGATATCGGCGACACGCTTCGAGCGGTCAGAAATATTCGATATCAAACAAGCGAGTGACTTACCATAGCCTCCTCATCCGGTGTGCGAACGCACCGCCTGATCCCCTTCCCCGTCCCACCCTGCAGGTTCGCGCGGGCTTGACGCTTCCGGATCTCCACGCGCGGCTGGACGTACGTCGGCGCCTCCGGATCCACGCCGTCCCACACCGCCTGCCGCCAGCGAGCGGCGTTCTCGAGCGCAATGCGGGCCTCTCGCTCCGCGATGCGCGCCGCGACGGCGGCGGGGTGGTGGTGTCCGGTGGGCGCGTAGTCGGCGCGCACCCACAGGTGGTATTCGGCTCTTGAAGCGAAGATGCGTTTGCCGAGACGGGCGGCCGCCCAGGGGGAGGCGACGTAGGGGCCGTGGAGGCCGCGGGGGTAGCAGTCTTGGAAGCGGCGGGCGCTGCGAGGGGAAGGGTTGTGGTGCTGAGCTTGAGCGGACATGATAACGAGTGTGGTAATGAGCGATAGCTAAGGAGTGTGCAGTAAAGAGCGAGAACTAGAAACGACTTGACAGTGAGAGCAACGCAACAAGGAGAATAGGACACTCAGCGTCCAGCCATATATTCCTTGGATGCATGGCTGACCTCCCAGCAGATAGAGGCTGCCCAAGCTGGCATTTCGATCGCAACTAGGTCATCCTCGGTTCGGGAACTGGGTCGCCAATGAACATCTTGAAGGGTTTGCAGGCCTGTGAAAAGGTATAACATGTGCATTTAGACTTCGTATATGTGTGTGTGGCAGTCTTTGCTCTTGCGGGCTCGGTGGCTCTGGACGACTGGTGACTCGGAACTGCTGGGAGGAGGCAAATCATTATAGCGTGGGGATTAGGGCACGACGCCGCGGGTGTATTTGAAAACGTCGGAATCATTGCGCACACAAGCTATGTCGTGAAAATGCGAACATGGTAGAGTCGACGAGCGAGAGGTCGCCGGACGAGGAGAAGTGACGATGGTTGGACGGGAGGCCTCGAGTTGCGGGAGGATGCTAAATCGGCAATCTCGGCAACCGCCGCAAACGGGCGTCTATTGTCTCGCAGGCTCTTCGTGTCCAGTCACCCACGTGTGCACCGTGCTCTCTCTCCTTGTGCTCACTCTGTGGCTTTGCTTGAGCTTGCGAGATCTGCTAGAGAGCTGTCGACAAGATCTTTGTGCACGACACAAATCTCAGTTCTATGTTTTCTGAAGCTCATATTCCACTCGAAGAGGGCACACGCGTATGGCCTTCCTGCTGGTCGCGGTCATACGCATGCCTTGCTCACAATGCTAATAAATCATGATGATGATCTTCCACTACCAGTCTTACGCCCTGAGACCTCACTGCCACCATCATCCTGGTAGGGAGTAACAACTGGATTTGTGGTTCCAGCGATTCATCTATCTACTCAATCAAAACGGCCCCCGGGCGCACTCACACTAATCCTAGCTAGGAAGCACTGTGCCCTGGCACCCACGCCCAGCTAAAACTCAAAGCAGCTCAGTGAAATTGCACCTTTCCGCTCGGAAAACCGCACACGTGAAACCCGGACGCTCGCCTCGCGCCTACTCTTCCTGAACCGCAACAACATCGACGCTGCATCGACCTGCATAGCTATTCAGCATGCCCATCGCGCCAGTGGACGACCAAGGGACCGTCCTGTACTATGAGGACAGCGGCGCGCCGGCTGGGTCTACCGACTATATCACAGTCGTCCTCATCCACGGAACCTGCTTCCACAGCGGTACGTCTCCGTCGCGCCTTACCGCCGACACCACGTACTCACACCGCACAGCGGTCTATCGGCCCATGATACCCTTCGCAGCTGAACGGAACCTCCGTTTTGTGCTGCTCAACCTGCGCGACTACCCCGGATCCTCTCCGTACTCCGCGGACGACATGGAGGACATGCGTGGGTCCACCCCTCAGCACCAAGCGCGGGCGCTGCAGACTCGCGGGCTGGAGATCGCCGAGTTTGTACGCTGGTTCATCGAGATGGAGGGCACACCGCCGATTAGGGAAGCGGCGGGCACAGAAGCGCTTGTAGGAGGTGTGTCCGTCCTCGCTTGGTCGGGAGGAACTTGTGCCGCGGTTGCCACGTTCGCGCATGCGGACAAGCTCCCTGAAGCGACGCGGCGGCTGTTCGACGCTCACTTGCGAAGCTTCATACTGTACGGTATGTATTGGGTCTCAGTGGATGGACGAGCGACTCGTCATTTAACTTTGTTTGAAGATCCCTCCGTGACTGTTGTTGGGGAAGCGCGCCCTCCAGGTCTCGGTGCCCTAGTCCGGAACCAAGCAGCGCCCTCGGGTGTGCAAACCGCCGAATTTGCACTCACCATTGGGTCGTATTACCCTCCTTTCACGTTTCCCGACAGTATCGACCCGCCACCTGTTTACGATCCTCCCCGCCGCGCCATCCACCTCAGCGCCGACCCGGTCGATCCGAAGTACACGCCCACGCCTACGAAGATGGGTCCGCGTGTCCTGCGCGATGTCACGCACCCGGATATCTTCGCGGATACCCAGCACCTACTCTGGGCGCTTAGCTTCGACATGTATCGGCAGAACCTCTCGCGTGCGCTGTTTGACTGCCGGTTCGACGACGGAAGCGGTATGTTGAAGGAGGTGTGGCCTGCATTGCGTGTGCATGTCGTGTGGTGCGACAGGTCGCCCGGTGACTGTCTTTGGGCGTCGGCGGTGATACACGCGAAGTACAAAGATGCGGAACCCAAGTATCGGAGGCCGGTGGAGTTCCACAAGCTGGAGGATGCGAATCATTTTGTGAGTCGCGCATTACAGGGTCGATTTCTCTGGCTGACCAACACTCCGTAGGTACACTGGGAGGAGCCAGAGAAATTTGTTACGTTCTTAGCAGGTATCGTCTGATGAACTTCAAGAATCGTGTGTACTTCATTTCGCTTGTCGTTGATATTGAGCAATACTGCATCCCAGTTCTCTGACCAGGCACGCGTGTCGGTTGCTCTATTTGAACATGCAGAGCGCTGACAGTTACTGTGTACGTTCGCCCACTCTTTGCCGCGAATACCTCTGATGAATCACACACCTTTCCAGGTGAACTCTCCCCGAAGGAAGACCTTCCATGCCGTGTCGTCATCTCACCCTCTGTCCCGTGAAAGATCAGTGGCACCTAAGCGATCGGATGAGCACCCGAAGAGCTGTCGCGACTGACACGTCCCGCCGAGATGCCCCGCCGCGAAGCCCTTCATATTCGGGCACCGGAGATATACAGGGCGAACGTGGCACGCGAGCCCTGCGACCCATGGAACCGCGCAGCGCGGCCAGGCTGCGCGGTTCCGCAGATGGACCTATGCGGCCGCGATGGAACGGCGCGTGGAAGGCGCGAGATGACTGTGGGACAGCGAGTGTGGGTGTGCCGGGTGTTTTGCGTCGCGGATGTGCCGCGATCTTGCCAGGACGGGCTCTTCCCCGGCGGCCAGGGCGGTGTCACAGGCTCGCGGGGCGAATCAGGTCGTGAGTCGCAGTGCTCGCATTCGCAAAGCTGTGGTGATGTCATGCGCTAATGCCTGTCTAGGGCCACTGGGAAGCGTCCGAGGAAGGCTGGCGCCGACTGCGCGATAAAGTGGCCCGAGGAGGCCTGTAAGAGCATGTTTGGACCGCTTGCTCTGAGCATAGCTGACGTTTCGTCTTCACATTGGTCCGGCCGAGGTTTCTGCAGACAGGAGGCGCACCGCGTATGTTCTCCTGTGGCGGAGACTTGTGTCGGTAGCAGACATCCGGAGCGCGCAGAACATCCGTGCTATGCGAACTACACTGCGCCTGGCTGTCCAGCCAATGGTCGGCACTTCGACCTGCGAAGATGCCGTACTTCGCGTGGAAGGGGCGGCGGGTGGGCCGGAGCCCTAACCCTACGTGGGACGAGATTGGTATGTTCAGTCCGAGGAGGAACTCGACATACGCCGAGTAAGAAACAGCGAACCGGAGGAGGAGAATCGGATGCGATCGATAGACGGCGCGAGACGAGCTCGGGCGGGCGGCGCGCTGGGTCGGGCGCGGGGGAGCAGGAGAGGGGAGGGCGACGGATTGGGCGGGCTTCCCTCTTATTGTGCTTCCCACCGGGGCGCTTCTCCATTCTACGGTTCCTGTGCCGGTCGCGCTGCCCCCGCGTCCCCTCGCCCCGTCCTTTGTCTCCGGCGGGAACTGCCTGCGCTGGGCCCGCTCCTTTTTTCTGCTCTGCATTTCGCCCCGCCCAGCCTTCGATCGCGACTTCCCACCCGCTCCCCCGGCGTCACACTGCCACCCGCGTCCGTCTCCTTTCCCCAGGCTCTGTCCCCCTCCGACTCTCCCGCCGGCCCAGTGCGGGCGCGGGTCTGCATAAATACACTCATGCTCCGCCTCGCGCGGGCGCGCGTCGCGACCTCCTCTCCCCACCCATCGCGGACGCGGGAGCATGCCCTTTCCGCATCCCTTCAAACGCTCGCGCCAGCAAGAACCTGCTGCCTTTCCCCGCTCCATCCTCGACGCCGTCAAGGCGTTCTATGCAACTGAGTGAGTGCTCTCTCCCGCCGGACGTCAACGAGAATTGAGTAGACCGACTCGCTTACCCTTCATCTCGTCATCCAGGAGAAGAGAACCCCAATACAGTGAGTACGCGGTCTCTCGCGGCGTCTGTGCGGCGCGCGCCTCGAAACTGACGCGTACGCCTTCCCCGCAGAGCCCAAGCCCCGCGACGACCGCAAGTCTGCAGCGCACTCGTCCCGCCACCCGCACCCGCCGCCACACCATGCCCCGCCCGCTCGCACCCGCGCCCCAGCGCGTCGCGCGCACCGAATCACGCAGCTCCCGAACGAGGTCCTCGCGCATATATTCGTGCTGGGGGCGGAGGAGGACGCCATGTTCCCCGTCGCCGTCTCCCATGTCTGCAGGGCCTGGCGCTACATCGCGCTGCACACGCCCGCGCTCTGGCGCCGCATCACGCTCGACGCCGGCAGCCTAGCGATGTGGGGCCAGCGCATCCCGCGCGCGAAGGCGGTCCCGCTCGACGTGCAGCTCGCGCCGCTCGCCGCGCTCTCGCACCTCGCGTACTACAACCACGTCCAGCTCTGCATGCACGTCGTCCTCCCGTACATCCACCGCTGGCGCTCGCTCGAGGTGCGCTTTGGCGGGTACGCGCCCTTCCTGTGGAACGCCGCGCTCGGCGGGTGCTGCGGGCACTCGGCCGCGATCGAGGCGCCGGCGCTGCGCGACCTCACGCTGGTGTACCCGGAGAACGACGACACGAAGGAGTACATGCTCTTCAATGGGTACGCGCCGCGGCTGCGCCGTGCGACGATCCAGGGCATCCGCCTCGCGTGGTCGCCGTCGCTCTTCCAGAACCTGACGTATCTGGACTACACCCACCACGGGTTCACGCGCGGCGCGCAGGCGGCATCTGAGGTGCTGTATATGCTGCAGGTCTCGGCCACGCTCGAGGAGCTGCGCCTGTCCTTCCCCTGGCGGGGCGACCTCGCGTCGCGCTACGCGCTCTCCGCTTCCTTCTCCCGCACGGTCCACCTGCCGCGCCTGCGGAAGCTTGCGCTCCACGTTGACGGCCCCGATATACCCCCGGCGCTCACGTACACCCTGCCCCATCTCTCACTCCCCGTCCTCCGCTCGCTCTACCTCATCTCGCACCCCGCCCCGAAGAGTGTTCCATACACGGACGTCTCCTTCCCACATCTCCGCACCGTGCTCAAAGCTCTTCCGCGGTTACCCGCACTAAGCCTTCTCCACGTCGCACATGGGTGGCTAGAGGAACGCTTCCTCGCGTCGCTCCTGACGTTACTCCCTTATCCCGGCGCGCCGCACCTCACACTCACCCTCGAGGGCCCACAAATCACCCACGGCTTCCTCTGCTACGCCCTCCGCGGCGCGGGACGCAAGTTGCGCGGGCTCGCGACGGTGCGGGCAGAGCGGCTGACCGCGGAGGGCATCCTGGACGTGCTCAACCGGCTGAACGGGATGCTCCTGCAGAGCGCGACCCACGTCTCCTCGCTATCGGCGCTCTATATCCGCGATTGCGCCGGCCTGGACTGGCGGTCGCTGCAGTGGCTCTCGACGGTCGGGGTCACGCTACGCGTGTGGGAGGGCGGCCGGGAGGTAGACCTGCGGCACTCGCGGGCGACGAAGCGGGCGCGTTTCCCTTGAGGCTCCCATTTGCCGTTTGCACACTGACGACTTTCACGCTGCGCCGGGCCTGCGCCAGGCAGCCTGCACGATACCGACACGACCGCTTTGCGACGACACCGTGGCTGGCACGGTACGACACCAGACATTCATCCTACACGCGATGTGGCTGCACTCACTTTTTACGTTACATCCTGCTGTGGTCCGTACATGCACAGCGCACACTGGTCCATCGGTACAGCTCCCCGCTCAGATAGCGTAATTTATCGTATGCCTGTTCTACTTATCCTTCAGCGTCGGTGCTGGAGCCCGCTGTATCACTATGCATTTACTTACATGTTGTGTTCAAACTGTGGATGGGTTCACCGCGAGGAAGCCGCCGTCCACTACGATCTCCTGCCCGTTCGTGAAGCAGCCCGCAGGCGACGCGAGGTAAATGACCGTGCCAGCAATCTCCTCGGCCCTACAAGATGAAAACGCGCTCAGCACACACTCGCGAACGTAGCGTGACAGGCACGTACTTTCCGGATCGCCGCGTCGGGACGGGCACGACCGCCTTGCTGACCTTGTCCACGAGGTCGTCCGTGATACTGTCGAACGTCATTTCCGACTCCCACACGCCCGGCGCGACCGCGCAGACCCGCACGGGCACCTTCTTCAGCGCGAACTCGGTCGCCATCATCTTCGTGAGGTGTGACGCGGCCGCTTTGGCGCTGTTGTACGCAAACTGCAAACACGGCCGCCACGAGGCGCAGGCCAGGGGTCAACAACCACGGCACACAACACGCGGCACGCGCGTGCGGCGCGTGTGGACGCAGGGCACGTACGTGGTTTTGTGACAGCTTCATCAGGCCGCTCACGCTGGTGACGTTGATGACGGCGGACGTGTGCGACGGCGATTCCTCGGTGCCCGCCGCGAGCAGCCCGAGGAAGGCGGTGGTCACGAAGAAGACGGAGAAGGTGTTGATCTTGTAGAGATCGCCCCAGCTCTCGAAGGACTCGCCCTCGAAGAGCGCACGGCCGATCGTGTCTGCGTCCTTGCGCTCGGGCGCGTTGGGATCTTCGAACCAGCGCGATACAGGGCCTGTCTGGCCGGCGCTGCAGAGGTTCGAGGTGAGTCGTTCTCGAATTTAGCGAGAGCTGCGCGACGTACTTGTTGACCAAGATGTGCAGCCTGCTCTCCTTCGACGCGAACGTATCCCGCGCGGCGGCAATACTAGAGCGGTCAGTGACGTCCATGACAAGCCTGGAGCAGGATTATGATGAGTTTGGCCTCTACCACGAGATAATATCACTCACGGTATGATAGACCCATTGCCCGTGTGCCCTTCTGCGAAAGTGCTCGCTGACTTCTCGAGGACCTCCTGCCGCCGTCCAGTAATGTACACCTTCGCGCCGTTCTCCGCCAAACCGAGCGCGATCTGCCAGCCAATCCCAGTACCACCGCCCGTAACGAGCGCAATCCGACCCGTAAGGTCGAAGATCTTGTTGAGATGCATATGCTCAGTCATGGTCATAGTCGGCTGCGAGTATTAAAGCAAGGTGGCGACACAGCGCGTAGTGTTCTCTAGACAGTCTCTGAGACCCCAGGAGAGATAGCGAGCGATACAAGTTGTCCTCCCCGTCGATTGGGGATACTTGAGGGTCGTTGAGACTAGTACCCCGGGTGCGGAGCCCCGGACCGTATGTGGGGTCAGGAGGGTGCCCGGTGCGGTCCCTTCAAGTTCAGCATGACCAGACACAGGTGAGAGTGGTAAATGAAATGCCGCCGATAGGGACCAGCCTGATAGTCTCCGAGCTAGAGTGAGCGATGCAAGAGCCCGGGGGTGCATCTGGGTGCAGAGGACAAGCTCGAGTTGGTTGACGTTGCGGACCGAGAGGACATGTTTCGGCGCCTACGCGCTGCTCTGTGCTCTCCTCCGTCGGAGTCGGAATCCGAGGCGTTCGTCTGAACCACCAACTCGCGCGAACGCTCGTCCAGACTTTCTGGTGCGGTCTGCACTAGACACTTCATTCCAGCTGATATACCCAGGAACAGCGCAGCCCGAGAATTTAATGTCCTTGAGAACAAATGATTGACCTCCCGCCGGCCGATGGCTCCTCGCCGCCGGTCCGCCCCATGACTAGCCTATGATTGGAACTTGCGGCCCAGCGATGTATATCTGCACCCACACCCTCCAACCAGCCGAAATGAACGTCCCACCGCCCGCCCACCCTACTCCCACCGCGCGATGTCCGCCGACACAAGCCCGCAGCAGGAGCCCGAGTACCACTACGACTGCGTCGTCGTCGGCTCAGGCCACGCCGGCAGCTGCGCCGCGCTCTCCGCCCGCGACGCAGGTTGTGCGCGTGTACTCATCGTCGACAAGTGCCCCCCGGAATGGGTCGGGGGCAACGGCTTCTTCACCGCGGGCGCGCATCGCACCACCCACGACGGCGTGCGGGACCTGCTCCCGGTCGTCCAGAATGTGTCCGCGGAGGCGGCGAAGAACATCGACATGGACCCGTACACGGCGGAGGACTTCACACGCGATATCATGCGCCTGGGCGACGGGCGGTCCGACCCGCAGGTGGTGAAGGCGGTTGTGGACGGTTCGCGCGGCGCGGTGCAGTGGCTTGCCGAACGCGCCAAGGTCCCGTTCATACTTTCGTTTAACCGCCAGGCGTACCTGGTCAACGGGCGTCATGTTTTCTGGGGAGGCCTGGTGCTGAGCGTCGTAGACGGCGGGAAGGGCCTCATCGCGGCTCACCGTGCAGCTCTGCAGGAGGCCGGCGTAGAGACGTGGTTCAACACCGCGGCGACGGAATTACTTGTCGAAGACGGCGCCATCACAGGTGTAATCGTCAAAAAGGAAGGCGCGACCCTGAAACTGCGCGCACCTGCTGTCATATTGGCGTGTGGAGGTTTCGAGGCAAACAAGGACCTACGCGGAAAAAACCTCGGCGTGGAGTGGGAGCGTGCTAAGGTACGACCGTTTTGTATCTCCATGTTTTTCCTCACGCCACACACTGACTATACCACAGGTACGCGGCACCCCGTACAACACCGGCGACGGTCTCGCCCTCGCACAACGCGTCGGCGCCCGCCTCATCGGCGACTTCGCGGGCTGCCACTCGACGTGCTGGGACGCAAACGCGCCCGCGGACCGCGGCGACCGCGTGCTCAGCAACCAGTTCACGAAGTCCGGGTACCCGCTGGGCCTGATGCTGAACGCGGCCGGGGCGCGATTTGTGGACGAGGGCGCGGACTTCCGCAACTACACGTACGCGAAGTTCGGGCGCGCGATCCTTGCGCAGCCGGGCGGCGTCGCGTTCCAGCTGTGGGACGCGGAGGTGGCGGGGTGGCTGAGGAAGGAGGAGTATGCGGACGACGTGGTGGAGCGGATTACGGCGGATAGTATCGAGGCGCTCGCAGAGAAGCTCGGCGGGAAGGGGTTGGAGGATAAGAAGGCGTTCGTGCGGACGGTCGCGAAGTACAACGAGGCGGTGCATGCGTTCCGCGCGGAACACCCTGAGAAGGCATGGGACCCCGCGGTGAAGGACGGGCTGTCGACGCAGTCCAGCACACTGAAGCTCGAGCTCCCGAAGTCCAACTGGGCGCTGCCTATCGAGAAGCCGCCGTTCCTGGCGGTGAAGGTCACCTGCGGCATCACGTTCACGTTTGGCGGGCTCGCTATCGACCCCGACACCGCCCGAGTGCTGTCTGACGCGACGGGGAAGCCGATACGGGGGCTCTTCTGTGCTGGGGAGCTCGTTGGCGGGCTGTTCTATGGTAACTACCCAGGTGGAAGTGGGTTGACTGGCGGAGCGGTGTTTGGGAGGAAGGCCGGCGAGGGGGCGGCGAAGTTGATGAGTGCTGCTTGAGGAAGTCATTGTGCTCGATGTGTTACCCACTGTATGCTATACCATTTTCCTCGACCGACCTTAGGGTTTGTATGAGTAGTCGGAAGCAGTAAACTTGTCATAGCCACCGTACTATAATGCACGGGAGACCACAGAAGAATACAGCTATTTACTACACGTTGATCTTCGCCTGTATATACCGGATAACAGAAATGGGGAGCGGAGGCAGGCAGTTATCTGCCATCCGTCTCAAACTAAACCAGCCAAAAGCTCCACAAACTTCTCCGGCTCCTCCCAATGATACTATAGTATATTCAGCCCGCGATAAAACACAAGACGGACGCGAAATGACCTACGAAATGGTTCGCGCCCTCCAGCTTATGAAACTCCACCTGCCTCCGGTGTTCAGGATCCGCCGCGTTCCACTGCGAGTGTATGACCGCAGCCGTCCACGCGCAGTCCCCCGCCGTCATGTCGCACCAAATATACTGCACGCGCACATTCGGCCACACCTTCTTCGGCACTCCGCTCCCATCGTTGTCGTCGAGGACGCGGCAGTCGTACAAGCAACGCCGCAGGTTCTCCCTGTACACGTTGTAGCTGAGCGTCCAGATGAGGTGCTGGTTCTCTGCCATGACCGCAGGGTTCGTGAGGCTGCGCAGGACCTCGGGGGACATCCGCGAGGTCGTCGGGGTGTGCTTAGGGTCGACGGGGTCGGGGCCCAGGTGGAGGGCGCGGCGCGGAGGGTCGTAGACTGGGGGCGGGTCGATGTGTGCGGGGAAGGTGAATGGGGGGTAGTAGGAGCCGACTGCGAGCGCCATGTCGGCGACTTGCTCGTCTAGCGAGGCGTGGCGACGTGGGTGGAGGACGGTCAGCCCTGGGGGGCGTGGTTGTCCGATGATGGTCCCGCTGGGGTCTAATCTCGCTAGTAAAAACCCATATACGCTAGAAGACAATTGAATAGTGCGTACCGTACATGATGTAACTCCGCAGATGAGTGTCCAGCAGTTTGCGAGTCTCCACAGGTAGTTTATCTGCGTGTGCGAACATGGCGGCCGTCGGACAGGTTCCGCCCGACCATGCCAGGAGCGAAACACCCCCAGTCCCCGCAGCTCCTTCGATGGGCGGGATGCACTGAAACTCTATGAACCAACGCAAGAACGCAGCGATCTCGAGGCCGCGGTTTTTGATCGCCCTCGCTTGCGCCTCTTCGCTAGGACCGCGTAGGTCGTTCACGTCCTCGGGGGAGAGCAATGTGGAGCCAGGGTAGTCACGGAGGTTGAGCAGCACGAGGCGTAGATCGTGTTCGGCGAAAAACGGGATCATAGGCCTGTATACCGCTGTAATGTACGGTACTGACGTCAGGGTATGGTGTATAAGTGACCGAAGCAGCGACGTACCACTATGGAAACATGTGCCATGGACGAGCACAAGAGTGACATAGTCGGTGGACCCGGGAGGAGCGCCGCTATCTTCGAAGTAGAGGACCGTGCCATTGTCGTCCACTGGTGCGGTAGGCATTGTGCTTCGGGGGAGGAGGCGACCATGGGGAAAGAGAATATATAGGCCGCCGGGACTTCAGAGTGTTCACACGGATAGGCTACGAGTCTAAAAATACCGTTGAGTGCATTGAGTAGCATGGCTGCGTCTGTAAGAGAGAGCGCGCAGCAAGTAACTGTACTCTAGCTCGGACTGTGTGGTATTGTTCGAGAGCGGTTCATACCATACCGGCCAACAGCGCCACAAATCTCTCAGGCTCCTCCCAGTGATACTATGGCACATTCAGACTAAAGAGCGCAGCGGAAACACGATATAAACGACTCACGAAGTGATTCGCCCGTTCTACCTTGTGGAACTCCACCCGCCGATGTTGTTCTGGGTTCGCGGCGTTATACTGCGCGAGTATGACGGCGGCCGTCCACGCACAGTCGCCGGTCGTCATGTCGCACCAGATGAGATGCGCACGCAGCGCAGGCCACAGCTTCTACAGCGACCCGCTCCCATCGTCGATGATGCGGCAGTCGTATAGGGCACGCCGGTGGTTGTCCTTTTACACGTCGTAGGTCAACGTCCAGATGAGGTGCTGGGTCTCCTTCATGATGTCAGAATCCGTGAAGCTACGGAGGACCTCTGGGGACATGCGCGACGTCGTGATAGTGTGCTTCGAGTCGATCGAAGCCGCGGCAAATTGTAAGGCTCGACGGGGAGGATTGTATACGGGTGGCGGGTCGAGACCATCGGGAAGCGTGAAGGGAGGGAAATACGATGCGGCGGCATGTGTGAATTCGGCAACTTGTATGTCTGCGGACGCAGTTGGGTTCGGGACCAAGATCACGAGGCCGGGCGACCGCGGTTTCCCGATGACGGTGCCACTAGGGTCTGGGAGCTGTCAGAAATTCGTCCAGCGTCGAGTTGAATAATTACACGGTGCAACATACATGATGAAGCTGCGCAAGTGGGTGTCCAGAAGCCTGCAAGTCTCGTCCGAGAGGTTATCTTCGTGAGCAAACATGGCGGCAGTGGGGCAGTTGCCGCCCGGCCATGACCGGAGTGCAAGGCTTCTAGAGCGGTCTCTGGTTCCCGCCGCCTCCTAGATCGGCGGAATGTGTTCCGACTCTACGTACCAGTGAAGGAAAGCAGCAATTTCGAGGCCGCGATGTTGCATCGTGCGTCTCTGAGCTTCCACGCTCGGTCCCGTAGGTCGTCGACATCTCGGGGAGAGCCGCGTGGACCCCGGGTAGTCGCGAGGGTTGAGTAGAACGAGACGTGGATTGTGCTGGGTAGCGAACGGTGCCATTAGCCTATATATCGCTGTGGGCGGAATGAGCGCCCGGTTTGGATAAATACTCAGAAGTGCGAGTCGGTGACGACGTGGGCGACGTACCGCTATGAAAGCAAGTCCCATACACGAGCACCAGGGCAGTGTCGTTAGTGGACCCAGCTGGCGCGCCGCTGTCCTCCGAGATAGTAGAGAACAGTACCTTGTTCGTCCAACGGGGCTGTAGGTATGTTGTTTACGGGGAAAGCAGATCATTGGTAGTAAGCTGAGGGGTATATAAACTCTCGATAGTCCAGGAGGTTCACACGGAATGACTGCGAAGCATATGGGATTACTGTAACTTCCCGACCAAAGCGGCGGGTCACAGGTCACAACGACCCCCGCCGCCCCGCATTTGGAGGTCTGTCCCGCGTCACAGCGGCCTCCGCCGCCTTCGCCTGTGGTCCGGCGCCGGTCACGCCCCTAAATGGCATTTTTGGCGGCCCTGCGGGGCCGCGCGCCGCTTTTCGTACCGGATGGTCACGGTCACCACCGGTCGCGCCGCTTTTTGGGCAGCGCCGCTTCGTATCCGGGCGGTCACACCCCAAACCCTCCGCCGGATTGGTCGGGAAGTTACAGTAGTACTAGTACCGAGTGTATTGAGTAGTGCAAACGTATTTCTAGCAGATAACGACTCGCGGCGACTGCTGCGCACAGATAGGACGCTGGAAGTACTTGCACCGGTAGTAGATGACGGCAAGAGGCTAGAGCGAAGTGAAGGCCAACTTGCGTAGACAGGCCGTGACGATGTTGATGTGACAGCGCAGCACGAGGTCGCGTTCAGTCACAGTGAGATAGCTTCGCGTTCTGAGGGGCACCTCCAGCCTGCGGAGAGGGCTGCTCCAAGAGCGGGTCGCAGCTGTGGAAGCTGAAGTCCCACCAGTAGGATGCCAGACACCCTGGCCAAGTGCACAGACGGACGGAACCCCGGCGCTCAGAAGCGCCCGTGCCATTGTGGCGTTCAGCGTGCTGCCAGTGCAGCGCCACAGCACCTCGAGGCCGTTCACCCTCCTACGTTCTTACCATGACGTGGCACCTCCTTTCTCTCAGTCCGAATGGCCGCGGGGGCGTATCTTCTGCATCTCCGAGCCTAATTATGGATCATGGAATGCCGAACTTGCGTTTCATGTATGAACTGCGGTTGAAGTGGGGTCCCGGAGATGGGAATGGCCTACTCAAAGTCGCCTCGGGATTGAACGTGAACAACCTGCTGGTGCGAGAAGTTATATAAATTGTATGAGCGCTAATATGATATTCATTTCCAGCGTTTGTCTGAACGCCGCGGACACAGACAAACGCACCGGATCTCGATCGGGCTGTGATGAAGGGGGCGCGCCGCGCCGCGTGGCCCTCGGCACTCAACTCATCCCCGGAGCAACTACGAGGGTGGGGATTGAGGAACACGTAGAGCAAATGAGCTGCTCTGATTGTCCAGCAGCGTGACGTCGCTGGGTCCGGAAGAAGAGGAGCCGTTTGCCATTGGCTGGGCTAGTCCGTCTCAGACAAGTGTATGTAAAGCAGCGCAGTACCTTCTAGCGTGACCACGGAGTCTTCCGAATTCACTCAATTCCCTGCTGCTGGTTTTACTGCCTCGCGCTCACCCCCATTTCCGAGCTTTGGTATGTTCGCTATTTTGCAGGATCTTGTTTGTCAGTGAGATTGAACAGGACGTTGTTCCCAGGAGCGTTTTCGGCTTCAAGCTCGCACCCTCCGGCTCATCCGAATACCATTCCATCGTCAAGAACAATGAGTACTAACAGATCGACGGCACCCGCGCACTGCTGAGCGAGCGCGCGGTTGCGTCGAACATCTATACGATCATCTTTCATCGACCAAGTCATGAGAGCGATGGGGAGCACTGTCGCGGCATTCTATCATAGGATAACCTCCCTGGGTCTGGATCCAGCGATGAGTTTCAGACGTATACCCTCCCGTATGACCAGACATCGCAGGAGGCATTCAGCTGGGGCGGTAAGTTATTAGCGATCGACGAGAGCGAGTGAGCCTGTCTCGCTTCTGACGGAGATGTCGTGGTGTGCTAACTTTAGGTGTAGCTCAGCTGAAACCCTTTGAAACCTCGGCTAAGTTAGCAGCAACGATTGCACGAGTGCTCTCACGATCGTTGACCTCAACAAGCCCAGAGGCTTCTGGATCCTCTGTGATACGTGAGTATCAAGTTGCTTTGGAGTGACTATTTCTCACACCGTTCCGCATAGCTTTTTGAAAAACATCCGCACTGCTTTCTTCGTCGACCAGAACCCGGACGGCTTCGCTACTCCTGCTTGAGATGAGAAGGCATACCGCCGTCATCGTTGAGATCTGAAGGATGTGTACTAGAATGGGATTTTTTCTTCGTCTATGGGTGCTGTTGTTGTGAACTGCTGACATATCCGCCGTTCAATCTCAAATGCAATGCTGTACTGTGGTATTTCCCATGCGCGCTCTCAACCACGTCACTTGCCATGTATAGTTTAGCACCAACTAGACGCCTAAGTGGCGGCGCGTCGGGCAGCGCGCGTGTCCTCGTCCTCACCTTGCCTTCTCGCCACCCATCATCGAGCTCTTCTCGACATCCAGAACCACCGCCTCAGCAAACTGGAGAAACGCATCTCAGCTATGATTGACGGAGGATCCTCATCCGACTCCTCCGGCGACTCCCCGCCACACATGACAGGCGAAGACGATGTCCTTGCGATGGAGAGCACGGGGCCGGACTCGTTCATCTCCCAAGGCTCAGGGTTCACCAAGGACAGGGACGTCTTCCAGGCGTCGGTGAAGCGGTACGGGCGGCCGGGGCAATTCGGCGGTGGGGAGGGTGCGCGCGAGCCAAAGGCGCGTCGCAAGGACCCCCGCGGCGGCCAGGGGTCCAGCCTGTGGGACGCGATGGGCTCCGGGCCCCAGGTGCGTCTGGCGAAGGACGAGCTCGTGGACACGTCGCTGGTTGAGCAGCTCCGGAACCGTGAGTTCTCGCATTGTTGTTTTGGGGATTGGGGATCCAGTGGCGGATGCTCAGTATCTTGACGCCAGAATTCGGAGACCCGTTCGATGACGCCATGTTGAAGAAATATGCGGGCACGGGGCCCTAGGCAGCAGTTCCCCAACGACAGTGAAGTATAGGTGCGTATCTTGATTATCCGATTATTCGTAGCTGGTCATGACAGTCGGCAAAGGTGTATGTTTTCCAGGATCTCGTCGCAGCTTTCGCTACCCAACTCGGCATGTAAAACTACTTTCCCCCTCGCAACCCGTGTACAATTCATCGTCTGCGCCGTCGCTTCTTTCGTCTGCCGATACTTATCTGTACTGCTTCGACTTCGTACAGGGGCTCCTGAGCTTCGCCTCCGTATCCTTGGAATCGACATTGCCCTGGACCCCACGCCGTTCCCGGCGTTGAATACGTAAACCCTGTCTATGGTTCTGCGGTTCCTGGCTCTGGGCTCTGGCACGCTCTGCCGCTTGGCGTCTGGCTCTACTGCGCCTGGATCGCCGCTCTCTTTTTGAATCGCAACGGACCATCGCTATCGTCTCTGGGGTCTGCAGACCGCTGTGCTCAGTCATTCCATCGCCCCCAAGAACTTAAATGTGCCAAGCGGCGGGTCTTCTGGCCATCCTGGTGTCTTGCCTTCGTCAGCGCTCCTGCTATGGCCGCAGTCATGGCCATGCAGTCTGCGCTGCCCCACAAAGTCACAAGTTCCCAGCTCTTACTGAAGAACACCCACTCGCGGGCGTAGCTCCTAAGATAGAGCTTCCTAATGCTTGAGGGAACTCCAGTGAGACAAAGGGGGGGAACGGAACGAGAGGACTTGCACTCAGGCAAAGTCCTGGTTTTCAGCACAGGTGTTTCCAGCCGTAGGGGGAAGCGCCGGAACGGCGTGTGCGGTCCGGTCACGTGACCGCCCTCTTTGGGGTTCTCGCGGGTGGTTGCGCGCGCGACTGCTGGAAATGATTTCCAGTGCGCGCGCGAGGGTTCACTTCCCGAATGTACCCGCGGATAGACACGCACGAAGATGCCGATTCCAGAGCTTGAGCGCGAGGTGTGGAGCCAAAGGCTCACCACCTAGCGAAGCCACAACAGCCGTGGCTCGATACCTCGCGCCTCGGCTAACCCCTACGGCGAGCGATATTCTCCCGGATCCGATTTCCGAACAACGTATATATTCTATATTCCGAGACTCAACGTAATGCATACTTCTTCTTGAACGCCGCCATCGACTTCTCTACCAGGTGTAACCGAGACTTATCGAAGGAATTGGAAATGAACAGTGGAAGAATCGCCTCGATCTTCCGCCAGTACTCTAAGAACGCGTGCGAACGCCATCCACCTTGCGTCGCGACCACGTCTGGGTGTGTCCCCCGCAACAACAACTCTGTAGCTCCGCCAATCCTGAAGCAATGTCCCGAGAGCCGCCCTAGGCCCTCCGCGACCCAGACCTCGTTGCACCGGTCTAGAAACCAGTCCCGTGTCATGGGAGCCCATCCGCCTTGCGCGGTCTCGAAACTGAACAGCGGCGCGTCCTTGGGGATGGCCGCGTTCACCCTGAGATGGTGGTCCAGCGCGGTCTTCGGATCAGTTGGGTCCGTCATGGCGGTGAGTATGACGTCCGCTCCCGCGAACTTCGTGGTCTTCGTCCACGGAACGTGGAAACACGCGTAATGCGCGCCGCCCGGGAGCACCTTGAACGTGGGTCGCGGATGACGCGCGACGTTCTTCGCAGGATCGAACGCGTTCCGCGAGCGAATCGTCAATTCGCCCAGCCTGCGCAACATTAGTACCACTCAGAACGCGATCGTCGTTCATACACACCGACGACAACCCCAGAAGGCGCAACACGCCACCGCGTACACCGCGGCGTCGAACGCGTTCGTCAGGTCCAATCGCGCTCTCAGCGCGTGCATGTGCTCCAGCGTAACCGGCGGCCGCTTCGGTTTCTTCAGCGGCTCGAGTTTGAGCGCCGCGCTGCACGTTATGCGCAACGCTCGATCCGCCGGCCAAGCCGCGCCGTTCAGTGCGTGCCAGAAAGCTAGCCCAGCCAGCCAGGTGTCGATAGTGGACTTCGAGACTCTCCCAGCCCAGGTAGCCACGAACGCGGAGACCAAGAGTTCGCTCGCTGGCATCCGAGAGTCCTCCGAGAGATGCATACAGTCACAGAATTGAGTGAACCGCAAGAGTCCAGCTCCGTAGTTCTTACGCGTGTCAGGTTCGATCGCGCAGATCATAGTGTCGAGAAGTCGGTTTGTGACGTCGTGAGAGAGAAACTGAGACGAGTGTTGCTGGCGAGAGAGACCATAAGGAGTGCTCCAGAGCCGAAGGCGCTCGTTGGCGAGAACAAGAGGCCGGTGTTCTGACGGCTCGATGACGTTTTCCGCCTTCGGTTTTCGTGGTTTTCGCGCGCGAGAGGTTCGCGGCGGAGGTAGAGTCGCGTTCGGCGCCGTAGTCGCGCGACTCATCCCCCTCCCTCCCGCGTGCGCGCGGACACTTGCCAGCGCGGTTTTCGATTTCGGAACTCTAGGCATCTAGGACCAGGAAAGGCTGGAGCTCTAGCGGAAGCTCAAAAAGAATCGGGAGTCTCGAGAGCAAGGGGTCCGGGATGCCGCGAGACACCGGGTCGGCCTTGTTCTCCTTCGTGTTCACGTACTGCGGTCTGATGCGGATGTTCTTCGTCATCTCAACGGTCTCCACCCTCCGGATGGAGGCGTTCACCTGAAAATTCCTGCTTCTGCCCTTTGCCACTGCACCTATCACTCCGACGTTGTCGCCCTTCACGAGGACGTCCTCATCCTCTACCCCCAGCTGCTCCAATAGCAGCGCGGCGAGCTCAATACCGACCATTTCCGCCCACCCGATGTCCCGCCCTTGCGACTTCCATACAGCGAGCGGAACGGCCCAGCGCCACGCGGCCGACGTTTTCCCATAGACGAGCCCGATGCCCCAGTCCGAGGACGCGTCGACCCAGATGTCGCGATCGACGACCGGTCCCCGCGACCTCAGGTCCCGCGAGACGCCTTGCCGCTGCAGCGTCCGCTGCCACCACTTCAGGTCGGTGATCAGCGACTTCGGCGGGTATCGCGGCGCGAAGATCCTCGGGTCGGGTCCGAAGGACGCGATGAACGCGCACAAGTTCCCTAGGAACGCGCGGCCCTGTGGGTAGACGAACGCGATGTGAGTGAGACTCCCATTCAGACTGCAAGCCGCCTTGTAGTCGACGCGCTTTGCGCTAGCTCGTTCCAGGAACTCGTCCACCTTCGCGAGGTGCTTCTCGCGCTTTGACTCCGGCAGGGAGACTCGCTTCCGCTCGAGGTCCCACAAGAACCCGATGTACACCCCGGTACTCGCATAGCCGTTCACAGGCCACTTCTCCACGCTCCACGGTACCCCTAGCGGTGTCGAGATCTCCAAGATGCTCCCCAGGTCGTGGCCATAGACGTACGCGCCCGTCGCCTCACAACGCGCGGTCGGAAACCTGAAGTTGAATAGATCGTCTACCCATTTTGCGTTCGGGCCGAAACCGCGCAGGTTCAAGATGTCCACCAACGGGTCCATCATGGACCCCTGCAGCCCCACCCCCGACGCGATCCCGAAACACACCACATGGTCGATGAAGAACCGACCACTCTTGCACTGAATGATCAGGAACTTCTTGTGGGCCGCGTACACCGGTATGTTCCGAAATGCCGCGTCGACGTCTAACGACACGACTTGCGCACCCGGCGGAGCGTTCGCCACCTTGACGACTTGTTTAGCCCATGCTGATATCCCCCGACCCCAAACTAGTCGCGCGCCGACTCGCCCCCCCTCGCGCCTGAAGCACGGCCTCGCGCTCGTCGAAACTGTGCTTCACATGCACGCGCGCGGCTTCAACGCCCGCTTCCATGCGCTCTGGGCTTCTACACGCCACTCGTATCCTCGCGCCTCGTCGCGCTCACGACGCCTGCGTTTCATTACGCGCTCTCTCGCTTCTACACGCGCTACGCTTCAACGCGTCGTCTCCGCCGCTTCCACACGCGCGCGGGACTCAAAGAAATATCACTCACAATCTCTGCTACGTCTGCAGCTGTCCCCCACTGCGTGGGGAAAAGGGTGGCGTCGATCCTGCCGTTCACCGACAAGGTCTCGCGGTCTTCGAAAGAGCAGTTCTGGACCAGGCGGTAGCGACCGGGCTTCCCCGGCTTGTCAACGACGGCGAGGGGGGAGGAAATGAATGGGGAATCGAGGATGCGTTCTACTTCTGCCTGGCTGTACGGTCCCGTCATGCGACCGAGTTTTACTTGCTCGTCGACGTAATCTTGGATGAAATCTAAATGTTCTGGGGAGGTCGCGTGATTCGGAAAGATGCAAGTCGAGTCCAGGTGGGCCATATCACCGATCGGGAAACCAAAGCGTAGTTTGTGTGGGAGGTCAGGGTACTTCCCCAGTAAGCCGTAGTGCAGAAGGGCGTCCTCCCACGCCTCCACCCTATACGGCGTGATGATCCGCTCACGCTCCGAAGCACCGCTTCGTCGCGCCGTTATGATCGGGGGAGCCACAATAGCAGCAGATGTGGCAACCATCGGACGCGGGACATGTGCGCCCTCTGCAGGGTAAGGCGCCGCCGAGATTCCACCCGATGCACAGACTGGCGCGCGTACGGATGGCGATGAGCTTCCCGCTGTAGAAGGTAGAGAATACTGGCTTCCCTGTGCCTGAGATGGTTGTCCTGCTGCAAGCCGAGGACAGGTGTCCGTTTTCGCCGCAGATAAGGCAGAGCTGGCCACCGAACCCGGCCGGCCTGCCTCCCTGAAAGGGCGCGCCGCGACCGCGGCCTCGTCCAAAGCCGCCGCCGCCGCCGAAACCCCCGAAACCTCTGTTGGCGAAGCCTCCTCCGAAACCGCCGCCTCCAGGGGCTCCGCCCCCAAAGCCGCCATTTCCGAAGTTGCCCCCGCCACCGTAACCACCTCGCGCCGGGCCGCCGGCGAACGCCTCCCCACCCCCGTGATGAGCGGGAGGCTTCCTCTCATACGGGTGGTAGCCGTGCCCTGCGCTGCGGAGGAGCGCCAACTCGCGCGCCGTCTCCTCTTGCACGCGCTTCGCGAGCTCCTGCTCCTTCCGGTTGAGCTGCCATAGGTACGCCTGAGACCCCACGAAGAACGGCGGCTTCGCGTTCCGAGCCGCCGTGAACCACTCATCCCTCACCTCTATGTCGAAGGCGAGGAGGGCCACAAAGTTGGTGCGGAAGGTGCTGTGCTCGGAGATGAACTCGAAGTGCTGATGGAAACGGGCGACCTCGTTGTGCCCGAAGATGCGCGGGAGAACCAGGAGGAGGTTTCCCCACGCCTCCCTCCAGTCCTCCGAGCTCAAGGACGTCTCGGGTCCGAACTCGGTGAAGTCCAGGATCCGCGTCGAGCCTCCGTTACGCGCTAAGACCTTCGAGTGCTTGAGCGAAGACCCGTCCTGACTGAGTTTGCGGAGAGCGCTCGTCGTGAACGCCGACAACGGAACATACCAGTTCCCTTTGAACATCTCGATCAGGATGGGGTGCGGCGTTACGCGCTTCTGCGAGAACAGCTCCGGGACTCCTGGAGCGTCGGTGATGAGCTCGAAATCCTCCTCATACACTGGTCCACCCCGGTAACCGCCACCGGGAGTGAGCGCGCCATTGGGCTGGTACGCATCCACCCCGGTATATGCGGCTTGACCGTGGTTGTATGCGGTCCGGCCATGGCTATATGCGGGTTCAGCGTTCACGGCCCCCTTCCCATAGTCCTGGAAGGACACCCCCGATTGCATCTCGGCGGCCTCCTTCAGTCCTCTGAAGATCTCACGCCGGAAGTTGGGCGTTTGATCCATTACCTTGTTCAGAAATTCCATCTGCCCCGCAATCACCTTGGTAGGCGTCTTGGGCTCCTCCCCATCTTTGACCTCCCAAAACTCCCTCTCTGCCTTCCCTGCTTCGTCTGGCAAGACCTCGACCTCGTCGTCGTCCTCTTCTTCCTCCTCCTTCTTGTCGTTCGGGTTGTCGATGATCTCGAAATCCGGACTTCCCTCAACCGTTTCCTTGGCTTTCCCTTTGTCCTGTGCCTGGGAATTGGCGGAAGAAGTAGAAGCCGCCGTAAGCGAGGAACCGCTCGCCTGAGAGTTTGATCCCCCCAGCTCGGTCCGCTTGAATGCCTCTATGGTTTTGTTAACCGCTCCCTTGGGTCTGTTGGTAGAACTCATGATCAGATTTTGAGAAGGAAGTGGAAACTGGAGGAGTTGGGTGACTATATGCGAAAATCCGATAGGATCGGCGTACGCGAGGACGATGATGGCAGGAGGAGAGCACGACGATCTCCTCGCGCTTATCGCGCGCCTGCCACATCCGTCCATCGCGCTTAGTAAGCATCCGTATGGCTAGCGCTCGTTCCTCGCTCAACGCCATACATCACTGCGCGTATCTGGGAACGCGTGCGAGGAGCGACGCAGGCAGCTGACCGTGCACGGGCAGGGCCGACGATACGCCGCGTATATATACCGAGCGACGCGTCGTCATTCTACCGGTGGCAGAGCTTGTCCAGACTCCGCACTCCAGACTCATCGTTCTCTCTCTTTGAATCAGAAATCGAGCAGCGACAGCGACCATGGTGAAAGAATACAAGCACCTCACGGGTGAGTGCCTGTTTCCTTGTCGGTTCCGCTGCTCCCCATGTGCCGTTGCGCTACCCGACGGTCTGGACATTGTCGGGCCCGTGTCGCACGGTGCACCCCACAATACGCGTCGCTTGAGGCAGCGGTCGCTGAGCTGCCGCACCCGCATGACCTCATGCTGACTACTGACAGAGGACGAGATCGCGTTCTTCATGGCGAACGGGTACCTCATCGTGAAGCAGGCGTTTTCGCGTGAGAAGGCAGCCGAGTTCACGCGCGACATGTGGGTTCGCCTCGGGATCGACCCCAACGACAAGGAGACCTGGCCGCGCGACCGCGCGCGCATTCACATGCCGGCCCACATCCACGAGCCCGTCGCAACCTTCGCGCCTAGGGTGCGTCTCTGTCTTTACGTGTACCGGACCGACACGCTAATCGTCAATTGTCTCGCCCACGACAGGTCTGGGGCGTCATGACCGAGTTGCTTGGCGGCGAAGAGCGCGTCGACGCGGAGAGCAGCGCCTGGGGCGACTCCTTCATCGTCAACTTCGGCACGCCCGCGTCCGCCGGCGCCCCCGCGCCCGACCCGCGCACGCTCGACAATTGGCACGTCGACGGCGACTTCTTCGTGCACTTCCTCGACTCGCCCGAGCAGGCGCTCCTCGTCATCCCCGTCTTCTCGGACATCGCCCCGGGCGGCGGCGCAACGTACATCGCGCCCGACGGCATCGCGCGCGCCGCGCGCTACCTCGCTGCGCACCCCGAGGGCGTCTACGGCGGGAACCTCGCGTTCTGGCCGACGACGAGCACCGCGCCGACGCCCGCGGCTGACCCCGCATACTACTCCCACCCCGCCGAGGCCGCGCAGTGCGAGCAGTTCGTCGAGCTGAGCGCGGAGGTGGGGGATGTCGTGCTCCTGCACCCGCTCATGCTGCACACGGCGTCGCCGAACCGCCTGCGCGTGCCGCGCGTGATCACGAACCCGCGCGTCGAGCTGCGCGCGCCGTTTGAGTTCGCGCGCGCGGACCCGGAGGAGTATAGCTTGGTGGAGCGCAAGACACTTAAGGAGTTGGGCGTGGACCGGTTTGAGTTTAAGCGGACGGGCGAGCGGAGGCGCGTTGTGCCCGAGCGCGTGCTACGGGAGGCGGTCATGATCGAGGAGGAGAAACGCAGGGTTGCGGAGGCGCGGGCGAGGGCGGGCCCGGAGGCTAATGCGGCGAGGCCGATTGCGGTTGCCTAACGTAGCGTAGTGTTAGAGAGGAGAGAAAGGACGACATGTATCATGAGCGCGTGCGGTAATAGTACAACTGGGTATGAAGTCGCCATCGTATCTACAGAGCCACGCAGGATAAATACTATACATTTGCATATGGTATGGTAAGAACACCATGTCTATCCCCATTCCCCTCCATCCATCGACTCACGCAAGCCCGGGGACGAACCACCACGGCACGCGGCGCGCGTACTCGTCCCACTGGCCCTTGAACTCCTTCTTGAGCGCGGCGTCCTCCATGCGCGCCCGCCGCACCCCAACCGCGAGCCACCACGCGTACCACACCGCAAACGCGGCCCACGCCCACGGCAGCGCGGTGCGCATCGTCGGGCGGCCCTGCGCGCTCACGCACTCCGCGATCCACCCCCCAGGCGACAGGTCCGCGAAGCCGAGCCCGGCGAGGATGAGCAGCGAGCCCGCGTACGCGGGGTGGCGCACGAACTGGTAGGGCCCGGAGGTGACGAGCTGGTGCTTGGGGAGGAGCGCGAGGTCAAAGGTGAAGAAGGGCCCGAGCGAGCGGTAGCACGCGAGGCGGAGGAGCGTGCCGGCGGCGACGAGCGCGAGCCCGGTGAGGAAGGGGAGCGTGGGGCGGATGAAGGGCGCGGCGGCGGTGGCGGAGGGGGCGGCGGGGCAGAGGACGGCGTGGGTGGCGGACTGGAGGGCGGGGGCGGGGAGGTGGTGGGAGAGGATGAGGAGGATGTCGGCTAGGGTGCAGAGCCAGACGAGCGGCTGCTGGATCTGGTGAGAACGGGCGGGGTTAGCACGGGGGGTGTTTGGGTGGCGGTGAGGGGGGAAATGAATGAACGAAGGCGTGTAGAATGAACGGGCGAAGGGCGGGACGGACTGGAGACGTCGTCGGACGTGTTCGACAGCCGTGGGCGCTGCGATAGACACAGACAGGAAGCACGCGTCCGGCAGAAGTCCCAGCTCAGGGTCGTCTCCGTCCATGCGCAGGCACAGAAGCGCCGGGAGCGATCAGGGAGGGCAACGGCTTACCTTGAACACGAGCGGAGCGATGCGAATCCAGGGCGCCTCGGTGCTGTCGTAGCGGCCCTTTGGCGGGGTCTTGTTCGGCGGGGTGCTCGCGAGCTGGTAGAGGATGGCATGGAGCAGGATGAGGGGTGCGCGGACGAGGGACATCGCGGGCGGGGACACAAGCGAGGGCAGGTGAGGAGGGGAGGGGAGTGGACTCGGGGCAGTTATAAGCTCGGGACGGCTGCGATCGAAAAAGGGGAAGAGAGACGACATCTGCTCATGCACATGTCGCCAACTTCCACCGCGGAATCTCGCGCGGACGCGACGTGAATTCACCTCGTCCGTCCCCAATTCTGCGCACCCCCGCTTCCAGCTTCGCAGCCACGCCCAACCCGCCTTCCCCCTCGTCCGCCCAGCCCGCCCGGTGGCGTTCTCTCGCCGCGCACGCACCGGCGAGCGCAGACGGCGCCGCCGAGGGAGGCCGCGGAGAAAGGCCGCGGAGAAGAGCGAGGGCAGGCGCGAGGGCGCGGGTGCGATGGGAGACTGCGATCCGCATCCGAGCCCGAGTCCTCGCTCGCCCTTCGCCATCTCCCGGACGCCCACCGATCGACGCAAACGCAGATCTGCCCCTTCGCCTCCGGTCGTCTGTACGCGTTCGCAGAACTCGTCTGCCAAGACGAGCCGTGTACGGTGCTGCAGCTCTTCTCCGCATGAGCCGGGCATGCCACTGCTTGACGTCCGTCTGGCACTGGCACCGCTGCGCCGGGCGCCTCCACGTGCCTATCAAGCCACTCCGAGCTCCGTCGTGTACAACCTCCGGCGACATTTCGTGCCCTCGTAACACAACCACCGTGGGTGCGTGCACTCGCCGTCCCGGGACCGGAGATAGCGACAGGTCGACGCCAGCCCTGGGCCCGAACCCGTCCAGTCCCACGCAACCCGGCATCACGACAGCCCAGCGGCGCCCGCATATCCGAGGACATGACATGCGCGCACGAGGAGGGCAGTTTAGAGTGGGCGACGCACCTGGCCCGTATTCCAGCGGGGGCGGTGCTGGCCGCGCTCGGTCCACATCCGTGCAGCGAGGATCAAGGCGGCGAACGGACGGTGGGTGTCGGACGCGTTTCTCCTATTCATACGGTGGCAAGTAAGCTTTCGTGGCGCATCTGAACGAGCCAAGGACAGTCAGGCGTAAGATATGGAGTACACATGAACCCAACGGTGTACCGCTCGCTTGGCAATGAACTTCAGCAGGTTCTTGGCGACATATTTCTGGCCGGGCTCGAGGGTGTTGGTGCGGATATATATAAGCACACAGGGCGTGCAGGTCGCGGCGTTGGGAGAAAGGCGTCGGTCAGTCGCGTGGTGGGAGTCGTCTGTGTGCGTGTATGCCGCCCTATGCCGCCGGCCAGATCTCCCCTCCAGATCTGAACATAGCGCGATCGGATCGTGATCGGACGCGGGCGTAGTGCCGTCCTCGCTCACTCCCTCTCGATATGTCGCCCGTCTGCAACTGTACAGAATTCCGTGGGGGTGGTCGCCGCTGCTGAATTTGACGACGTCGGGCGTCACCCGGGCCGTGGGAGGCAGCAGCGAACACGGGACGCACGCCGACGTCAGCGCGCAGCCTTCTCTCTTGCTTCGCTTCTCCTCCGACATACCCTTTCGAACTTTGCACTTGGTTTTATCGCGAACCGAGGTCCGGCGGGTGTCGATGCGCCGCCACACAGCCAACCCGGCCGGCCGCGATCCCGCGTCGTCCTTCCAAGACTCACGACACGTCCTAGACGCACGCGCGCGGGGGCCCGAAGGAGGCACTAGTCCCGGTCGGCAGCTCGATTTGCGGTCGTCCATCGTCTCGCGCGACTGCACCGAGCACGGGTGCGAGCTATGGCGTGTGGCGGCCCATTCAGTACGCTTAACGCGTCTGTACTCAACCACCACCTCCGCGGGTCCCGGCGCGCGTACTTTCGCCTCGACCACATCGTCCTCGCTCAGAATAGTTCTCATTACTTGGGACCCGGTGCTGCCTGAGCAGTCGGGTGAGTACTTATCGAATCTAGCAGTCTATTATCGCCCAGCTCGTTGCCAAGTTGATACAGATATACGGAGGCCACCAATCTGCGTTCGCGTTGCTCGAGATTCCGAAGCAGAGCCTGTTTGAGGCGCCGAATATCAATCTCGGGAATCCGTCCGTCTTCTTCTCAATTCCGCAACCCACGAACCACTGACGCAGCCCATCCACAGGTTGAAATACATCTCTGTACAGAAGTCAAGTGACGCCTCGCATGACGAGCCCCTCCGGCCCTTCCTCTCGGAGAAGGCCCAATGACGCACCCCGGCCAGCACACGACGTCTCACGCGTCCACGCCCGCACCGCGACTGCACCCGCCCAAAACTGTCCAGCGCTCGCACGTTCATTATGTGCTTCCCCCGACGCCACGAACGCGCCTTCTTTCGCAACACGACCGCGCTATGTTTGCGCTGGGTGTTCGCCCTGGCCCTGATCGCGACCTTGTAAGCGTCGGGGGGCGCGCTCGCACGGCACTAAAAGCCGCGAAGCACCGTGACGATCATTGCCGCCGGCCGCGCTTCTTGTACGTGCACGCAGCCCGGGACCTGTTGTCAACGTCGCAGCAGTCCCGGCGAGTCTTGTTGGGCAGCCGTGTGCGTGTGGGCCGCCCGGGTTAGAACGGGGCGTTGGCAGCGCTATTTGCATTCGGTACGTCAGGCGCGTCCGGGTTCTGTTCTCCCGCTCAATGTCGCGCAGACAGAATTAACGTCGCGCATCCTCAGATCCGAGTTGCAGGCGTACGCTACCGCTGCCGGGGGACGACGAGTCTAATTCGCGCGACATAACGCCCGCGGCGCGGAAACATGCGCGTCAGGCTTCCAACTTCCAAGGGAGACGAGAGTTGCTCGCGACCGGAGACAGTAGGTTCCGTCTGCTCGGCGTTCGCTCGCACCCTGTGTACATTCTAGCCGCGGTATTCGCCGGAGCGTGTTGTGGCCACTAGCTGCCGACTGGTTGCTTGGGAACTCCGCGGCGGGCGGGGTGATACGTTTCCGACCCCGCGCACACCGACCGAGTCCGCCCAGGTGGTGCCAAAGGAACGAACGCTCTGGCGGCAGGTCCCGGGAAAGGCCGAATATGTCCTCAAGGCCTCAAGGCCTCACGGACGATACTCGCTCGGCTTAGCCAGGAAGTCTATCGTAGGTTTAGAGCGGGGTCGTCCCGCACGGCAGGATGTACTTTTAGGCTCAAATCTCCTTCGCATTTGGTACGTCATCTTGCCATCTTCTACTCGCTCATCTATCCGCCTCATAAGCTCAAAGTCGCGCACCCTCAGATCGCAGGCGTACGCTACCGTTCCGAGGGGACGACGTGTCTACTTTGCGCGGCGTGGTACCGCCCGTGGTACGGCTTCCAAGCTCCACGAGAGTTATTCGCGCGCACACCGGCAGACAGCACTGGCAGGTTCCTTCTGCCCGGCGTTCGTGCGAGCTTTGAAGTTTGGGTTTCTCTGGCTACGGTGTTATCCGTGGCAGGCTGTGGCCATTTGTTGCTGGGGCGCCCCGCGGTGGACGGGATGTGCGTTTCCGATCCCGCGAAAACCGACCGAGTCTATGCTGACGGCGTCGAGCAGATGACTCGCAGGTACCGGAGGTCTCCGGGGACGTCTCATCGCGGAAGATGCTTGTTCGGCTCGACCAGGAGGACTTTCCAATGCTCAGCGGGGCCCTGCGGGGCTGACCGTACTCTCAGGTTGAAATACAGGCGTACCAGCACCGAGGCATGCTACCCCTAGGCCTCATCCCCGGAGTACACTACGAAGGCGCCCTCTTCTCTGTGGATCCACTCAGACGACGTTCGAGAGGTCGCAGGCCTCCGCACGCTGCCAACGCATCAGTCAGAGTATCCACCGGCAACCATCGCTCGCGGCATGCAATACGGCAACTTACTTACTCCCATAGTGCGGGGCTATGGCCTTTCGCAAGTAGACGGTGATTCGGAGCTCGCGATCGCGCACGCAAAGCGCTCACCGGAGCGCTGACTGCCTTCTGCCTCCTTCTCTTAGTCGCTGCATGGACGCTCTCCACCTCTCGGTGGGCCTGGCGGTTCTTCTCGAGGTACAGGACACGAATCCCGGTGGTTCGGTCAAAGATGCGCTTCATGACCAGAGGGTGAGCGCGACAAGACAGGCTATAGAAGTAAGTAGCGGTGTTGCTCGATTTGGCCGTAATGAAGTACTGACGCCTTACAGAGGTTTAGTAGCCTCGCCGAGTGTATCCCACGGCGTCGCCCTCGGGTTGGAGACTTCTTGTCTGTCCTGGACGAAATGGCAATCAGGCGGGTGGATGATAGGCATTGACCTTCCGCTGGCTGTCCAGTTGCGTGCCTTCTTCAGAGAACATCCTCATTCACGCCTGGAATGGATAAATGTTTGCATATATCATAGCGGCATAGACAATCTGATAAAGGCTGTTTCGCCGCCGTCTCAGGCCATAGATTACAAGCATCTCCTCCGAATCAAGTGTCCAACTTCCCCCAGGTCTCCTTCACCCGCCCCGGTACCCATACCCGCACTCGCCCCCGCTTTAGATGGCAATAGCCCCCGCCTCGACCTCCACCCTCGGCTTCTTCCCCCTCACCGCCCGCCACGCCGCGCGCACCCTCTTCCCCGCGCACACCCTGTACAGCGCCTCCGGGCCCGCCGCGAGCCCGCGCCCAATCCCCTCCAACAACTTCCCGATCCCGTAGATGACCCCGAACCCCGCCGCGACTCCCGCACCCGCCAGGACGACCGGGGGGAGCACGATCGCAGCGAGCCCACGCATGATCGCGCGCACGATGCGCCGGCCCTCCGAGCGCGGGCGGCCCCCGTCGTCCGAAGAGGAGTCGGAGGACGCGGTGCTCGCTGCCTCGGCTGAGGATGAGAGCGGGAGGGTGGAGGTGCGGTCGGCTGTGGGCGAGGATGCGGAGGGGCTGGGTGGGAGGAAGGTGTATTCGGGGAGGTTGGCGGGTTCTGTGGCGGCGGCGGCGGCGGCGATGTCTTTCTGCCACTCTTCTTCCTTCGTGAGGGTGGTCATGTTGTTAGTGGGCGGCGGTGCGGGCCGGGCGGGGGAGTCGTCGAATAGCAACACGGTGGGCAATAACGTTTTCGAGCTCGTTCTACAATGCTAGCTTAGCTCAACGTCTCGTCGTCGTAGGTGCTCGTATCGGGTACTCACAATTGGCTGACCGGAACTTCTAGTGTGTATAGGTTTCTCGGAGTTGAGCCAAGGACAGGACGGGGACTGGTGGAACTCGAGTCACTGGTGCGTATGCCACTGCTCGACTGCGTTGCTTCCTTGTGTACTTTATGCAGTGGGATGCGGCGCAGTCTACGCAGCACATCCTCGACGCTTGTTCTCGTTCGACCTCGGACTGCGGCGAATCAGCCACCACTGTCATCAGCTTCTCTCGCAGAGGCGTAGATGGCCGTCGTGGGAGTCTGCGTAGATTGGAGCGAGTACAACGGATACCTTTTCGACCCAGTTTCCCTGATGCAATTGCCGGCTCTTGTCACAGTTGAGATTCCACAATGCTCTACGAAGACTCTTTTACTTACGAAGGCCTGTCAGGACTCGCCATGGACCATGTCTACATATATACCGGCAGTTAGACTCACTCGATCCTCGACAGAACCTGAGCAGCAGTGCTTCGTGTGGCACCCCGCCGCAGTATAATTGTCAGATGCGAAGTACGCCATGAGGTTCACCCGCAGCATGTCTTGATGTTCTTTCAAACTTTGTGCTGCGGATGGGCGACACACATTCAAATCGACATCATCCCCGAGGTTCGTCAACAGCGCAGCATACACATGTCGAGCGCTGATGATGTTCATCGGCTCTTTCATAACGGGCGATCTGCAATATTATACTGCATTTCTTCCCGGAGATACGAATTCTTTCACCCTGCAGGTAGGTAAGTGAGTTTGAACGATTATCGGTAGAATTATGCCGAAAGCCACTACTTGGGACAAACGTATATCCACGGTCATCAACGTAGGGCGGTGTAATGTTTTGAAATGCCCGTCGTGTGTCGGATGGTGAGTATCGTCAAACTGCCGGTAGGCCCTGATTCCGCAGTGCAGCATGATTTAATGGTGAATACAACAACAGTCCACAAAAACAACGTCCTTAGGTAGACACAATATCTCGTACACAGCCCTCGAATGTCATCAGGTTATGAGCATCGTGCTTTCCCATACTAAGCAAGAGCAGCGAAGCCGACCGCATTCTGGTCGATAGAGAAAGCGGTGTAAACGTTCTTCATGAAGCTGCGCGGCTTTGTGTGAGCAAATGGCTACTATGAGACGGCAATGCACTCACGTGTCGCCGAGGAGCCAGACATTGCTGGGCTGGTTGAGGTCAACCACAGTGAGAGCACCGGCGCAGTCGTTGCCGCTGACTTGACCGAGGTTGAAGCTACACCTGAGGTCAGCACACCACCACGCCTCCGTCAGAAGCGAGACAAACTCACTCATTCTCGTCGATTGCCCACGTCTTGCCGCCCCAGCTGAACGACACCTGGGGCGTCTGGTCGCACGGGAAGGTGTACGTCTGGAACTGGTCGTTGAATCCCGACCCGGGGATGTTGTTGTAGAACGCCGCAACGGTGCTCTCCGCCGCGCCCATGAGCGTCGTGCCGGAATCGATGATTGTTTGGATGTCCGACGCGACGGTGCGCCCGTTGAGCAGCGCTTTGCCGTTGCCGATCTGCCAGAACCCGTTGTTCTTGACGATGGGGTGGTACTCGAGCGAGCCTGAGAATAGGCGCGAGTTCGTCCCGCCGATGTACAGCTCGGAGCCGGAGGGCGCGAGCTTGAAGCCGAAGACACTCTCAGCGACGACGCCCTGATTCACGGCGCTGACGAAGAAGGGGTCCTGCCAGGGTGCGCCGTCAGGATGGTGGATTCATGATCACTGATGGACACGTACATGGCCGAGCTCGGAGATGGGGGTGAGCGCGAGGCCCATGAGACCATCAGCTGGGTCCTGCGTGAACTCAGAAGACTCCGAGGTCACCCCAGAAAGGTACTGGTTAGTTACGGTGACGCCCCCAGCGGTGACTACGCGGGTGATTCTTTAGCATCGTTTCGACAGAAGTGCACTTATCGGGAGAGTGACTTACCGGTGTCGGTGAATACAGAACCGCTAGCGGTGGAGCCATCACCGTACTCGATAGAGAAGGAGCCGCGCTCGGATTGACTGGTCGACGAGCGGGAGGGGTTGTACTGCTTGTGGCCCTTGCAGCTCGAGCAACTGGAAGAGGGCACCCAGAGGTCGGCGGAACCGGTGTCGAAGTCGACGTTGAAGGTCTGCGCGGGGGAGCCGATGCTGATCGAGCCCGTCCACTCCAAGTCGTCTTCCTGGTCGGTCAGAGGAATACCGGCGCGCTTGGCGAGCTTGGAGGTGTCGACGCCCGGGTAGAGCTCCTGGAACTTCGCGCTGCCGATGTTGTGCTCGAGGTTGATGAGGTTCTGCCGGTGTTTGCTGAAGTACGGATAGCGATCGTGTGAGTAGGGTAATTGAAGGGAATGGACCGGCGGCCGGACGCACCTCTCGAGCTTCAGGCGGGCTGCGACGGCCTTCTCGCCGTTGAACGTCCCGTTGGGATGGGTCAGTGAGCCGCGCTTGGTGAGAGCGATGGCAATACCCCCGTCCTGCGTAATCGGGCTCGCAGAGACAGCAACGGCGAGAGCAAGAGAAAGCAGAGCAGACTTGCAGAACATCTTGACTCGTGCAGAGGTGGAGGTTGGGGAGTAACCGTCGACTCGAGAGTGCGCTGGCAGAGCAGTGGAGAACAGGAGAACTCCTGGTGGAGGTTGGGAGGGGTGTCCCACCCTTCTTATACCCAGCTGGTACGGTGTACACCATGTGCAGCATTCGGAGTTGGGTGTTGCATCTGAATAGGAAAGCCGAAGGAGCATGAGGTCTGCCCGGGTTAGACCAGATCGTAACCGCATTCGAGCGCCTTCCCGAGCGGAAGCACGAAAGATACGGGTGTTGCATAGCGCGCTGATTACTGAGCTTCTGTATATGTCCATGCGCACGGGGTGCTGAGTGCTTATAGACCACCGTGTGTGGATCAGTATATTTCATGGCTTCTTGCGTACGGAATTCTGGTACGGGCCACCCTAAGCACGTCGATCACAAAGAGCGTGAGCTTCCCGGGCATGCAACTCGAAAACGGAAAGGAAAAGCATACATGATGTTGCTTTTCTGGTGGTGCTATGCATCCATCCAATCATTTGAACCGGTGAGTGCACGGCAGTGAGGTGATATCCCATCACCCGCATCGGCGACGATGTAACATATTTTTGGCACATCGCGCTCGAAGGCGCGCCGGTTAGGCGGCGATATAGAATTCGAAGCCTTGTCCTCGACATCTTGACCGTACAATGTGTCGTAAGAGGCATCTGGAGACGTCGAGCACCGCCCACAACCTGCAACGATGTCGAGTTGAGATCGTCAGCTGGACTACGACTCATGTGGTGCTCGACATAGCGCTCGGTTGCCTGCAATGTGCGATCAATGTAAGTATATGAAATGCGCCGCAATAAGATGATGCATACGTTGTCGACATATGAAAACCGTCCGCGGCCATCGCAGTACCAGTGGCGAGCCGCTACAAACATGCGTAGGAGGGCGTCATCCTGGACTTCTTGACGGATGGACCATGCGGGTGATTGCACTGAGTCGCAGCAGAGTGCGGGTCTAACGAGATGGCAGAAAGATGCCAGTGCACTGGGTGAGCTTTTGAAGTCTTGGAGAAGGTACACAGAGAGTGTACAGGAGTGTACGTACTGCCAGGTCTACGCAGGTAGAGGTCGAGTTGTGGTGGAGTATGTGTGCCTACACGTGGGCGCCACGCGAGACAAATTGGGGCATGACGCGCCGTCGCACCGCGCCACCTTCCCTCGGATTCCTTCCCAACACCTCCCTCGACGACCTCCACTCTACTGCCCTCTCCAGCCACTCTACGACCTGCTGTATCCCCCACACCGCTTGCACGAAATAGACACCAGAAAGCTCCAAATACTCACGCCATGCATGCAACCATAATAGCGCGAAACGCGACGCGTTCCATGCGCATCATCGCGCTCCCGCTCGCAACACCGAGCAAACCCGTCCACGGCAGGCCCACAGAGCACCTCACCTACTACCACTTCGTCACGCCCCCAGACACCACGCACACGATAACGTGGACGAAGCGCATCGTCGCGAAGGCCTCGGACATCTGGGCCGGGTTCGGGAAGGCGCCGGAGGGCAACTGGAAGGTGCGCATGTGTCCCGCCCCGTGCTTGCAGAGTTCATGCACGCGGGCCCCTCATCTGCCTTCAGCTTACGCTTCTGTCTGTCATGTGCAGCGGAGATCCTTCTTGTATGGGGAACGGCTGATCGACCGTCTTGAGTTCGAAGAGCTCGCGCTCAAGTCGCTCGACCCCTCCCTCGGTCCCCGGCTCGCGAACATCGTCCACCCGAGCGGGACAGAAAAAGTAGCGAACACCGTGGTTTGTGCTTTCCGTCCGCTTCTCAAACGCCGTGCCAATCCATTGACCCAGTCGCTCCTTCCCAACTACCGCCCCATCCAACCGCACCACATCGGTCCTGCAGGTCCCACTCACCTACCCGCCCTCGGTGTGCACGTCACCGCTCCCCCACCTCCGCACGGTTGTCGAGAAACGCACCCCGCGCCATAGGAAGGGCGCCATCTTCTGGCTCGCCATCTCCCCGCTGACCGCGCCCTTTGCGATTATCCGTGAGCCGTCTTCTTGCACGTCGGAGAACACAAAAAGCTAATCACGTATCATAGCTATCATACCGAACTTCCCGTTCTTCTTCTGCATCTGGCGCGCGTGGTCGCACTACCGTGGTACGCACGCCCCACACCCGCTCTTTCTCGCGATGATATATATTTCCCCTCCGTACAGCATACAAGGCCTCGCACTACCTCGAAGGCTTCCTCAAACAGGGCGCTATCGTCCCACAAACAAGCCCCGAGCTCGACGCGATCTACGCAAAGTACGCGCCCAAGCCGCTCGCTGCGCCCAAGCCCGAACCCGGCACGGAGACGGAAACGCATCCTCCTCCGTCGGAGCACGCATCGCAGCCCGACGCGGCTGACGCCGCCGCAGAAGACGCGCCGCGGTTGCTGCTCGAGAAAGAGGCCGTGCCGGAGCTGGAGAAGCTGCTCGACCTCCCCGAGGACTCGACGTTCGCGGCGGACGTGTACCGCGCGCTGGAGCAGGCGCGGCTGAGGTTAGAGGGCGGGCAGAAGAAGGCTTAGAGCCTGTTTAGAGAGGCCGGCTCGCCTACGTGGTAGTGGTCCTACAACAGTATATCTGTATAATCCGATCCAATACTCACCGCTTTCAGAGCACGCGTTCTCAGCATTTCTATGTGAGTATGTAGCACGACTGTCGGAGGGGCCGACCCCGTTCGTGGTGGTACATCGCGCAATTTGTGAGACGCCGCGTCGCGCGTCGCTGGATGATAGATTGTACAGCGCACAGGGGCCCGGAACCGACAAAGCTACAGATAGAGATGGCCGCGACGACGCACCCGTGAAGAGAGATCCAGTACAGTCCACACGGCAAGCCGCGCTCACTCCCCGCCCTCCCCATCCCCGTCCGCATCATCCTCCTCCGCGTACCCCTCCTCGCCCTCGTCGAACTCGCTCTCCTCCCCATCCTCCTCCTCCTCGCGGAACCACACCACCTTCTCGAGCGGCTCGTCCCAGCGCCACGGCTCGCACGCGCGCCCGGCCTCGCGGTCCTCCGCGTCCCGCCGCGCGAGCAGCGCCGCGCTCTCATTCGCGGCCTCCTGCTCGAGCGCCTCCGAGTGCTCGTCGCGCGCGCCCTCCTCGATCTCCCAGCGCCGGATGCGGCACCCGTGGGTGCGCCGGAAGGTCGCGAACTCGGCGAGCTGCTTGCCCTCGGCCCCGGAGACGCGCACGCTCTCGAGCTTGGGGAGCATGGGCACCATCTTTGCGGGCTCCGCTGCGCTGCCTTTGCTCTCGCTCTCAGACGGTGATGGGGGATGTGATCCTGAGGGTTGGGGCTCCGGAACGGTCTCAAGAAGGACATCGAAAGCGTGTTCGCTGAGCTGGGTGAAGTCTGCTTCCAGGCGCGTGAGCTTCGGCGAAACCGTCAGCAACGCGCGCCAGCTTTCCACGGTGCACCTCAGCGCGGACACCGATAAGCTCTCCAGCACCGGAAACTTCGGTTGCGGCCGCGCTGTGCCCGTACCCGCGGCGTTTTCGAGCTTGTGCGGCCCTGGGGGCGCGGCGAGGTACTCGATGAAGGGCGTGAAGTCCTGGTCGTCAAAGTCGAGGCCGAGGTGGAGCGAGCGCACGGCGGGCGCGTGCAGCGTGCGGAAGAGCGCGATGAGGTAGTCCGCCTCGAGGTTGTTCAGCTGCACCTCGCGCAGCTGCAGGAGCTGCACGGGGTCCGTCGAGGGCGGGAGTAGGGCTCCAGGGGGTAAGATGGCGTCGGGGGGCGGGGGCGCGGCGCCCCACCACTCGATGCCGTCGGGCGCGGGGGAGGTGCCGGAGGAGGAGGCGCGCGGGCCGGCGAAGAGGAGGGAGAGGCGGGTGAGCGCGGGTGAGGCGCGGAGCATGTCGCGCCAGAGCGCGAAGGGCATGCGGACGTTGTCGGAGTGGAGCGCGAACTCGACGGAGGTGAGGTTGCAGAGGAAGGGCGAGCGCGACCAGGGGAGGTTCACGCCCTGGAGGATGATGTGCTTGAGCGAGGGGAGCGCGCCGCCGAAGACGACGACGGGGGGCGGGCCGATGTGGTTGAAGAGACGTTCGGAGGTCTGCCAGTTCATGACGTGCCAGAGCTGGAGGGTGCGGAGGGCGGGCGCTGTGCCGCATTTGGAGAGGACTTGGCGGGCGAAGGATTTGCACTCGAGGTCGGCTACGATGAGATGGAGCTCGCGCCAGCGATGTATTTGGGGGAGGACGACGTTGAATACTGCGAGGAACTGTTCGCGGAAGAGGAGGTCTTTGCGGAGATGGTAGTCGTCCTCGGAACAGGTGTCGACGTATATGTCGATAGGTAAATGGGCATTCCGCGCGAGGTAGACTTCGCCGCGGCCCATGTGCGCGAGGGTGCGGAAGTGGACGGTGGTCCAGAGATGTGGCGTATGGAGGGCGACATGGCGCCAGTGCCGGCAGACGTGTGAGACGAGGACCTCAAAGGTGTGCTCGCCGCGGATTTGGTCGTCTGGAATAGGATCTGAGTCGACACCCAGCTGGAATATGGTGGTGAGGAGCTCAACAGGAAGCGAGTGTATGGGAGACATGGAGGCGTATGAGAGATAGAGGGGCATAGAGATGGGGGAGAGGGCGCGCGAGGGCTGGCGGGAGGAGGAGAGGTCGGGGCCAGAGGATGACGGGAGGAGGTGGCGGGCGAGGGGAGGGTGGGAGAGGACGGGGGAGGAGTCGTCGGGGAGGGGGGCGGGAGTAGTCTGGAGGGAAGGAGGTGAGGACGGGGAGCCGGCCGAAGACGTCTTGACTCTCTCAGGCTGCCAGCTTCCTCTAGTGCGCGTGACAGCTTCCACGACGTTCTCCTCCCCCTCGCAAATTCCCTTTCCTGCGTATCCGTCGCGTCTGCCCATGCCCATCGTCGACTCTCTGCACAACTCTGGCGTAGACGCGGGGCGGGTGGGTGACGAGGCGGGGGCGGGGAGATCGGAGAAAGGGGAATGAATATTTATGCGCTGTCTGCAATAAATACCCCTTGCGATCTCGATCGGTCCATCTACGATCTTCGATCGCTATCAGCCTAGCTTCTTATGGCACAGAAGCCAACACCCCGCGGCGGCCCGGACTCCGCGAACCTCTTTCCTCGCCCTCGCTGCCCTCGTCCTTCCTCTTCCTACCCGTGCTCGTCCTCCTCGCCCGCGCTCCAGAGCTTACTCGACTCCTTCCAACGCTCCCTGTCTGACACCGCCCGCGCACCAGCACTCTATCCTGCACGATCACCCGCTACTCTTCCCTGCGCACGACCCGGTACCTGCTTCTCCCCCACGGTGCGCCCACATTCGACTCCCCCATCACCGATTATCTCGCCCGTACACGCGCCCTCTCGGCGTCAACAGCTATTTGAGGCCCCGAGTGCTGTGAGTACGCTGGCAGCAGTCACTTTCTTTCACACCAACGGCGATGCTGATCCCCTCATTGCGCAGATAACCACTGTCACTGACATGTCCCCACCCATGTATGACCGCATCGAATCAAACACACAACTCTTCCACATACGTCTCCCACCTCTGTCAGGACGCTCTGCCGCTAATGCCGCTGACCGCCGCTGACTTTCTTCTCCCTCCCCCACCAATCTCCTCCCTCCATCAGGCCACTGATCCACCACTGCTGCGTTCGTTCTGAACCTTCTGATCACCCCGAGCGTCCCGCGTCCCTTCCGCGGCCTCAGCAGCATCCCCTGGCGCCCTTCCTCCGCAGTATCTGACACCTGCCCCCAGATCCTCGAGCACAAGACTAATCTGGCAGCGCCTCGCGCGCGGTCGGCGATGGGCGCAGACCTAGTGCACCCGCGTCTTGTGTTGTGCTCAGATGGGAAGCTAGCCACGCTATTCCAGATACGCTCCCCTCGAGCATCCGGCTCTACCCTCTACCGCCAGCCTCCAGGGTTCCTCAGCGCGATTGAGACCCTCGCTTTGCAGCCGCGGCCGTTCACAAGACTCTGTGCGCGCGGTAGGCTACAAGTTTGTACGCCTTCCCATCTTATCGGTCGCCGTATCTGACGGACACGCTGCAGAGAGTGCAAGACGGAGACCGCTGCTGGTATCGCACCGTATTCAACGCCACCCGCGTACACCTCCGGGCGTGCCCATTCACTCGGCCGTCAGGCGACCCCAGGTCGTCGCGTGCCCCACTACGCACGCGGTGACCCTAGGGCGCTCCTTGCAACTCCGATTACACCCAGCTTACGTCCTGCGCAAGTTGCGACGCTGAGCTCCCCCCGCACTTGCGCGTAAGGGACGCGCGATGAAGCTATCCACCTCGTAGTGGGACGGGCTGTGCTGCTAGTGTGCGCGTCTTGGATCGGCGCAGAAACCTCTCCTCGGTTCGTCCCTCTCACTCGTGTTCTTAGTATGAGCGTCGTCCACCTTCGCCTTCCCCGCGAGGCTCATCCACACGTAGCGCGAACGCCCAAGCTATCCTCGACACGCACGTCCCATACGTTGATGGATAGACCCTTCAGCCCAACCGCCTCTCGCGCCCGACGGCCACCTCCATGCCATTGCCCCACTCGTCCGCGTCCGAGCGCGCACACCTCGCCCGTCCCCTCCTTCCTTTCTCCCGAGCGCCCTGGCACGCTTCCGTCACTACCCCCGCACTTCGCGTGGGCAGCCGGGGCCGTGCGCGGCGCCTAGGGGCGTTTGGGCGGCGGTGGCGTGCCCTGGGGCGCGTCTGCAGGTGCGTCATGGGCCCCCTTCGAAGTTCGCTCCTTTCCGTCGGCGGCCGTGCGCGGTGGGCTCAGCTGGCGATGGTGGTCCTGCCACGCGACCGTCGCTGATCCTGCCCGGAACGCTGGGGTGGTCCTTGGGACGAGCTTGTGCAGAGGCTAGGAGCTCGCTATGGAAGCCTGAGCTAGTTGGCGCGTCGTACTATAGACCTTAGTGGGCTCATGGTGCGTGGCACATCCATACACAAGTTCAAGTCCACCCTGGCCGCTAGGCCTCTACGTTTCAACGCAAACGAACAGCGAACACCCCCGGGCTCGGCTCACGGCGGGGTCCGCGCTCGGGAGCGCCACGCAGCTCAGCCCGGCGCCCCCCGGGCCCGGCTGGGAGCGCACCCTCGAGCCCCGTCGGACCTCGGCGGGGGATCAGCGCTCAGCACGCAGAAACCCTGCGGCGGCGCGTGCGACAGGCGGACGGGGCTGCAAGCAGCGCGGGACCGTGCCCGCAGCGAGCCCGCGGGCCCGCACGCTGCGACGTGCGCTTGCAGCGGGCGGCGGCGTGGCGGGCGGCGTGCTCGGAACGCTGTGCGCCGCAGCGACGGCCTTCGTGATCGCCGTGGCGCTTTGGGCAGTGGGATGGGCTTGTGCGCGGGCCGGGAGGTTGAGCGGGGAGGGGGCATTTCCGAGAGGGGGGGCGTGGAGGAGATGCGGAGGATGGGGGCCGGGGCGTTGGCGGGTGAGGAGCGCAGGGGGCGCGATGGGCTGCCCTTTCGGTGTACCTATGGAGGTGCGTGGTTTCTGCTTTGCTGGCGGGCATGCAACACCGCAGGCTGCTCGCTGTGCGGTTATACGTGTGTATATGCTCCCACAATGGCATATTGAATGTGCCGTCTCTGCTTAAGCTGCGCGGGAGGAATCGCCCTGTAAAGTGTACGTTCTCGTACATTCATTCCGCGACTGAATACCGCGCAGCGCTAGGATGTAATCTATATACTTCGACGACTCCGCTCATGTATATGATGCTACACATGGACGTACCGGTTCCCTCAGTGGCCGCGCTCCGGCGGGTTGCGATTGCGCTTCTCCGGGTACAGTAGCTGGAAGAAATAATGAGTGACGCAACTTTTTAGCGTTTGAGGAAGTACGACTTACTTTTCCTGGGTCGATTAGGTGGAGCGGGTCGTCAGAGTTCTTGATCGTCTTCATGAGCTCCGCTGTGTCCTCGCCGAGCCCCTCGTACCAGTAGGCACATTTCCCGGTGCCCTTCGCGGATGTGAGTGTTGCCGCACCTCGAACCGTTCATTCCAGATCTTCCGGGGCGTGCATCGCGTGCAAAATCGGCAGCGATCAGCGAGACACTGTATTTATAGTCAAGCACTTGCCCAATCGTAAAATACGTCGACGACGCTTGCCTCGTAGACAGACCTTTGTCCGGGAGTGCTTCCTGAATATCGCCTGATCGATGCGGGGCGACACCCAGTATTGTCAAGCGACAAGGTTGTCGTGCACCGTGAGGAACAGGACGTGCTACTGCTAAGCCTTCCCGGAGGTGGGTGTTTCTGGCCCATCATAATTTAGCCCCGAGTCGGATGGGAAAACCAAACGTGGAGAGTGCACCTCAAGCGACTCAAGCGACTCGCGCAAGCATGCATTTCCGCTACTGCACTCGGGGGAGGTGGTCCGTGAGCGAGCTCGCATTGGGACACTTCGCTACCGTCAAAGACAGCCCAGGCGTACTATTCACGGCGCAACGTCAGGGCACCGTAAATACTACTATCACCTAGTGTATGATCTGTGAGCAAAAACCGTGAGCACGCATTTATTGAACGAGTTCAGTTCATACCAGTCATGTCTTCGCCCTACAGAAGGGAGGACATACCTCGTTTAGGCCCTTATGTCGACGTCACGAGCCTTGGCGACCCTGAGTCTCTTGGGAGTGGTGGAGTCTTCGGCCCTGATGACGAGTTCGCCTGGGTCCTGCTTGTCTCCCCTAGGCAGACGAAGGTGATCTTGTCGAGGGACGATCACACGGGTCCTGCAATCATAGCGGTCATTCGGAATTTCGAAGCATCGATCTATAGACGTGCGCTTCGGCGAACACCAGACTGAGGAGCAATGAAGAGTTAGCTCTGTGTTAGCTTAGTGTTAGCTAGGTTGCGCTCGGAGGAGATGATGGCATGGTCGGCGGTGCTGTGGCCCGTGGGCATGTGATATTTGGAGAACATATATGGGCTGCGTCTTATAGAAAGTCTACCATCAATGTGAACGATGCGGTGCTTCAACAACATCGCCTCGTCGGCCCAGGCACGGAAGAATGTAATGGTTTGACTCGGGTCCCACGTTTGTAGACCATCTGTGCGCGCCGCGTTGAAGGCGCTCCTGGGCGACGTCCGCGTGTTCCTCATCAGAGTCATCATCGGACATCGGACGCGTAGATCGACTTGCTCAAGCTTCACTTGTCATTTATGGACGTAGTCGAGCCTTGAGCGTGTCAGTTCGACGGAGAGCAGTCCGTTCTCTGGCGCTTGGCCATGGGGAGTGGCAAGAGTCGAGACATGAAAGAAATTCAAGAGCGGTTGCGGACGTTCTGGGTACTGATTGCAGTGTGACTGCAGTGAAACATTGATATTGAATCCGACTGCCGCTTGAAGAAACAGAAGGCGCAAACTTAGGCCTTCGGCCTGGGTGTGGGCGTGCGTGCGTGGGGGGGGGGTTCGCGGTGGTGGGCGCTATGTTAGGGGGCTGAGAAAGAGCGGAAGGGTGGTGGGCGCTAGGTTAGGGGGCTGAAAGAGGGGAAGCCTCGAGCAACAACTGTGTGATTATATATGAGGGAGATCTTAAAAAAAAAAGCAAAAAGCGGTGCAGGTTTGCCGCCCAAGCTTGCTGTACTCGGAGTTTCGACAACTGGCGTTGGAGACCATGCAAGGCCTCGACCGTTTGTCTATGGTCCCTCCCTTGGGCGAGGCGTCCGGTAATGGCCTCTTTCGTCTGATGGCATTCCATGTGTAAGCTTAGGGCCCCACAGACGTGCCTCAAGAGTCGAAACAAACCTGGAAAATCCTCAGCGCGTGCTTCAAGCTCTCCTTGTGTTCGGTGAGGGCCTCATCGTGCTTGTCCTTGTGCCAGAACCTGCGCCAGACCGGCTTTCTCTCTAGACGCGTCATGGTTTTGGCGATCTGTTCCATGCGCCTGCGAGATGACATTAGCTTTGGTTTGATTTGCTGAATTCGCAAAGTGTTTCAGGACACACCATTCAAGCTCGGCTAGGTTAAGCAGTGTCTTCTCGTCCAGGTCCCCCACGTTCCGAATATCACCAGTTGCGTCCACCACGGCAGATGCGACGCTTTCCGCCAGAGCGGCAAGCGCCTTGCATTTCTCGCGATTCCGCCCTACCCCCTGGAGAACGCATGCCTTGAGCACGAGATTCGAGTAAAGCTCTAAGGGCCACATAGACTCACCTGCGCGCGCTGCAGCAGAGAGACAGCCGCCGACGAGATTCCCTGCACAACAGGGACAGAGGAACCCATGTTGCCTGCAGTTTCGACTGCTACAATGACGGGGTCGATGGGTATACGGGATATGCCCTTTCCCAGAGAGCGTAGACCTCTACCGAGCCCAGCGAGGCGAAGCTTCGTGGTCAACGTCTTCGAGAACTGACGGAATTGCAGACGGCGAGGCATAGTGTTGAGATCGCGGGATGTCGTTAGTTTCGCATGAGTGGGTAGGAGAGGAGAGACGGTGGACAGGGGCCCTTCTGCATGGACGACCCTGTGCGCTCCCTCGTGGTGGACCCGAATACACGTATCACAGCCTGCAGACTACAATATTAGAACATACATAGCGGCGGGCGCGTGAACAAGGCGATGCATAGATGCTACTGATCTGCGAAGACCTTCAATTCTGGAACTGTTGACAGATACCAATAGACCAGCGATGCTTCGCAGAGTTGAAGAAGGCCGACTCACCACGAGTGCACAGCGGGACGATGGTGTGCCCAGCATAACGATCGATGTTGCTGAGCTCCTTCTGCCTTAGGCAAACGAGTCATATGTTCCGTACTCATGTAAGAGTGTTCTGTCGCTGGTGTCAAAAGGTTCTCAGGCGAGCTTCGATCAAATACAACATTTAACAACAAAGAGTGTGAAATGTGGATTCTTCTGCACGCACAACGCGGTTAGATATATCGCAGCACTGCAACGCAACCTACACCTTTTACCGTTTTTTGTGACTCCGCTCATGTATCCAATGCTTCACATGACTGTACCAGGTCTTCGTGGCCGCGCTCCAGGCTATCGCCTTTATTGGAATGTTTCTTAACTTTAGTGGTGAGGATGGTCCTACAGCAAGGGCAGATGTAAATAAAACTCACATTTACAAGATTGAGTAGGTTGAGCGGACGGACGGCGTTCTTGGCCGTCTTCATGACTTCCGCGCACCGCGTCTTCCCCGAGCAGCTCGGGTATGGCATGCCGAGGACACGGACGGATGTCTGACCATTAGTGGATTATGACCTACACGTATTGTTACACAAAACCGAGACACCCCAGCAGCTACAGACTCTCCGTCATCCCTCGCCGTGAATCGCGGCTCACTGCCACCCGCCATCGGCGTTGCGTACAAGAATGCGCGCGTTGTTCACGAACGCGCGGATAAGCTCGTCGAACGCGCCCCGGTCGTGCTCGGACACGTTCGCGTCCCCGCGTTTCGCCGCCGTCGAGAGCAGGTACTCTGGCCGCGCCAGCTCGAGCTCGAGTTCGTGCAGGACCTCCGTCTTAGCACCGATAATCAAAATGCGGGCGTCAGATAAAGCACGCAGAGTGTGGGCGGGCGGGACGCACCTTCGCGTTGCCTCCCGCTGTGGAGGTGACCTGTGTGAGGTCTATCACGAACTCCTCGTGCGAGTACCGCATGCGGTCCTTCTTCCGCGAGTGCGTTGAGGTCCCTAACGGGGGTGGCACTGTACGCGAGCATATCAGCCAAACTCTACCGCCTGTGCATACCCTGCGAAAGCCGAGCACGCCATCGCTCGCGATACCACACCAGCGCGCCCGCTCCCCGCTCATAGTTCATAGCGCAAGAACATCGAGAGACACGCACCGGGCACCTCGAGGTTCACGCTAATCCTCCAGTCCGCGGCCCGCTTCGGGCTGTAGATGTTGAGGTCCGCGAGGCGGATCTTGCGCACGCACTCGAGCACCGTGCCCGTCTTCTCGTCGCGCGTGACGCGCACCTTGTCGCCGCGCCCGCCGCCGTCCTGCGCGTAGAAGGTGTCGACGAGGTGCAGGTGCTGGTACGCGAGCGTCGAGGACGGGTGCGCGGACGTCGGCGTCGTCTTCAGCTTGTTCAGCAGCTCGTTGTAGTGCTGGTGCTGTTTCTGGCGGGCCGGGCGTGTGAGCGCGGGCGCTGGGGACGGGGACGGGCACGAGCAGCGGTGGCGCGCCCTGCGCGGGGGGACGTACTGCAGACATGTTCGCTTCGAACCGCATGTCGATCGCATTTGGCGCGAGGACTATGAAGGACGCGGCACAGGCGGGCGCGGAGGGGGTGAGTTCGGATTGTAGTAGGGACGGCGCGAGAGGAGGGCGCGGAGGGAAGTTGAACGTACTGGTCTCGGTGAGTATGGGGAGCTGCAGCCGCTTCCCGGTGTCGCGATCTCGCAGGATTCCGATCTTTGCCTCGACCTCGACGGCGCCGACGAGGTCCTGTGGTCGCGTGCTGATTTGGTAGTGGATGAAGTCGGCGACCTCGCGGATGAACTCGTCCAGCGGCTCGACGCCGAGGATCGAGAGCGAGAGCGGGGGGAGGGCGCCGGCGTCGGAAGCGTGGCCGTTCCCGTTGGTTGCTCCCGAGTGCATGTGTGTCGGGTGCGCGTGTGGATGTGGTGGTAGAGAGGTGGCGGCGGAGGAAAAGGAGTCGGAATGGCGGGGGCGCTTGGAGGGGCGGTCAGAGTCGTCTGAGTCAGACACTGACAGCGGCCGGTCGCGCCTATCCATACAGGGCAGCGTCGAGTATATCAAGAACAGCTAGAGAGGCCGAGAAAGCAAGAGAGGAGAACAGGACGACGGAGGGCAGCGTACGGAGAGAGGCAAGAGCATGACGAGCGCTGCAGCCCAAAACAGCCACGCCTTCCTCAACGCCCGCACGTGGCCCCCGGTCCGCTCGCCCACCCAATCCCGTCGCTCATGTTAAAATGACATGGAATATGCACGAATAGATACAGGTACATGTGGCAGTCTCACAAACGGGCGGTCATAGCTACAAGCAGCGACACAGAATACTGATACAGGTTCAAATCCGCGCTACGCACTCATCTCCGTGTCCTCCTCCGTCACCTGCCAGTGATCAGGTAGCCGCACAGACGTCTGCAGCTCCCGTAACTCGTCCACTGCTGCTTCTGTCGCTTGAAACAGTAGCTTCATCAACACGCCGTAGTCTCCGTCACCGTTCGCGCGCGTCTGCCACTCTGCCTCAGCGACCGCTCTGCCCGGACAGGCGTGCTCGGAACGTACCCAGTTGAGCGCATGGTAGTACTTGTTTTGCCAGGGCACCGCTACCGTCAGCGGCGGCAGACGCTGGCGCAACAAAGGTATCGACGCAAGCAGTCTTGAAAGTCGACCATTTCCGTCCTACGGAACAAATAAAAGTGTTAGAAGGTGTCCGGGCAAATGCTAGGACCTTACCTCAAATGGATGGATCGTCACGAAGACATGGCTGACCCACGCCGCCGCAGCGAACGGGTCGACGTCGTGTTGCCTCATAAGATCCTAGGAGAGTCACATTAGCCCGTGTCACCCCGCGATAGAACTATCGCTCACATTGAACCGCGTGCAGAACGCGGTTAGCTCCGCGTCGACGGAGTCAAACGGACAGAACATGACCTTCACTTCCTTCCCCGCGACGCTGACGTTGATGGCGCAATGCTGCCGGGTTATCCCGACGTGCGTGTGCGCGATATGCGAGCTGCCGTGCTGCCGGATGGCGAGGATGTGGTTCGTGCGCATCAACATCTTGTGCAGGCTGCAGACCATCTCCATCGTCAGCTCGAATTTCGGGTCCTCAACGAGCTTGTATATCTCGTCCATAGCCTGCGGGATAGAGAGTTAGCGTTTGCGTCGTGGAACCTTATGGACCGGAGCGTCACCTTCCGGGTATCTTGGAGTATCGAGAGCGCTTGCGCGTGGTCGCGGACAACACCCCCGGCAGTGAGATGTCGGTCGGACACCTCACTGTAGACGCCCTCCCTGGAGAGCATGACGGTAGCCTATACACTCTGTCAGCGTTCAACGGAAGAAGAGGCGCTTGAGGTCTCACCGGCGGATCGAACTGGAGCACGCCCTCGATCGCGTTCGTCTCGAGACAGTGGTAGTTGAGGTACTGATCCAGGTTCACGCCCGCCGCGTTCATCTTCTCCCACGACTCCTGGAAGGTGACGTACTCGGCGTGCTGAAGCTTGCAGGAGCTGGCGGGGATGCGGTCCTGCGCGACGTTCGGTCTCCAGCGCTGGGACGGGGTATAGATGCTCGTGTTGTCCTTGTAGGTGCGCACTAGATAGCGGTAAATTTCCGCACGATATAATGCATAACGCCGGCGGATACCCACGGGTGTTGACCGCTTCGGTGAGGACCTTGACGCGGGCCTTCTGGAGCCAAATTGAGAAGGCGGAGTCCTTCAAGACGCGCTGAAGCTGTAGTTCAAGGTCGCGCGGAGGTCAGACGGAGCGAGTGCGGACAAGGGCGATAGGCTCACATCGAGGTACATTGCATAGGCGGTGACGCGGCTGTTGAGCTTCCAGCGCATGTCCGCGACGCGAAGCATGAGAAAGGGCACGCCGGGGTACTTCTCGAGGAGGGCCTCCCAGAGACGGCCGACTGCGGCGCACTTGATGTCGTCTGAGGGGTCGACCTCGAAGGAAGCCAGGAACTCCTTTACGTCGTCCTGGCCGAGCTCTATAGGCACGCTCTGGGTCCGGGTTCTGTTCAGCACATATACCGCCGGGAGATCGCGCGCGGGCGGCAGAAAGGGCGCACCGTGACCGAGAGATGGTGCAGTTGGGGGCGCTCGCCATTGACGAAACGCGCGAGGTGCGGGTTGTACATCGCGGCGAAAAAAGTGAGTTTGTGCCGAACCAGATGAGCGGCGAAGGAGAAGAGGTGTGGACCATCGATGGCCTCTGTCCAGCCGACTCGCCTCAGTCCGCTCCTCCTTTGAGCACCGAGACTTCAGCCACTCTCTATAGAACAGATCTAGATCTTTAGCACCTGGCCAGACCCCCGCCACCTCCACGTGCCACAATGGGCGCCTCTTTCCCCGCACTCCGATCCGGACCTTGCTCCTCCTCCGTGTTCACCGCGTCCATCTCGCGCTCATGCGTCCTCTCTCTCTTCAACCACGACCACGATGATACGCACACTGCGCGCATCGCCTGCCGTATACGCAGCCCTTCGAGGATGTCGAAGAGTGGGCACCACCGCCCAGCTGCCGGGACCAGGGCATGCTCATGGCCACCTACCCGCCTCGACGTCCCCCATCACGTCGAAGCTACACTTCTTCAACTCCGTCATGGAGGGTGGTAAGCAGATCCCGACATACCGCGTCATCGATGGCGCAGGCCAGCCGCTTGAGGGCGCCGTCGTGCCCGAGGAGGTGCGCCTCTCGCAGCTTCTCGCCGCCACTCGCGGAAGCTCACCATCAGACCTCAGATCGACGAAGCCCTCGCTCGGAGGATGTGCGTTTTATCCCCGTACTGCGTCGGACAAATGCTGAGCCAATGCCCTAGATACGAGAACATGGTCCAGCTCCCCATCCTTGATGACATCCTCTACAACCTCCAGCGGCAGGGCCGCATCGTCTTCTACGTATGTCGCGCGCCATTCCATCAGTCCGTTTGCTCACACTAGCTCAGATGACTGCCGTAAGTCCTCTTCCTCGGGAGGCCGTCATCTCCTGACCGAGTTCGCAGTATGGAGAGGAAGCCGCCATCATTGGCTCCGCTGCTGCCTTGGCTCCTGACGACGAGTTAGTCCGTTTTCCTATCTCAGCCTCGAAAGCTCACCGATCGCAGGCACAAGGGTCCTCGGTAAGCCTTGCTCTACTCGAACACTCTGGTCGGCAATTTAACGACGTACCCCAGCGCAGTACCGTGAATCCGGCGTGCTCCTCTGGCGCGGATGGGGGTTCGACAATGTCATGAACCAGTGCTTCGGCACCCACCTCGACGTCTGCGGCAAAGGCAAGCAGATGCCCGTCGTAAGCAGCCATCCCCGACGTCCCCGCTCCAGCCCCCGACTAACGCGCGCCCCCAGCACTACGGCTCGAAGGAGCTGCATTACCACACCATCTCGTCGCCACTCGCAACGCAGATCCCACAGGCCGCGGGCGTGGGGTACGCGCTCAAGCGCGATCCCGCTCGGCGGGGCAAGAACTGCGCCGTCGTCTACTTCGGCGAGGGCGCGGCCTCCGAGGGCGACTTCCACGCGGGCATGCTTCTTGGTGCGTCCCCCGCGGGGTCGGGAGATGACGCGAAAATGAACGCTAATCCGCGTGGCGCAGCGTCGACGATCCCTTCGCCGACGATGTTCATCGCGCGCAATAACGGCTTCGCGATCTCGACGCCGTCGTCGGAGCAGTACTACGGCGACGGCATTGCGGCTCGGGGGCCTGGGTACGGCATACACACGATCCGCGTCGACGGGAACGATGTGTTGGCGGTGTACTCTGCGGTCAAGGAGGCACGGCGGCTTTGTCTTGAGGAGGGCCGCGGTGTACTCGTCGAAACTATGACTTATCGGTAGGCGGTTCGTCAAACTTCCCTAGGACTGTCGCTGAAGATGACGTTCAGCGTTGGCCATCACTCGACGTCAGATGACTCGTTTGCGTACCGTCCCCGCAAGGAGGTCGAGGACCGGAAGCGGTTAGACAACCCGATCGTGCGCTTTAGGCTGTTCATGGAGGCACGGGGCTGGTGGTCGAAAGACGAGGAGGAGGCGTTGACGAAGAGGGTCAAGCAGGAGGTGATGACAGCGTACAAGAAGGCGGAGACGCTCCCGAAGCCCGAGCTGAGCGAGATGTTTACGGAAGTGTACGGCGGGGAGGAGCCTTGGAATCTGGTGAGCGCGCTGATCCTACGCTCGGCTGACGCCGCTAACTAGAAATGGCAGCGAGAGCAACGCGAGGAGCTGAAGCGGTTAGTATGGAAGTATGGTGAGGCTTGGGAACCGTGGAAGAGCGAACTGAAGAAGCACAAGGGCGGCGGCAAGGATCTGTTGGACTAGCTTGAAAGACCGCGTCCGAAGAGGCCGAGGGATACGTGGACTGTTCCATGCGCCCATAGCGGGCGCGATGTACGGTATCTTACGGCGTGCGTTCCCAGCATTTTTGACTTCAAGCTCGGTCAGCGACCAGAATGGGGTGCACGTCGGGACGGAAATGTGGAGGAGTTGGCGAGCGGACTGCGCAGACGCGTCGCGACGCGCCTCTTTACGCGATCATATGACGTATACCCCTCGGTCCGCAGCGCTTCGCCTCCTGCACAGCGCTGCGGAGGTTGATCTCGTCCGCGTACCGTCTGTACCAACCGCCAAACGCTCTCCAAGCGTCTCGCCGTGGACTTTGGTCGGCGTTCTGTTCCAAACGTTTTCACAATTCTGGCGCAGCGTTCTGAGCGGAAGGAGCCGTCGCACGGTACGGACGCTCTAGAGGCTCGCCGGCCAAAGTTCATAATTAAATCAGGCCCCCACCTCCGGATCACCATAGAGACCGGCGACAAGGACAACGGGCCATCGGGGGCGTCCTCCGTCAACGCCTCATTGCTATCGACCACCGGGGCACTGTCGTGTCGTGCAAGCCGCGACGTCTTGCATGGGCAACGCACGGTCGAAATGGAATGCGATCGCCATGCCCGCGTGGGTTGCGAGTCGCGAGGAGACTCGCGAGGGAACGGCGGTGGCCCGGTCGAGTGCATCCTCTCTCTCAGGGTGTCTAGATCACCAGGGACCGCAGGCTAATCATCTTCGTTCGTTCGCTTACATGTTTCGCCGCGTATCATATCAGCCCAGCCCGCGACCGCCGGCACATCTGTCCACACATCTTCCTCCTGCGCCTTCCGCGCCTGCGCGTCCCTCTCTCCGCCTCTTCCCCTTCTCCTCCTCCCTTTTTGTTCTTTCGTACGTACCCGTCAGCCACAGCCTCCCCGACGCCGCCCTCCGACTTGCAGACTGCATGTCCCAGTAGGCCGCCCGCTGTGCACCAAGCAGGACCAGCTGGACCGTGTCCGTTCCTTCCGCGGCCGCGCCCTCAAGTCTCGCCGCCCGACATTGAGCAGGCTCCCGATGTTCTCTTCCCCTTCCGCCGCCCTGGTCGGCCTTGGCTCCTCCTTCTCCTTCTGCTTTGCCTTTCTCTTCGCTGCGCTCGCCCTTGCCCCGCTGCCTGTCGACGCCCGCTTTGCGTCCATCTCGTTCAGCGCCGTCCAGCAGTGCGGCAGCTTCACCGTCGACTTCGTCGGTGGCAAGGCGCCCGACGCCCTCCCGCTCACCCTGAGCATCCTCCCTCTGAACGGTACGCCCGTGTTCCTCGAGCTCCCCTCAGATGCGTGGAATGCGACGGCCCAGACCGGTGCGGCCGTCACTTTTGTCCCTTTCCCCGTCGGCACCGAGTTCATCGCATCGCTCGATGATGCGAATGGACAAGGCACAGCACTGGTGTCCGACGTCCTCGTCGTCGACCCTTCTGATACGGACGACTCCTCGTGCCTGCCCACCAACCCCGCCCCTTTCACACCCCAATATACGGCACTAGCCCCGCTCGAGCAGTGTGAGCCGTTCAGCGTGCTCTTCAACGCAACGGCGGGCCGGACGTCCCCCACGGTACGTGGCTTCACGCCCAGGGGTGCCTCGTACCCCGTCAACCAGAGCGCGCCGTTCGACGATGCGTCTGGCGTCGCAAACTACACCATGGACGCCGCGCGCGACACCCAGGTCGTGTTCCTGTACAAGGACCAGAGCGGGTACACGGAGGTCTCCGCGCGGATGCCCGTCCTGGGCGACATCCAGAGCAGCACCTCCTGCATCCCCACCAGCCCGCTCGCGAACTCGGCCACGCTGGAGTCCACGACCTCGGACTCGCGCGTTACGCCCAAGTACGTTCATCCACCCACCCTGATCATCATTGGAGCTAAATCTGCGGTTTGTGTTAGAATCGCGGTCATCGTGATCGCCGTCTGCGCCGGGGTGGTCGCCATCGTCGCAACAGCGATGGTGACGTGGTACATCATTCACCGCCGCCGCGTTCGCGCGCAGAAGTTCACCAAGCTCGACGAGGCGCAATCGCCCACTGGCACCGGACCCGACCCGGAGAAGCAGCAGCAGGGCATGCGCCGTGTCGGATCACCCCCACCTCGGATCGTCACCTCTGTCAACACGAGCCCGATCTCGCCTGTCGACCCGCGCTATGAGGAGCTCACGCGCTACTTGCGCAACCCGCCGTATACGAGCATGGTCGTCACTCCGACGTCTCCCGACGGGCGGGATCCCTTCAACGAACAGGGCATGGGCGGCTCGCTCCTCGGGTCGCTCTCCGCGCGCGAAAGCCTGAACGCACGGGACGCCCTCGGGGCGACCGCGCTCGGCAACAACGGCTCCTCGCTCACCCTCCCCCGCGTCCGCGAGACCCCCAGCGTCGCGTATTCTGCCGCGGCGCGCTCGTCCATGTTCGACCCGACGACGGAGCACATGCCCGGTACCTCGCCCTACTTTGGTCGCATGGCAATCACGCCCGACAACTCGTTCGCCTCTGTCTCTGTCCTCCGCCGCCCCGCGAGCGCGCAGACGGCGACGACTGTCTCGTCGCAGGAGATCGACCATATCCTCGAGATGGCTACGATCTACGGTGCGAACGACCTGCCCGACATGCCACGGCCGGCCGTCACTGCGCCTGCGACGTTGCGCTCGAGCGCATACATGGCCGGGCGCGAGTCCCGCCGCGAGTCCGGTATCTTCTCCGCACGGCAGAGTCCTACGGGCTCGCCAACTATCGCGACATCGCCTCTGCACGGACGGGCAGGCAGCCTCGCGCTGAGTCATTCCACCAGCCAGTCCACGCTACGGTTAAACAAGTTCCGCGAGCCCCCGCTTGCGACGCTGCCCTCATCACCGCTGCCTTCACCGAGCGCGCGCCCGAGCTTCGACATTGGCGGTGTCGCGGTGCGGGATTCACGCTCAGGTGCCGCCGTGCTGCAGACGCCTCGCATGCCCCTCCGCGCGGCGTTGAACCGGAACACGTCCTCGGCAACAAGAGCGTCGGTATACAGCATAGACGACGATGGCCTGGCCGACTTCGCGATGCTGCAAGCCCCGACGCGCGGCTCACGATAACCTCTGAGCTCCTTAGCCCCCTTGTCGGATTTTTATTTCGCTTTCAGTTCTCAGTGTTTGTGGGTTCGCGCTTTGCACTTCGCACGTTTCGCATTCGGTGTGGGATCACCATGTTCTCCCCTCTTCGCCGTCTGCTGGCACCCCCTCCCCGCTGCGGGAGGCCCCTTGTTCGCTGTGCATATTCCCGTTGTCTACTTGCACTGCGCCTGCGGCGCGTCCGCTCCTTCGCAGACGATTGCATCGCCGCCGTACATTAGTATTACCTATGCTGCTCTCTCTCTCACGCTCACACCCTACCCCGGATCGCTTGGCTCGCTCGCGCTGCTGCATGGCTTTACTGTCCAGAAAGTGATCCCGTTGTATCCCTAGCTGTAATGTGTATGATGTAGGATTACGGTGCGCAAGACGAATTCCTACGCCCCATTCCCCCACCTTCCGTGAGTGCGCCTGCTTTCTGTACGTGTAAGTGGCCTACAGCCGGGGTGCGGGGTGCCCGCGCGCGCGTGCGACGTCGTTTTATGGCGAGTTGTTGGGTTGCAGCATGTGGACGCTATCAGGATCATGATCCTGGGAAGCTACGCAGGCGATCCTGAGCATTTCCTGTCCGCTCGAATGTATCACACAACGCATGCGCAGGCGTAGCATCACTGGCATCAGGCAGAAGTACCGCACGTTAGCACGACCAACGAGGATCAGAGCTATAAATGACCACTCACGGCGATATGACGATGGTCGGCGGCAGCCAGTCGGGAAGGGGCGATTGAGCAAGCCTCCCGACGCCGTCCTCGTCGTCGAGTCCCCATAGCACATTCCACCCTCTCCTCGGAGATGGAGCTCCGCCTCGAGCACCCATCGAACATCTCCAAGGCGTCCAACAGAAGTGCGCGACCGCGCGCCCAGCGACCCCAAGAGGTTCTGGCCTTAGGCCTCCGGGTCCTTGGGCTTGGGGAGCTTGGCTGCCTCGGCCCTCGCGCTACGCCTGCTCCCGAACATGAGCTCGACGTAGTCCGCGCCGCCGAGCACGGGCCCGTCGCCCTCACGCCTCTGCACGGCCGCCGCCGCCTTCGCTTTCAGCCCCGCTTGCTTCTTCTGCTCCTTGGGCGCGGCCGTCTGGGGCTTGGGAGCGGGCGCGGCAAGCGTGGTAGTGGACCCCGCGCTGCTCGTCGTTTTCTTATTCTGTTGAAGGATTGGAACGAGTTCATGAGTGCCTGGCGACAGGGTGGGACATACCTGACGCTTGTGGAACTTCGCACTACGCCCCATTGCAGCCGAGAGTCGAGACGGTGAGGGGAGAAAACAAGGAGTGTGGGCGCTTACTGCCTCTTTCCGGGTTTCTCTCAACTGCCGCACCGCCGAACCTTTTACTACTAGGGCTTCTTCGATTCTGACTTCGAACACCAGCTCACCCAGGCGACCATAGGCTGCGTGAGTCGCAACGATATAGGTGTCTCGAAAACGACTACAGTCTTGTGGAACAAGCTCAGGTGCGCAGAACGGGATTTACAGCTTCATATAGTACATTTTCCATTTCCTGGTATACATATGTTCTAAGCTACAGGTGAGCGTCCGCGAGTCTCAAACAGTAGGTGTACACCCAATTCTAGTTTTTCTTGAACCCCGTCCTCTTGATGTAGTCGCGCCCAGCAGCGTCCGCGGCCTTGATCGCGCCGAAGACGAGGTCGACGTTGATGACACGGTCGAGGTTCCAGATCGTCTCGCCCTCGGCGCACGCGAGCTCAGCGACACGCCGCAGCTCCTCGTCCTTCACCTTCGGGATGCCGAGTAGCTCGAAGCTGACGGGGAGGTCGACGGAGAGCATGAGCTCGATGTACCGGTCCAGCTCAGCTGTGGACGCGCCGTCCAGGATGAGCTGGCAGATGGTGCCGAATGCGACTGGGGAGGTGGTTGTCAGGAGAAGGTAGGCAACAGAATCACAGGTTTCATGCTGACCTTTTTCGCCATGCAAGAGCGTGTGTAGCTCTTCGATGGCCGTCATTCCGTTGTGGATCTACAATACGCGGCTTCGTCAGCATCGTCCCCAGAGCGACTAGAAGTCATACTTACAGCGTGCGCGGCCGCGAGCCCACCCGACTCGAAGCCAAGGCCGGAGAGCAGCGTGTTCGCCTCGATGACCGCCTCCAGCGCAGGCGTCACCGCGTGCGCCTTGTTCGCCTCGTACGCCTGCTTCCCGTACGAAAACAGGATCTCCTCGCACTTCTGGCAGATCGCCGCCGACACCTCCGTCGGCAGCCCTCCGCCAAAGTTCGTGCTGAAGCGCACGCTGCGCGCCTCGACGTTCGTCGCGATCGCGTCGCCCATGCCCGCGGCGAGGAAGCGCGCGGGCGCCTTCGAGATGACGGTCGTGTCGACGAGCACGATGTTCGGGTTCTTGTCGAAGAAGGTGTAGCAGTGGAACTCGCCGCTCGGGCGGTAGAGCACGGAGAGCGCGGAGCACGGCGCGTCCGTCGACGCGGTCGTGGGCAGGATCGCGACCTGCAGCGCGAGCCCGTCCGCGACCGTCTTCGCGGTGTCGATCGTCTTCCCGCCGCCGAGCGCGATCACGAAGTCGGAGGCGTGCGAGCGGCCCAGGGCGCTCAGGCGGTCGATCTCTTCGCGCGAGGCTTCGCCGCCGAAGATGGCGCGGTTTACCTTGAAGCTCGCGCCTTCGAGGGCTTGTACGAGTTCCTTCCCGGCTGTGTGCAGAAGGTGCGTTAGCGAAAGCACGCTCAGAGCTTCGTGTCGCGTACCGATGTTCCAGACGATGTCATCGCAGAGGAGAAGGGGCGCCTTGCCGAGGTTGCCGAGGTACTTCGCGGCATTTTGGATCGCGTACGGGCCCTGGATGTACTTCGAGGGCGACTGGAAGAGCCGCTCGGTGACCTTGTTGGGGTTGGGCATGCTGAGTGTGTAGTGGTGGTACCGGTGGTGTGCAGGGTTTGCTGAGGACGGTGGGGCGGCGGAGGGCCCCTTGATATAGGCCTGCGCCCCCGCGAACGTGTCTATACTCGGCGCGCGGCATGGGGTGCCGCGCAGGTGGACTCGTCTGGATCGGCGGCGTTGACGGGGGTCTTCTGACTAGTCCAGGCTCCAGGAGGCTCGTCCGCCACCAGACTGCGTTCCACATGATGTCCTATAGGAGCTCGTCCGCCTCCACACGTCGTACGGGCTGTCTTTACGGTGCCAATCATGAACGTTCCCTGGATCACTGCCCAGGGACACACAGGCTGGTGCTCGAGCCCCAGTCGAGAGCAGAAGCGTGAAAGCGCAGCGAGTGAGTCCGTCTTCGTACGTTCCAGGTCGCTCTCTTTGCGGTCCGGCAACGGCCCGTTAACGGAAGGTTAGCAAACTCTCCAAGAAGCTTGAAGAAGGATGAGGACGGTGCGTCTATTGTAAGCCTTCAGCCACGCACAGACCAACAGTATTCAGATCTCAGAGGCAGCAGGTTTCCGAAGCTATGCTTAACGGCAGAGGCTAGTTCGTTCACAGCACGGCAACTTCCTTCACGTCCCAAACAGCACCACTGCGCTCTACGGTGTCTCCTTCCTGCACAACTGCCCAAGTCGCGTCGCAGGGGATGTCGAATCCACCGACTTGCCCCACGTTAGCCCATGCGCCAGCCGTCCACAACCAACGCTGGACGGAGATATCCCCGCCGTCGCGCACGATCCCTTGGCAGTACTGCCCGACGCGCACGACAGTACCTCGCCTCGTCATGTCCCCGCCGTCGCGGCGCATCTCCAACAGGACGGCGATACGTTTTCCCGACTCGTCGGGGAGGACGGGCACGGCGCGCCACGCCTCCTCGTACGCGCGCACCTCCCCAGTGTCGAGGTGCGCCATGCGCCCGCGCTCGATCTCGACGTCTGGAAGACTCGGGTGGGGTTCCATGGTGCCCACGTCTGTCTCGCCGTCGGGGTGGGTCGGGCGGGAGCTGAGGTCGTGCGTCCATGTGCCGTGGGTGGGCGTGCCCGCGGAGTATCCGGCGGTGCCCCATTCGAGTGACGGGGATGTGGGCGGTGTGGGTGGGGATGCAGCGGGGGGCGATGGAGGGTTGAGGAAGCGGAGGTCGACGAAGCGGCGGTGTGGGGTGGTGAGGACGATGGTGGAGGTGGGCTCGGAGGCTTCGTCTGGGAGCTGATAGAGATTCGGTACGAGCGCATATCATATGAGCTCCGTGGGCTGGGGGAAGGGGATGATGCGCACCCATTGGATATACAGGCGTTCTGAGATGGACATCATACTCTCCGAGCTAGCTAGGGGGCACAGTTCACCTATCGGCGCTGGTAGGTTGATCTCAAGTGTCACTGAGCTCCTCGATCCCGTTATCGTTCTGACCTTGGTTTGTGGCTGACCCTAACCTCTGTCCACGCACCTTCCTATGCATACACGAGCCCCTTAATGTCTCTCATCCACTTACCTGCATCGCAAGGGCGCATATATGCGCGCGCAAGTATCGAGACGCGCCTCGGAGTACGCGTGCAGTGTATATCGCACGTGCACGCGTCAAGCCCTGACGTCACGCGTCTACTACCTCCGTTTCACCTTGCGCAGCGGATGATTGGGAGTGGGACGTTGGAGGAGCGGGAAAGAGATCGGTTGATTGCGCGGTCGGAGTGGGAAGGGTATGCGTGTGTATGACGTCGCGAAGCCCGGTGGGTCTATAGTACCCGGAACAAATACTCATCTGTGCGGCGGGGATTAGCGGGACGGAAAGTACCCAGAGAAGAACGACGTACGATGATACAATATACAGACGAGCCAAGGGCTCGCACGCAGAGTTGGCCCGGTGCCCCACATGCCAAGATTAGGGGTGGAGTGCGTAGGGAAACGGCGTATGGGCCGACGATGACAGCAGAGTATTACACATAACAGAGAACTAGCGATACAAGGCAACCCAATGAGAGAGCCAGAGAGAATCCTCCGGAAAGAGTCGTGAATGCAGAGGGAGGGGCTTATACGTTGCGTTCGTTATAGTCGTTCACCTCCTCCGCCACCTTCTCCTCGTCCACCGTCTGCGTGATATGCAGGCTGTAGATCTTGTGCACGTCCGGGTCCGCCCACATCTTCTGCTCGCGCTCGAGCTCGCGGTGCACCCACCCAATCGTGAGCGCGCCCGACACCATCGCCCAGAGCCACGGCAGGCCCCACCCAATCCCGTACCCAATGTCGTCCGCGGTCGTCCACGCGATGGCGATGAACGCCCCAGCGAACAGGCAGCCGGACGCGCCCCACCAGAGAGACGTGACGCGGACGATGCGGCGCATGATGGCGGAGTGCTCGTAGCGGATGCGCCAGGCCTGGCGGAACTCGACGCAGCCGCCGCCGTCGACCGCGACCACGTCCTCGACCATCGTGTAGACTGCTGGGGGGAGGCCGGTGTAGGGCGGCATGGAGGAGACGCGGAAGGGCATCTTGAGCTTGTGTGGCCAGAGGCCGGTGAGGAGGAGGGGGACGCAGAAGCAGATCATGAAGCACGGGAGGGACATGGCGACGGTTTGGACCGAGCCGGGGTTTCTGGATGGGTTTCAGCAGTCAGGACGGCGCGTGGGCAACCCAGGAGGAGTATTGGGGCCTGAGAGAGACTTACAGAGAAGAGCCGATGATGAGGGGGACGAAGAAGCCGGTCATGGCGAGACTAATCTGGATGCTGAGGCAAGGTGAGCGTGGAAACCATGTTGAAAAGCAGGGTGCAACGTACGTGAATGCATCGGGTCCAAACCTGCTAGCACCGAGAGGGCGGCGTTGGTGGCCTCTGTCGCTGATGAAGAGGTAATAGGACCGTCTGGCCATCTTGTAGCCGGAATAGGTGCCGACAAGAGAGGTGATGATGGCGAGGATCTTGGTGTTGTCGAGATGCGCGCCCCATCGTATCGAGTAGAAGAGAATGAGAGGAAGGACGCCGGCTTCGGCGAAGATGAGGGTGAAGAAGACGATGATGGCGAGCTCTCTACGGTTGCATTTTATGGTGTAGTTGAGCGGTGGTGGCCTGGCGGGGTTGTATGTGTCGCGCGTTGCGTCGGAGAAGTCGGAGGACATGGTGGTACGGGGAAGCGATTGGGTGCGCACACGCGTGGCAGGATATATGTGGGGACATGGCCGTGCGCGGACTCCAGCCCGAGATGGAAGTGGAGGAGGTCGAGCTGGGCGATGATGTCACCGCCCGTCGAAAGCACTCGGGCGATGAGGTCACGTGGCCAGGCAAGTACGCGTCGCGCGCGGCTGCAGCAGCAGCTCGCCCTCGCTCCCGCTTACTCACCCCATCGTCCTCGCTGCTCTCGATGGACATCCCGCTCTTTGGCGACGCACCCAACAAGCGCAGACGCGAGATAAACCTGGGAGGTGCTCACACCGCCACCTCGCATAACGACATCCTACAAGAAGCCAAGCTTCGCAGATCCCAGAGGAATGACCTCAAACGCCGCCAAGACTCGGCCCTCCTCATCCAGCACTGGTGGAGAGGCCGCATAGCTCTCAATGACGTCCGCGGGGATCTCCGCCACACTTTCGACCAGGACGTCACGAGCATCACCGGCCTCCGATGTCTCGTCCTCCTCGGACAGGACGAGGATGCGCTCGGCAGATGGTCTACCGTCGTACTGTCCTCATGTAAAGGTACGCGCGAACAGCGTGTCAGAATACTCATGATCCTGACTTCGCCACAGATGTACTTTCCCAAGGTGACCAAAGCTGGGTCGTACTACTCCAGAGACTCGCTCTCATCCTCCTCAGATCCATCTCCACTGACCCAAGGTAAGCCCTGTTAGTCATGCTTCCGGTACAAATCCTCACTGTCCGTAGATCACAATATGCCCGGGCCCATCTCGATGTCCTCGCCACCTTACTTTCGAGTAATCCACAACGACTCGCCATCGCACAGTATCTCGTCTCTCATGGGTTCTATACCTACCTCCGTCACGCCGTCCTCCAACTCGTGAGTTCTCCCTTGACCCAAGTCGCCCCATCCGCACTTACACTAGTTTGATTGAAGCCTATGCCCGCCAAAGCGTCGCCCATCCTCACCTCTTTAGCAACCCTTCTGACTGCGCCGCTAGCCCATCGAGACATCCTCGCCCCTTCATTGCGCGAGTTTGTCACCACCATCCTCACCGTTCCGCTACTCCCTAATCGCTTGCTGCCTGCTATCGGTCCGTTCTCCGCACGTCTCCCTCTCGCATCACTCAACCTAGTCCCTCTTGACATCCTGGATAGCCCCGCGCTCGTAGCCTCAGAACCGAAGATACATCTGCTCGCCAATCTTGCTCTCCTCATGCCGCCTAGATACACTGTCCTGCCGCCCGCCGCTTTTGCCACATACCTCCAGCTCGCCGCTCTGCTCATGAATGCACTTCCTACGAATGCTCTAGAGCCCGCTGCGAGCAAACCCGGCGCTGCGAGCAACTGGGCTGACGACGACTCAGACGACGAGACAGAGACCACGGTCACCGTAGTCAGCTCGTTTGAGTCAAGAGATGCGCTTCCGCAACTAGACGAGAAGACCCGCAAGCGTCTACTGACGCTGCCTTCCTCGGAGCACATAGCCTCGCTGCTCCGGGCCGGCCAGAGCCAGGCTCTGCTTCCTCATGTCATCTCCTTCTGTTTCGCGCTCAGCACGGTGTGGCCGACAAGACGCGACAAGGTGCTCACCACGTTCATGGCCTACAACAAGGGCGGTCTCGTGCGCGAGATTTACCGCGGCTTTGTGCGGCGGTCTCCTCTGGGCCGGGACGACAGCTTCGCGGACATTACCAGTACGCTGCTCTCTCTGAGTCGTCCTAACCGCGCAGATCTAATCATGCGTACAGAGCTGGACCACGCTGCTGACTGGCCGCCGCTGCTCCTCCTCGCGGATCTGTACACACAGGCTCTGCTCACCATGGGCGACGACGAGTTCTTCTCGAGCGGGAAAAACCCGGCCGCGCCACGCAACCCTCTGTCGCTCGACGAGCTGACCGAGTTCTCGCGGAAGCTGCTTAATATCGCGTTCTCGCTGTATTGGCGCGATGACTCGACGAGCGTGCAGGACGGGAGCGTACCCGGACTGGGAAGTGTGAAGTGGGAGAACGTCAGGGAGAAGGCGACGAAGTGCTTGCAGGCGCTGCATGCGCGAGAGTAAGCGGCGACTGCGCTGTGACGTTCCTCGACGCTGATGTTCGTACTCGTGCAGCTCGAGGCGAACGTTCACGCCCAAAGATCACTGGCTGGTCACCTCCCAACTAGATATGACTTCCTTCATCCAAGCTGCAATGTACGTCCGTTGTCTCCTCCGCGTGCACTCCCACTGAATTCCACACAGCTTCGAAGAGCAAGAACTCTCGCAGCCGGAGAACGGACGCGCGACCTCCATGAGCAAGCGGCAGATCGCGTACCTCTCGCCGCGCCTGGGCGTGCTGAACAACATCCCGTTCGCGATCCCGTTCGACGTGCGCGTCGGCATCTTCCGCCGGTTCGTGATCAACGACATGCAGAGCCGCGGGCTCGACTCGTTCCGCGGGCGCATGAGCACGACGCGCGTGACGGTGCGGCGGACGAACATCGCGCAGGACGGGTTTGATAGGTTGGGGGACGTCGATTTGAAGACGCCGATTGCGATCACGTTTATGGACCAGTTTGGGAACGAGGAGTGAGTTGCTGTGTGTTTGGGCGAGTGGGTTGGCTTACAGGGAACGGCACAGGGCGGGTATTGATGGAGGAGGGGTGTTCAAGGAGTTCTTGACGAGTTTGTGCAAGGAGGTCTTCGATAGTGACCGTGGGCTTTGGTTGGCCAACAAGAAGAACGAGTTGTACCCGGCACCGCATTCTTATGCGACGGAAGGTACGATCCCGCTCTCCCGCCGCGACGCGTTTGCTCACCGCTGTATCGTGTAGCCCATAGCCTGGCGTGGTACCGCTTCATCGGGCGGATACTGGGTAAGGCGCTGTACGATGGGATCCTCATCGACGTCGCCTTCGCCGGGTTCTTCCTCGCGAAGTGGCTCGGGAAGCAGAGCTGGCTGGACGACCTCGCCTCGCTCGACCCCGAGCTGTACTCGGGGCTCATCTTCCTCAAGCACTACGAAGGCGACCCCGAGGAGCTCTCGCTCAACTTCACCGTCTCCCAGGAAGGTACGTACCGCCCCGCCCTGCCGTGGTTCAGATAGCGGACAGCCTGCTCATGCCTCTCTCTCACATGCAGAGTTCGGCGTGATGAAGACGGCGGACCTGATCCCGAACGGGAGCAACATCCCCGTGACGCGCGAGAACCGGCTGCAGTACATCTACCTCGTCGCGCACCACCGGCTCACGAAGCAGATCAAGAAGCAGAGCACGGCGTTCTTCGAGGGCCTCTCGGAGATCATCGACCCGAAGTGGCTGCGCATGTTCAACCAGCAGGAGCTGCAGATTCTGCTCGGCGGCGTGAATGCGCCGATTGACCTGGACGATTTGCGCTCGCATACGCAGTATGGCGGGTTGTATGATGATCATGAGCATACTATCGAGATATTCTGGAGCGTAAGTGCTGTCCGGTTTAGGGTGTGGTAGCATGGTCTGACGGGATTCGCAGGTGGTCAAGACGTTCAACCAGGACGAGCGGCGGAAGCTGCTGCGTTTCGTCACGAGTTGCAGTCGACCACCCTTGCTGTAAGCCCTCCGCACGTTTTCCCTCATCCGACTGTATATTCTGACGCGGCGTACGTACAGCGGCTTCAAGGAACTCAATCCGAACTTTGCGATACGAGACGCGACGGGGGACGAGACCCGGCTGCCCACGGCCAGTACGTGCGTGAACCTGCTCAAGGTGCGTGTTCGCTGCCAGAATCTTCTGTTACGTTAGGCGTGTGGCTCATGGTACTACGCCGCAGTTACCGCGCTACAAGAGCCCGCAGGTGTTGAGGGAAAAGCTCGTGCAGGCGATCAACTCGAACGCCGGGTTCGACTTGTCGTGAGCGGGGTATCGGTCTCGGGGTGTAGATGAGGTGAAGATGTCTGCTGCTTTCGTTCGCCGCTATGGCTGTAGGGCTGGATGTACTAGCGTCGCGTGTACTGCATAAAGGTGTAATGGTAACGAAATGAGAATTCCGAAGCACAGAACGGCGTGCGCGCCGCGCGGGTATATGTTTCGGGCGAGACGGCCGGGGGCCACTGCTCAGGTGATGATGGCGCGCGGCAAAGCCGGCGGGGGCGTGCGAGGGCGGGCCCTGTGTTCGTGCTTCGCGCGCGTCCTGACGTGCCTCTTATGCGACATGCCTCCCCCGCCCACCCCCTCTTACTCACCGCCCCCGCCAGGCCTTGCGCACGCCCACCACCTCCCTCCTGACGACTGAGAGCACGCCGTGTGAACCATGCATCTCGCACCATCCTCCCGCGCGGCCGCGAAACGCCTCGCAGGCTCTCTGCAGCGCGCGCGACCCCTAACTCTTGCTCGCACGGGGCCCGCGGCGCACCGCAGCTACTCGGCTACCCCAGCAGACCCTGTCTCGCCGCCGCCCAAAGGCAAGAGCTCGAGCGCGCCGCTTGCGTTCGCGCTCGGGGCCGCGCTCAGCGGCGGGCTCGCATACTACCTCGCGACCCCCGGGCGCGACGAAGCGTCGGCACGGAATCGCGCGGGCGCGGACTTGAACGCGCAGTACGGGTCGCCCGAGGACTTCAAGAAGGCGATCGCGGAGCTGCGGGGGGTGTTCGCGGACGCGGACGCGGTCACGACGGACGTGGAGGACCTCGAGGAGCACGGGTTCTCGGAGAACGACTACCACCCGAGTGAGCGTGTGCGATTGGGGTGTGTGGGTGGAGACGGACGCTGACGAAGGGAACAGGCTCGCACCCGTCGGTGGTGGTGTGGCCGGCGAGCACGGAGGACGTGGTGAAGGTGGTGAAGATCGCGGTCAAGTACCGGATGCCGGTCATCCCGTACTCGGGCGCGACTAGCTTGGAGGGCCATTTCCGCGCGGTGCGTGAGGAGTGGAAGACGGGCTGGGGGTGGTTTGTGCTAATGCGTCGAGCGCGTGCAGCCTGCCGTCGGGGGCATCTGCGTGGACGTCTCCAAGATGGACAATATCATCGAAATTCATGGTCAGTGTGTTTGGCGTATTTCAGGCGTGTATCTTCTGACCGAGTGCGGGTGTAGAGTCGGACTCGGACGTTGTGTGCCAACCTGGGCTGCGCTGGATGGACCTGAACGAGATCCTGAGGAAGAAAGGTGGAGGCACTGCAGCACGTTACAGGCTAGCACTAACTCGCTTGCAGGCATTCCCTTGTTCTTCCCTGTTCGTGTCTCCCTGACACTATGAAGACGGCGCGCGCTCACCTTGCTTGCAATAGCTTGATCCAGCTCCCGGCGCGACTATCGGCGGTATGCTGAGCACGGGATGCTCTGGAAGTGCGTAGATTGTGTCGCATTCGGTGGGGTGTCAGACGCTGATAGACGTATAGCAAACGCTGTGCGGTATGGTACCGCTAAGGCAGAGTGGTTCTTGAACGCGGTTCGTGCCTTAGGTGCACGCACTCTGCTTCGCGCTGACGTACAGACGGACTGGTATCATAGACTGTAGTCCTGCCATCCGGGGAGGTTATCAAAACGCGGCGGCGCGCACGGAAGTCATCCGCTGGGTTCGATACAACGAAGCTCTTCATCGGCGCCGAGGGCACTTTGGGAATCGTAACAGAAGGTGAGCAATAGCGGTAAGAGGGAGCCATAAATCGCATACTAATGCTCGCTCAGTTACTATCCGTCTCGCCCCGCTACTCCCCACAAACGTCGCTGTAGTACAGTTCCCCGACGTGCGAAGCGCGACCGAAGCAGTCATCGAAGTCGTGAACGCAGGAGTCGGCATCCGTGAGTTCACGCGCATGCAGGCACATCTGGCCGGCTCGCCGCTGATGCCCTCCGTCAACAGAGTGCGTCGAACTGTGCGACGACCAGTTCATGCGCGCGACGAACATCTATGGGCAGTCCTCGCGCAAGTGGCCCGAAAAGGACAGCCTGTTCTTCAAGTTCCAGGGCCCGACGCCGCGCGCGCTGAAGGAAACTGCCGACATCGTGAAGGCGGTCACCGCGAAGCACGGCGCGACCGGCTTTTCGCTCGCGCGCAGCGATCAGGAGGCGCACGACCTCTGGATGGACCGCAAGAACGCGCTCTACTCTAGTCTCGCGATCCTGCCGGGCGCGCGCGGGTGGAGCACAGACGTTTGGTGAGTCGCGCGGGACTACGGGGAAACTGCGCAAGGTTCTGACGGTGCTCTATAGTGTCCCGGTGTCCCGGCTCCCAGATCTGGTGTATGAGACGAAGAAGGACCTCGAGGAGCATGGTCTGCTCTCGACGATCGTGGGGCATGTTGGTGACGGTAGGCGTTGTGCTTTGGACGTCGTCCGGCGAGCACTAACGCATGTCGTGCAGGGAACTTTCACGCGCTGCTCTTGTTCCGGAACGACCAAGAGCTGGAGGATGCGCATGCCGCAGTCGACCGAATGGTGAAGCGCGCGATCGCCCTCGACGGCACATGTGCGTAACTGCCGCACTTCTCCATCGCCAATTCTGACCACATCGCCACCAGGTACGGGAGAGCACGGTGTCGGCATGGGGAAGCGTGCCTACCTATACGAGGAGCTCGGCGAGGGCACTGTAGAACTCATGAAAACGATCAAAAACGCCGTAGACCCACTCAACCTGTTCAACCCAGGAAAGGTGAGTTGTATTTCCGGATGCCCGGGCTGCAAGACAGCATACTCACTTGCCATTCCAGCTATATCCGGAGAAGCGCGACAGCTCGGAGCGCGGTCATTGAGGGGGGAGCGGTATGCCTATGTGCAGTATTGGTTTACATGAGTGATGTCGCAACACGGTGGGGGTATATAGATTGCCACCTACCATGTGCGTTATAGAGCGATGCCTCCTGTGTAGCGCAGGCGGAGACGATGTACAGTACATAATCTATGTCACTACGATTTGTATGTGCAGGGACTTACATCACGCAGAAGGTGGCTTTGCGTGATCGGGTCAGTTCTTAATTAGAGAGCCCAGGACGAGGACGACGTTGTAACGCAAATTATATATACGCAGTGTGCACTAGGATAACCAGGAAATAGCGAGATGATCAAATACGATTACAGGCGGAACACGACTCGCGTAGAGAGGTCAATCGACCTTCCTCGACCACCTCCTGGCGCCTGGCCGAGGGCTGGCGCGGCCAGGGGACGCGGGAGGGACGATGACTTCGACTTTGTGCGCGGCAGGCGTCCAGTGATGCTCGGGCCTCTTCTCGTCCGAAACGCCGATCGTGGGTCCATCCTCGACATCCTTCGCATCCTTGCCCCAGTACATCCACATCTGAATACCGAGGACGACGTTGAGGGCGAGGGCGAGTGCGAAGCCGGCGCTGACGATGGGGTCGCCGACCTCCGTTGCGGTGGTGAAGAGGCGGGCGAGGCAGCCGCCGACCTGGGAGATGACGGCGAAAGCGGAGAGCTGACCGGTGCTTTGCGCGCGGTGGTTCTGCCGGATCTGCGGTAGCTTGGAGAAAAGCGAGAGCGGGAGGGTCGCGAGCTGGAAGAGCGCGATGGTGGAGTGGGGGAGGACGACGAGCGCGACGGCGAAGGCGATCGCGGCCTGGAGGGAGATTATTGTGCGCTGGAGAGAGCTGCGCGCGGCGAGGGAGGCGGGAGGGTTGTAATGGACTATAAGGAGGGTGATGACGACGTTCTGAAGGGTGAGGAAGAGGTTCTCGCCGTAGGTTGAGAAGGGGAAGTCGTTGCGGTAGGAGTAGGTGAGGGTGATCGCGTAGGCAAGGGTCTCGAGCACGTAGGCGGTGAGCGAGAGGCCGCGCGCGGAACGTGCGGATACGACTGCGGGTGGGCTCAGCGCGCGGACGAGGAGAGGACGGGAGGAACGTACTGAGCAGCAGCTGGGGGACCTTCATGATCGACCCTCCGACGACAATTCCGAGCCCAAGGCCCTTGGAGAGCGAGTACTTCAAGCACTCAATGTCGGCTACATTCAGGTTCTCGACGATGGACGTGTAGCATTTCTAGCACCTGGTCAGCCTCTGTTCTGGTGCTGAGTATGAGCGTGCGCACCTGGCCAACGATGGAGACACCGAGGTCCTTGATGAACCAGGGCAGATTCCTGGTGATTGCCGTCATTTTGGGTGGGGACGAGGAGGAAGGCGGTGGCGGAGGGAGGAGAAGGATGAGGAGGACGTGTCGGTAGGCGCTGGACGCGCACCGCGTTCGCCACGTGCGCGCTGTCCCGATTTGGCAGGTCATTTTTTGGCAGATGCGCGGACGGCGAGGAGACTCTTGACCACGACGAGCTCGCTTTCTCTCTCGACGACCTCCCCTCGCTGCTCGTCTGCCCTCAAAATGGCCGAATACGACCTCTCAAAAACAATCATCCCGCACTGCGATCGGCACCTCGTCTTCCCTCTCCTCGCCCATCTCGCGGAGAGCGAGACGTTCCCGGTCGAGCAAGTCCAGACGGCCCAGTATGAGCTCGCGAAGGAGACGAACATGGTCGACTACGCCGTTAGTCTCTTCCAGCAGCTCTACCCGGACGAGGAGGTCCCTGCAGGTGCGTCTTCAGTACATCGCATATATTCTCCCGCTTATATCGCGCAGAGTTTGCCGCAAAGCGTGAAAGCGCGGTCTCCACGAACGAGCGTCTTCAGCAGGAAGCGCAGGCCGTGCTCGATGTCATCGAAAACCCCGAGGTCGCCCAGGCACTCCGCCAGGACAAGAACCAGAACTTGCAGTTCCTCCGCGAACACTACAATGTGAGTCTCCTTCCTCTGTCTTCGGCGATATATCCCAACACCCCCGTAGGTAACGCTCGAACAAATCGCCGCCCTCTACAACTTCGGCAAGTTCCAATACTCGTACGGAAACTACAGCGGCGCGGCCGACTACCTCTACCATTTCCGTGTCCTCTCTACCGACCCCGATCTCACCATCTCCGCCCACTGGGGCAAGCTCGCGTGCGACATTCTCACCGGCAAGTGGGACGTTGCCCTCGAAGAGCTCAACTCCCTGCGCGAGGCTATTGACTCGCGCGCACCCTCTGCGCCCCCCTCCACACCCTCATCATCTGCCACCGCCGACCCCGCGCTCGCCCAGCTGCACTCCCGCACCTGGCTCCTCCACTGGTCCCTGTTTGTGTACTTCAACCATCCCCAAGGCCGCACCCTCCTCCTCGAGACCTTCCTCTCGCCCACCTACCTTAACACCATCCAGACTTCCTCACCGTGGATCCTCCGCTACCTCGCCACCGCCGCCGTGCTCTCGCGTAAATCCGCATCCGGCGCGCTCTCCTCGCGCGTCCGCCACTCCATCCGCGAGATCGTCAAGGTCATCCAGATGGAGGAGTACCAGTATCAGGATCCCGTCACCCAGTTCCTCAAGGAGCTCTACGTCGACTTCGACTTCGAGGCCGCGCAGAAGGAGCTCAGCAAGGCGGAGACCGTTGTCGCGAACGACTTTTTCCTCGGCGAGTTCCGCGAGGAGTTCATGGACAATGCCCGGTACCTCATCAGCGAGGCGTACTGCCGGATACACCAGCGTATCGACATCGCGTACGTCGTCTTCATATCTTTCTGTATAGTCTTCTGAGCGTCCATGTAGCGACCTGTCTGAGCGGCTCAACCTCTCGCGCGACGAGGGTGAGAAGTGGATCGTCAACCTCATCCGCGAAACCCGCATGGGCGCGGATGCAAAGATCGATCTTGAAAAGGTGCGCCTCGAGTCGGTCACACTATCGCATCCACTGACGTTCGCGCACACAGAACGTCATCGAGATTCACCGCCCACCGTTGCCGATATACCAGACGGTAATCGAGAAGACCCGTGGGCTCGCGTTCCGTACGCAGGCACTTGGCGCGGCTATGTCGCGGTCACAGCAGGCTCCGGGGGCGCAGGAGGCCGCGCAGCCAACGGTTGTCGAGGCGCAGTAGTAGAGTCGGTATGATATCTGTATCTTGTAGTGTTCATGCTATGTTGTGTGTGCTGTGTAACATGTTTGCAAGAAGCTGCATGGGCTGTGCGACTTGTGAGTGTGACGGATGGACAAGCCTCTCATGACAATGTTAACGGTTAGAAAAGATGTTGTTCGTCTTCCCCTCCTCGTCGTGCTGTCCTGATCCGGCCCTGAGGCCCAGTGAGAACGCGGGAACGTTAGGTTCTGCGCCGAGTCGCCTAGGGGGGGGGTCGGTTCGGTCTATTCGATGCACGCACGCTAATACAGTTATACCCAGACATGTAATAACTGAGTAACGAGTAAAAAAACCACGACATCGGGGCATCCGCCTTTGGCTGCTATGACCTTTCACTGGGTTTAAGGACCTCCTAGTCGAGGGCCAAACGAGTGGGAGCATCTAGTGAAGTCACAGCCCTTCATTTAGATAGAATACATATGCTATTTCGGGGTTTGAATTGCATTGACGTGAAGCAGTAGTCACAGCAATTCCGCGGTTAAAGTAACTGCTCACCTTGAAGATCGCGTATCCTGGACTAGTCTCAACCAGCTGTGAATTACCGCTCTGTTTAAAGGCGTCGAACACACGACCCATTCACAACGGCGAATACCTCGCCCTCGGAGAACCACCCTAAGTGTGAATACGCCCATAGCAGACTACAAAAGCTCGTGAAGTGAAGATGTATGCGTCATCCCTCCTTGTCCTCCTCCATCATCCTCGGCAATGCGACACGCCTCGACACGCTTCCCGCGCGGCCTCTCGCCTACCCGCCGGATGCCTCTAGCCACAAAGCACACTTGCTCGGGCACGAGTATTGGTGAGTACAATGTTCCGTTCATGAGTCTGGCTTAGTATTAACGCGCTGGGGATGTACCACCACTCTCGGAGACTTGTGTCCTCGTACCTCCTGCATGTTCAATACATTTGCGGTTTGACCTTCTACTTAGTAGGTGAGCTTGGTATGGTGCTTAGGGTTAGGGAGGGGAGCACACCAAGCGAAGCAAGGTGTGCGACAATGACGATGAGTGGGGAGGCGAATAGGACAACAGGGGATGGAGATCACTCCAACCCATCCTGTTTCGACTCTTATACAGTCTCATCAGGTCCTGCTTAGTTCTTTCGATAAGGTTCAGCCACAAGGTCCCGGAACTACGGGATAGATCCTTGTGTGATTGTTGCTGACACACGGCCGCAGGGGGCGCAGCCCCCGGCCATGAGACAACGGATATGTGATCTGATGATCTAGACTCATTCTGGGGAGAGGTCTCACGGAGCAGGGTTGGAATTTTGCTCCAATATTCCAGGAGCATGTACATATCATATAGGAGAGGCCCTGTGCAGAATATTAGCAAAATCGGCGTACCAGTTTTGGAGCTACAGCCCTGGGAAGCAGCTGCACCTATATTGGTGCATTGCTGCGTATCCCCTTGGATTGGGGCTTTGAAAACTCGTGGAGGGGTAGCAATACGCTATATTGAGGTATGTACAAAGTTTCAGAACAGTCGGATCAGAAATGGGCGCTTGGCAGGGGGGAAAGTGCGCGGATGAGGAGGAGCATAACTTCCCAATGTTCTTTGAGGGCATATGTTCGGAATTGAGTATATACAATCTATCCAGCATACCCCCAGGTATGAGGGCACAGAATTTGGGGCGGAGAAAGCGAGCGTAGCATGAGCTATGGGGCAAACAATGTTGACTTTCCTTGAGCAGAGGGCCAACCGGGAGGGCTGTGCCAAATTAAGTATATACATCATGTTAAGGATGCATTAGACTGTGCCTGTGCAAAGAATCAGGATATGAATATGGTTGCCAGGGGTTTAATGAGGGCAACATGTCACCCAAGGGCAGGCTAGGTTGGGGCCCCTCTGACAACAGGACAGGATAATCATATTTGAGTATATACATTCTATTCAAAATCCTTGGGGCTACATTACTTCAGACTTTCAGGGCAATTGGACCTGGTCTGGCTGCTCCACATGCCTGTTGGAATTTGGGGACATTGCAGGCAAGCCGTGCACGAGCTCGCGGTGTGGCAATTAGGGGCACAATTGTTTTCATTCCAGCGGACTCCTGTCTTGTCTCGCTTTATTCCTGGTCTTGTGCTGATTCATAGCGGCATGTCTGGATCTCGCAGACACGCAATCTACAATATATTCTTGTTACGTATCCTGTACTTATATGCACCTTTCGCGCTCGCTCACCTCAGTCCTGCAAATAGAGACTGAGGTGAGCATTATGGTATTGTCTTCTTATGTGATTACCTTACTGATTATTGTCTTCAGTTTTTGCTCTATAGGTGCATTGCTTTGTATTACTAGTCCTGCAAATAGAGACTGAGTTTTCGCTCTATAGGTTATGAGCCCTGCCTTCTAGGCAGACTTGAGAGTTGCAGAACAAACCAGACTTACCTCGCACACGATGTCAAATGTTAAGTTTGCCAATGACTCCATTTTGTGTCCCAAAGCTTAAGCTAGGTGGCGCCAATTGGGTCCTGTACAAGGCCTGGTTGATGTGGGCCGCCAATGCCAAAGGCTACGCTGGCAATCTCATTGGGGACAACATAGCTGGGCCTGCTGTGGCCAGGGGGGGGTGTTCGTGCTACTGCGGGAGGGACCAGTGGTGGTGCTGCAGCCCCCGCTGGCGGTACTGCTGGTACGGGAGGAACACCAACAGCGGCTGCAGGTGCGGCTGCTGGAGGGACTCCTGACCAAGCACAAGTTGCACATGAGGCAGCGCTGGTCAAGTGGCGCAAAGGTGAGGCAAACATCAAGCAGCTCATTAAGAGCACAATCCCAGATTCACTCTTTATGAAGATCCATGCAAAGCCAAATGCGCATGCAATCTGCGGACTATGTGTGGCAGTTGAGGGTGGGCGAAGGGACGGTTGTGGGACGTGCGGGAGGACCGGCGTTGCCAAAGGGCATTCAGGCAGGCAGCAAGGGAACAGTGAGGATTGAGGAGGTCAAGGTGTAAGCCCGCCCATGCGCGCTTACGCGCTCTGCTCTGTTGACCCCTGTTGTGGTACCTTAGACGCTCGTAGCATTTGGTTCCGCGAACCTCGCGTCGTCGTTCACTCACTCTTACCCGAACACGACGCAGGTACGCCATGCACTGTATATTACCTCGCACTCACTCTTACCCGAACACGACGCAGCTTTTGTGCCTGTTCACTCATCGTTCGATCGTCCAGTGTTTCCGGTCCACACCGTGACCGGCTTCCACTTTTTTTTGAACATCGCTCTCCAGCTCGTTTTTTTTTCAAAAACCTCATCGTCGACCGTCGGGGTACTAGGTCCCCCGAGACAACCATCGAAAACGTACGCCCCCGTATCGCTGCGAACGCGTAGACGCGTTCGGGAGAACATCGCTCCCTTTCCTTTTGCCGAACTGGACGACGAGGAGATTCCCCTCTTTTTTGGAGAAAATCTGGCTGCTGAGCTGGGATACGAGTACGTCGCCTCCGACACTAGTCATCCGAGTCGACCTTCCTCCTCCCTCTCCACCTTATCCTCGCTCGTCACCATCCCGCTCGACGATCCCGTCAAGATTGAACCGCATATAGTCACCTCCGGTCGCTCTATCCCCATCGAGCCATCATTTCTCGAACCGTCTTGTCCGTCCTCTCGCGCTTCGTCTCGCTCTTCGACTTCGACCTCGTCATCGGACTCCTCCATTCACATCTCACCCACCGTCGTTTTCTCTGGCACCATGACTACGAGGGAAGCGTCCATCTCGACCAACCCGAAGTCCGCGCCCACGCTAGGCAAAGGAAGGATCACGCCCGCGGTCCTCAATGCATGGGACCACGGTTGTATGCAATTCTTCCGAGAGCGCGGTATCGATGAGAGCAAGCAGGTCTTGAAGGCCAGTAGCGGGATCGCGAATGAAGTCCTATCTCTATAAAACCCCCTTTTGAGCTCAGAAGGGCGAATGCGGATGGATGCGGATTGAATGCGGGGGCCATAGTTCAGGAACCGTTAGGAATTCCACCCCGCATTCGCATGTTTCTGAGTAGCCCTGCTTCTTGGCTACACGATGGTGGTGGTATCGCAATGGTGGCTGTGCTGGTCGGCGAGAACCGGGCCCGCATTCAACGGATGCGGGTGTAACCAAACTTTCTAGGGTGAATGCGGGCTCATATCTCAATGGAAACCCTGGATGCGGGGTCATATTATGGTATATTCCTGTAGCCCTGATTGAGGGCTATCAGAATCCGGTGCGATTGTGGCTGTGCACCCACTCTGACCCATGGCCACCTGTGACCCTCTTACTATCTAGGCTCATATCTCCATGGAAACCCTGGATGCGGGGTCATATTATGGTATATTCTGGTAGCCCTGATCGAGGGCTATCAGAATCTGGTGTGATTGTGGCTGTGCACCCACTTCAACATCTTGCCCCCTCTGCCCCCTTGCCTGCAGCCTAGCCAATACTTGTAGTACTCCTGGGTATGTATCAGGTATGCATCACCAGTATATGACCTCACAACGACCCTGCTTACAAGCTATGACCACGACGTCAACAAAGTCCAAGTGCAAGTCTCAGTCTGGTGCTGTTGGCGTGGATGTGGGGCCATATCTCAGCAAGGACCCTGGATGCGGGCACATATTTTGGGACATTCTTGTAGCCCTGATCAAGGGCTATGCAATGGTGGTATTTTCGTGCCAGTGGCTGTGCTAGTCTTT